CATGGCATGCGGAACTAGAACAATTTACCCCAGTGGACGAAATAAAGAATTCGGTTCAAAATTCCAATCACCTGAAGGAGGCTGGAGCGTACAATGGCTGAATGAAACATTGTGAATATAGCAATGAAGATGATGATAATAGCCCAAATAATGTAAATAATACAAGTAATCATAATCCCTCATCTCAGAGATATAGACAGATATCAGATCTCAGTTGCTTCAAGTCTCATTTTCATCTGTGAAGAGATTGTCCAACATTCACTGCCATATAGGAGGAATGATATTACATAGCAATTCAGCACTCTTTCTTTCTAACAAAATTTTCCTATCTCTTAATATTTTGTTTAGTTTCTGGAAGACATATTTTGCTATTCCAATTTCCTTCTTCAAGTGTTCTGGAATATTGTTGAATTTTGTTATGAGAGAGCATGCACATCCCTTCTCATATATGTCATGTTTGGTACTTTTGTCTGTGTGTTTTTTTTTATTGTCTTCTCATAATCTCTCTTGTGAACTTGTGACTTCCTATTTGTGCTCCCATCTCTTGGGTTAGGAAATCCCAAGTTAATTGCTTGTTATTTGCTCAGTAATGGTTATTAATGTCTATGAATTGAGTTATCTGAGCATAGTATGTATACAAATTCTTTCAAGCTTCTTATTCTCCAATAGAGAATTAATGTTATATTTGTTGTTTGTATATAACATTATATAAAGTTTGTTTTGTATATAGCATTATATAAAGTCTCCAATGTCAAGGTCCTTGAATGATGCATAGTACCCAGCATAGAAAGCCAAATAATCAAGGCATATCTTTGTTGGGTGGGACATGTATATCAGATGGAAGATTCAAGAATTCCCAAAGCAATGAATTAAAGCATGGCAACAAACCACTAGGCAGACTGAAACTGAGGTACAATGACACTGTTAAATACAATCCCAAGAGATGTGACATCAGCCTTAATAACTGGGAAACTACTACCCAAGCACATACTATTGAATCCCATGCAACCTGGAGGAGAATTTGCAAAGAGGACATCAATGACTTTGAGAACAGGTGTACCAGTCTCCTCATTGAGAAACGTACAAAGAGGAAAACCAACTAGTACTCAGAACCCACTTTATCAAAGTAGTATTTGCCATAGGGCTTGCAGCTCTAGAATTAGACTCTACTATCACAAAAGGACTCATCGTTAATGTGTCAATAGAATACTTGTGTTGATTCACGATGCAAGAATCCATATAACATTAGTCTGGAGTTGTACGTTTTTTTAATTGCTGTGTAGATATTTTTTTTTGTCCTCATTTTTTGTTCTGATGAGAGACAACTGATAAACCAGTTTAGTTGTTTTTAATCATTATATTTCAGTATTACCAATTTACGGTAATATATTTACCCCTGTTTTTGTTATGAACATATGAATGTTCTTTTAATAAGTACACCATAGTACATAATATTCTAACAAATCAACACCTTCACTTTTAGTTCAAAATAAAAATATCTAGCAGGATTCTTCCCTGAGGAACAATCTTCAGTAACAATAAATACTAGAAATGTTCAGTCATTGAAAAATCAGGAAAATAGTTTATTTGAGCTAGGATATATTTTCATTCTAGTAACGCTATCTGTGAAGGTACTAACAAACTACTGACCAAATATTAGTAGGTGTAACTAAATTCATTCACAAAAAGAACCCAGCAAAAATGAAATACTAGGAAATTACTCTAAACCAATCACATACAATGATGAAAAAACTTATCTAACAAAATTCAGATTATAATTTTTTGCTGGTTTGTTTTACAGTGCAGTACAAACATTCAAAATCAAATACTAAATGATTTTACATGATATTAAATTAAATTCTGATTTTAGTGATATTTAGTTAACTATCAGCCTACAGCAGATCCCTACACAGTAATTTTTTAATTATTAGTGTGTTCCTCTTATTCAGTTTTGATTTCCATTGTTCCTAGAAACAAACAATTGATAAGTTTTATTTAATAATGGTCCTAAAGCAAAAGAAAAGTGATGCTGGCAAGAAGCCAAAAAGTGTTTTTTTTTTTATGTAAAAAGGTCAAAATTCTTAAGGATAGAAATTTAGAAACATCATTTTTTTAATCATGTTTCTAAATTTCATGGTAAGAACAAATGTCACGGAACTTACATTAGAGTATAATTATTCTATTTTATTATTAGTTATTGTTTTTTAATATCTTATTGTACCCAATTTATAGAGTAAACTTTATTATAGTATATGTCTAAGAAAAACATACTATGGGGTTTGGTACTATTCACAGTTTTATACAGGCACTGGGTACTGAAACCATCAACATAAGGTCCTAGCTTAAAGAACTAGGTTTATGCTAAAACATAATACCTACAATAGATCATCTATAAACTATAGATCTAGAAAACATACATTTACCCTGAAAATATAAAATTATGGACAAAATATCTAGTTGAAGGAATATTATTGCGTTCAAAATGTTTAGATTTCAGCATTAAATATCCCATAGAGGTGTTGATATGCTGCTAAACAAAATCAACCAAACCAAACAGCACCCACTCTGGGTGGCTTAGAACATATCCTTCTTAGAAGAAGAGGGGAAACTGTATAAGTTACATGGCCAAGTCTTTAGTAGCATAATGATAAGTGTCTTCACTTTTCATGGTAGAGACTCAGGTTCAATTCTCAGTAGAAGGCTGAATAAATATTAGACATCTACTTTTCGTGTGTGAATATAAAAGATACAAAAAATATCAACTCTGGTTTCATCAGCTGTTGTTGAATAGTTACAAATGTTTTTTTTGGTGGGGTGACAAATCTATGACATGGCAAAAAATTATTGTTCATGTATCTTCTCTATGCTGAAATCACATTTTAAAAAAATCTAACCCAAATTATAGATAATGAAGTTGAAAATCCTTTTTTTAACAATGTACGTCAGTGCCTCAAAGTCATCTGACTATGCCAATGGTATTCTCCACAAAGAAATGGCTTTCATATAAGGATTTATTTATTTATATTTTCATAAAATAAACATAATATATAATATTAAAATAATTTTGCAGTTGCTTTGGTTATTATTTGCATTATTTACACTCAGACAAATTTCTTTTGATGTTATTATCACAATTTGGATGTTGTACTCTCAAGCCTTCTTCAGTTGTCTGTTGATTTGGGTAACCATCAGAGAATTTTAAACTGAACACTTTATTTAATCTATGTGGTCAGAATGTTCTTGTTCTGTTGTCCATGTTTATGGCTGTCTCATCTTGTTTTTATTTAGTACTGCTCAGTTATTGCTTGCCTTGTTTCTACTGAGTCTAACTCGTTACTACTGTGAACTCACAATTACTACATCACAAAATTCATGAACCAATGCTTTTATCCACTAGGCTATTGTTTCATGGGACAATTCTGAGTCTAGAACTTGGAGACTTAGATTTAGTGGAAACAGGTGAAGCTATAACTGGGCAGTACTAAATAACAAGACTAGATATCCCTAGACATGGACAGTGAAACAAGAACAATCTGAAGGTTATTAGGATCAACAAGCACCAGAAGAAGGCCAGAGGACATGTCTGAAACATGGTAATAGCAACAAAGATGAGAATAATAGTTGAAGAGTAAATAATTTAAATAATGATAACTCTTCATCTCAGAAATTCAGACAGAAGTGCATGTTATATTTTTTACATGAATAATCAAGGATTTTATCAATACAGTTAACTCTATTTTCACAAGAGTGAATTTTGTTTTTAAATCGTTAAAAGTAAAAATATCCAAAGGAAGCTTGCATGAAACAAAACAATCTAATGTATTAACAGCCTGATCTCCCCCAGTTTTGAGAACCACAGTTATTAGGCTATTAACACCAGGTTTGCTTATTGGTATTGAATAATGCTTTCTGTTACTATAACATCAGAATATCTCATATTCTTAAATAAGGGAAATCAGGTTGTGTCTATATATTTATCAATAAAGTAACATTGTATTTTATATTATAGAATAGATATACGCACTGGTGGTGCCAGCAGAAATGTAGGTTTAGTATATATGTTAAAATATGGAAAAATAAAGTTTTTTTTATATTGACATGTTTTGCTTTAAGAAAGTGGTATGGGTGGGAAATCAGGCCGTAGACAATACAGCATTGGAATAGTTTAAAATCGGAATCAAAAACAGCTCTTTATTTTATAAATATAAAATGGGCAATTTACTTAATTTTTTTTAACAAATTGTTCTGCAAAGACACTCAGTGAGAATTGAACACACTCAACTCAATGGTTTATAAGATGAATGTGTTCATCACCTCTCTATGGCAGGCGTCCTTAAGCTAAAGGTACAAGGGAGGCGTTTTAAACTTGTGCATGTTTCAAAGTGTTTGTGAACTTTCAAAGTAACGATATTGCACTTCAAATAACGTACACCATTAAATCCTTTTCACTAATATTTTAATTTCTTCTTCCCACGTGGGAATTGAACTTTGAACTAACATATCACAAAAATCGTTGAACATCAAATTATTCTTCTGCTGTGTGCAAGACGATATTCCGATACATTTGTTTTTGTGAATCTTTCTTTAGTGTACAAGTAAAGTCTTCTTTTAAAACAAAAAAAAAATTTCTTCATCTTCAAATCGCGAATTTCATATTTTTATTATCATCGGCATTATTTTGTTTATAATATAAAAATAATTTAAAAAATAAAAAGTTTTAAATTAAAGGACTAAAACTTAATAGGGACAACTGTTGTTTTTACACCGTTTATTAATATATTTTCTATTATTATCATTATGTTTAATTAATACATGATAGCAACTGTGTTATAACAGTTTATGTTTTCTTAGCTAATTTATAAATTATTATTGCTTTAATAAAGTTTTAAAAATGTTCTGTTTTCAAGAATAACTATCACAAAAATTGGTTGTATCGAAATAGCTCAAGCGTAGAATAAGAGAATAGATAAAATCCATTATTCTGTTGTTCCGCTGGCAAGATGGCCGATGAACAAGAGTCTGCTGTTGCTGAGGAAATATCAAAAGCTTTGGATATTGGCGTAGATGAGGTAAAGAGGGATTATAATTTTGTATTTCATTATTTAATGTGTTTATGTACATATTACATATTGAAATTCCTCTGTCTAATGATGAAACTCTTTGTATATATTACAATCTTCTTAAGTGGGTGTGTTAAAAAAAAACAAAACAAAAAAATTCATTTGTTTTTTTCAAAACAAAAAATCCATCTTCAACACAAAGGTGTTGCTTTTTAAATTCACATTAAAAATAACTAAGAAGAAATATAACTAATTTCAAAAGTTTTTGTGCAACACTGTTGTTAGCAGCTCTTCCATCGAATAGTTCCTCAATCATTTAAAGTCAGTATTGTTTTCGTTACTTTTTAAAATATAATCTTTCTTTAACCACCTGTGTTCGTTCGTTTAAAAATCAATTTGTTTAGATTTTCTGTTGAATCATTAACCAGACCATCTATTAAAATCTATCTTTGTAATTTTATTTACATGACGCTTTCAAAATCTATCGCTCTTAAAGAAAGCAACTTATTGAAGTCCACCTTACAGTACTGAAATGAAAGCACTTTCCTTTTATTTTTCCCCCTCAAATAAGATTCCTTTAAAACTTTTATCAACAGATGTTTCACAATTTTTACGCATGAATAAAAAGCAAAACGGATTTTTTGATGAAGATTAATCCACATGTAATTTTTTTTTTGAAGATGCTCAGAAAGAAATATTGCACGTAAATAAAAAAAATATATATAGAAAATAAAAATTCATGGCAGAAAACTTATCACCACCCTCAAAACAAATAAATAAAAAAATAAAGCGAAAAACTACAGTCAAATAATAACTTGTTCATCATTCTATTTTTTCACAAAGTTTGTGTCACTGGATCCCAAACTGTTTGAATCTTTCATTCGAACCCGACCCCCAAACATTGTTATCTTACGCAATTTAAAATGCCTGTGTGTAGTTAGTGTACACTGTACACGATTACAAAGACGTTGATTTTTGTTTTTTAAAAAAAAAGCATTTGGTATAAAAAAAAAAAATCTTCATTATACAAACTTAAGAAATTAAGATGCTGTAGTTTAAATATTCAAATGTAAATGTTTTTCTGTAAAAAAAAAAACATTTACAGTTGAATGGCTTGACTTAAGTCTAAGTCAAGTCATTCATTTAATGCAGAAAAATTCGTAGGTAAATTCTTAGCACAATAATGCTATATTTTTTTAAAGTCTAGCAGTAACATATTTAAAAAAAAAAAAAGTTTCGTTCTAAGTGCTGTGGGTGATACACCAATGAGCGAATGGTCCCAGAGTTGTTTAGGTTTAAAAAAGGAAGGCCAAAGATGGTCCGCCGTCTTCCCTTGTCCGCTCAGACAAAAATCTTCAAGTTCTTGTTTTCGAATTATGTGGCTCAAGAATCTTTTCTGTTGGCGCTCAATGCGTTCTTGTTGAACTCGAAGAATTGAGTCAATCGTTTCGTTTGTTTGCAGTCTGAACATTCTGCAGCTTGGAGTGTCCGTTTGGTTTTGGCATTTAGGGTTCACGCCTCGGAGCCATACAGTTAAAATTGAACATACATATGTTTTTAAAGAGTGAATGTTTCAGATTTAACAAAAGACTTCTGTCAGTGAAAATGTTTTGAAGCTAATTGAATCTATGGTTTTTTTTTGGTTTTTTTTCCTGCTGCTAAAGCAAATTCAGTGGTGGATTTCTCTCTCACAGCAATCATCTGCTGTTACCAAAGAGCTTAGATAAATAAAGCTGTCCACTTGGTCAGTTTTCTGATTATGGCATTTTGGGTCAAGAACTATTTTTGAGATGACAATTTAGTTTTCTTTGGATTGATTTCTAAATCATGTTTTGTGCTAGCTACACTGGTTAGGTCGAGGAGCTTCTGGAGGCCTTCTGAGTTTGCAAGGGGAGTTGTATTCACAACATGACTTGATAGCAATTCCTTCAGGGGACTCTTCCAACTCATGGAGTATAAGTTTGCCACAGAAATTAAAAAGGTCAGGGGATGTTGCGCAACCTTGGCAAATACCACATTTCTATCCTCTACCAGTTAGAAAGATATTCATTTTGCTTGACAGTGACTTCTTGTTGATAATAGATGTTTTCAAGTATGTCTTGGTTGTCAGTGTGTATTATCTCAAACCTCTCAAGAGTTTTACATGTTTTACACTTTCTTATAATCAATGAAACATGCATAGATATCTTGCTTTAAATGTTTAATAATGCTTATTTGTCTAAAACATCTAAACACTTTTCAATTTTTATTATAGGCTTAGTTTTCTGGTATAATTTCTTTTCTATAGCTTTAGGGCTTGTGATGGATTTATAAATACAGAGAACCTTGTAACTATTTAGAGAGACCAGCCACATTGCAATAAAGCATAGTGCCTCTGGTTACTAGCAATCCAAGTTAGTCACACCATGGGTTGCTACAGATGAGCACATAGTACATTTTGTATCATCATTCACTTTTACTCACAGTTATCCAGCATAACACAGCATTAATATGGGATATAACATGATGTCAGAATTATATAACCTGCCAAACAAGCCACATAGGAAAGAAAAAGGAATTGGTGAAACAGTTCAGCCTGAAAAACAAAAACATGAAACATTGCCTTGTTTGACTTTTATGTGCCCATTAAGAATACTCTGAAATAACCTCAGAAGAGTAAATCAGAATTAAAAAGAAAAATAATAAGTTTGAAACTGCCAAAGAACCTCAACTTTGAACAAAATTTGTTCAAAGATTATAAGGTTTAGGAACAACAATGATTTTTATTTGCTCACAGATGGAGTAACAGAAAAAGATCAGCAAATACAGGTTACCACATTCCTACACTCGGCTGGACCACAAACTCAATGAATTTTCAACTCGTTCGAATTTGAAAACCCTGACAACAAGAACAAAATACAATGTGTTAAAAACAAACTCCACAAATACTGGCATCTTTAAACAAAGATACTTGTGAATTATTACTTTGTGACTCAGACTTATTGTTAAAAAAAAAAAAGCAATAAGTGAACCAAGTTAAAGGTATAAATGAAGAAACATCAATCTTGGCAGTAACACTGAACAAGGAACTGAAAAATAACAAAATTGAAAAACCAAGCATCCCAATATCAGAATGCCAGGCCTAAATGTCACATTTTGTGTGGTAAATGTGTAAAAAAGGTACTCACTGAAACAATACCTGGCTTACGGAAAAACATGTTGAAAAAGCCACAAACCCAGCCATTTTGTCAACATGTACTACTGTAAACCACAAGCTATATCAGAAATAAGTGCTAATGAAAGTAAGCATACCTCTACCTATTTTCAGCTGGCATCATGCGAGAAATAAATGCAGTGACATCTGACTGGACACAGAATATAGGGGTAAATGACACTACAACCGTTAATTTCAAGTTGGACACTGCAACATAAGCCAATATAATACCTAAGACTTTACTGCTTACATTTTACAAACTCCAACTAAAGAGTTACACATCATCCAACTCAAAGTCAAGTAAAACTGAAATGTTTTGTCAACAACAAGGTAAGATATACCTGATATTTTAAGCAATTAATCTGGAAATTTTACCAATCCTGGGAAAGATGCATGTGTGAACAAGAGCAGAATTAAATGCTGTGAATTTATTGCTAGAACTAAAAAATACATTGATAGACAAAGTTGGAAAATCTCCTGCACAACTTCTCATGAGTTGTTGTCTAAGAACATAATTACCCACAGAGCATTGTTTACTTTATCCACATACAGCAAATCCATCTGTAGTTTGGAAAAGACATGCTGAGTGTCAAAAACAACAGCAGAAATATTACAAATGACATGCAGGAAAAGAATTTGCATTGTTGAAGCCAGGCAGCCACTTACCAGTACAAGTAGATGACAAAATTTGGGCTTCAGCAATTGTCACTAATAAATGTGACAAACCAAGATCATACATTGTCAACGGCATCAGGACAAATATACAGAAGAAATAGATGACACATATGACCATTGAGAGAATGACAGCCAAAAAGCAGCATTCATATCTGATGAAGAACCAACTGTGTCAAACACTGTTGAGCAGACCCCTTCAATTATGCCACAGTCAGATGCTGGCAGAATTGTAACAAGAAATGGTCATATTATAAACGAACTCATCAGATACAGAACAGAAATTTAATAATGATCAGAATTATGCCAATTCTAGGATCATGAGAGTAGTCTGCCCTTGTGATTGTTCATATGTCATATCTTAGTGACATAGACTAGCGGTTGCCAACCTTTTCAACTTCATGGACCATTAAATGTATAATTTTAAATTTGGCGGACCACCAATATGAATTTAAGGAAAATGGTAAATACATTTATATAATAATAATCAAAAAACTTTTATTTTATTAATATGATATGCACCCATTAAAAGTAACAAAGTTATAGTGTAATTATTTAAATAAAACAAATTGAATATTTGAAGTTTATTCAAGTCTACTAAAAAGTTTTTTTTGTTTTTTTTTAAATATTTTGCAAAAATAGTTTTTTAGTATGAATGCTTATGAATTTGTATCTGGTGTATAAGCCAATTCTTGCAGATCCCACTATTACGCCATTGCTATGACATGTTTGTAGAAAATTATACTAGTAAACCATCCAGTAACTAGTTATCAACAGTAATGGTAAGAAACTATTCAGTAACAAGTATTGAACATGACTTTGCAAGTCATGTTAGGTTATACTATGGCTGGATGATGTCACAGTTGTGTACTTGGGTATATTTTAAGATTACATAAGCTCTTGAACATATATACCAACCATAATACGTTTTGTTACTTATCATTTTTTAATCTGAAGCTTCATAAAAACTGAAATAATGTCCCAATTTTTCTGCAGATCATCAACTGGTTGGCAACCACTGACATAGACTATATAAATATTTTTGTCTGTCAATAATGAACATTATAATTCTCATATCTTGAGATGAATGATCAGCTTCAATGTATGCACTCTTAAAATGTCAATTACCTAAAGATCATGTTTTCCACCATTATGATGGTTATTATCTTGAATCTATTTTTTGTCTTAAACGTACCTTCAAAGCATCCTAAAATTTTGATGATTGACCCATCAAACTGTTTCAACTAAGCGTAATTTAGTTGTGATACAAGGCTGAAAGATCTCCAACATATATAATTTTACACATTTATGTCATAATTCTCTAACTTATGATACAACATGAAAATAACATTTTATTTTCTTTATAACTTAAAATTATGCTATATAGATAAGGTGATGTATAAAGGATCTGCAACCCTAACGTAGGAAAATTGCATTTACATTTAAAGTAGTTTTTGGTGGTTGAATAAGTTAGCCAGGAATGAACATATTTATTGCTTTTATTATGTTATGTAATACCAAACAGTTATTTTTAAAATATTTTCAGATTTTTTTAATCAATATATTTTATTACTATTTTTAAATAGTTTTTGTGTTCTTGAAAATAACTGATACTAAAAATACATTGACCAAGAAAAATAAACCTAAAAATAGAGTGACCTTAGAATGTTCAATTCCCTGAAGAATTTCTTTACCTACCAAAGTTTTTTGTTTATTGTTTCTTATAAAGTTATTTTTTCATGGGGAAATTTCCCATCAACATCTTTGAAATAAGATTTATTTTTTTTCAAGTCGAACACATTTTATAAAGGGTCTGACCTATGTATGTTATTTTCATGTTGTATCATAAGTTGGAGAATTATGACATAAATGTGTAAAATTATATATGTTGGAGATGTAATAAAAAGTTGTCCTAGTTTTCACCAACATTGTTTGCAGATGTAGTTGTACTATTTATAAATAAAAAAATATGGTAATGACAACATTTGTACTTTATAAATGGATGACAAGTCTTGAGGATATATAGAATTAAAAAAGTTTTGAACATAAATTGTTTTATAATTATTATCGATTTGCATTACTCACTGTAATCAACTTCAATGTTTTGTTGGAAACACTGTTTTCAATATTTAAAAAAAAAAACATTTTTCCAATTTTGCACTTAACATTGAGAAAAATGTCAATTATAACAACATATTTAAATTTTAATTCACAAAGATATTTACTAATTTTAGTTTAGAAATCTATGAAGAAATGAATTTATAAAAACTATAAACTTTGATTATAAAACAAAATTGATTGGTTCTCTTTTACCTCTAGTATGGATTGATCTTAACTGGAGACATACCATCTTGAGTTTAGGAGACATGAGTTTGTAACTAAATTTTATCACAAGTCTTGAATTTTTCCTTCAATCTATTGTCCTTGATTCTATTGATAAAAGGAAATGAAAGGTCACCTTTTAGAAAAAAACTCTACATTTGTTTACAGACCAGTTGGGATACAGATTGAAAAATCCTGCTGCACAAATAATTTCACAAAATAAACTTGAATAATTATTTATCATTTCAGCATTTTTGATTTAATTACTGGAAAAAAATGAACATGCAGTTTTGTTTTTCTTTTCTTAAGTTGGACGACCAGGAATTTGACTTGCCTCCTGTGGAGGTTCCACCCACCTTGGAAAGCATCCTTAATGAGGTAAGGGTTTATGCATTGCATTTATAATACTAAAAGTTTTGCAGATTGTAATTCACTGTTTAAATTATACACGAGGGTAAAATATTTTTTATTTTAGTCTCCAACAATCATTCAACAAGTATAAAATTGACGCAATAATTGATGTTAGAAGAACTTCAAATAAACAAAGCATAATTTTGATATTTGATTTTTTTTTTGTCATTTAATCTATTTATTGTGTTCAATTAAAATTAAACAATTTTTTTCTTGATAAAAATTGATCTAAGATAACCTGAGCTGACACAATTAAAACCAGCCAAATATATGACAAGAATTTGTCAGTAATTCAATCAAGTTTTTTTATAGCATTTAAATGAGTATATCATGTCAGATTTTATAATGAACATGAATGTTTTCACAATAAAACTAATCTTAACCAATAAATATTGATAAAATCTTCAGAATATATTTATCAAGTGAGTTTCAGCTTATAATATCTATATTAAGAATATAACAACATTTTTTTTCTTCTTTTTTTTTTTTTTTTTTAAATTAAATTCATCCCAGGGGTTATTGGATGTGGAAGAATTAGATAACAGAAACATTACTAAGGAGTGATAACAAAAGAAGAGTAATCAGGAAGATAGTAGATAGCAATTGATATTGCATTTAAACTTTTGAAGATTAAAGTTGTCTGGAAAGTGTGGAAACGGAAGTACAAAAAAAAAAGAAACTGTTAGCAAAGAACTTACAATTACATCTAACCAATTTAACTCTAAATTGATGAGACCTTGTTGCCAGTCTAGTACTGTATTTAAATTCAAATAGTCTTGGTACCATAACAAAGATCTCATCTAAACAATTACCATGAAATTATTTATAGAATAAGCACAGGGAGACAACTTTATGGTACTTGGAAAGTGACTGAAGCCAAAACTTCAGATCAGGTCCAATAATATTGCTGATTCTTCTTTGGATTTTATCAAACTTTAGAAATATAACAGGAGCACCAAGCCATATTTGGCAGTAACATTCTAAGCATGGACAAATGGTAGACATATAGATATGTAAGATAGATTCTGAAGAGAAGAATTGTCTAGTATGAAACAGTGAACCACCTTTCTTAGCAGCTGACCTAGCAATGGATTCAGTATAATTTTTCTATTTCATATCACCTGTGAAGGTGCAACAAGTCCTTCCATGCTGATGGAAAACAGAAAGGTGTCTCTCAGATGATTGATAGAAAGCAGTTTGGTTTTGGAGGTGTTAAAATTAACAAGCCATCTTTTCTCTCAGCAACAGACTGAAAGTCATTTTTGACATCAGCTGCCAATTTGACCTTCTTGAACATAACTGTGTTAAATCCCTTTTGCACCACAAAATTCGCCTTTTCAGGACTTGAATCTTTGTCCTTTCTGTACCACACACTTTCATTTGTTGGAAATGACATGGTAAATGAAGCTTTTATTTGTCTCCCCATCAGTGCGGATGGGCTTTGTCTTCTGCCTTCATGCAGAATAGCTCTATAACTTAGGAGTAGTCTGGGTAAATAACTCTTTATATAACAATCTTTACCATTTGAAACATTCTCTCAGCAATTCCATTTGAGTATGGGTGGTAAAGTGATGTTTTGTATGGAATACAGCCAATATCTTTTAACCATGCACATAAACTTTCTTCACAAAACTCGGGTGCATTGTCAGAGACCAAGGTTTTTGGAACTCCAATTCTCGAAAACACTGTCAACACCCACTTCACATTTGTGGCTTTTCTATCCGCAACTTTAATTACTTCAGGCCAAACTGAATATGAGCCGACTAATATCAGAAATAGTCCTATATCTTTAATGTAGACATGATCCATATGTACTCATGTTCACGGCTCTATTTCCTTTGGCCAAGAGTGAATTTTAGTTTTCCTAAATTTCTTTATTTTTGTGCACTTTGGACATTTTTTAACATACTCTTCCACATCTCTTGAATAGCCTGGCCACCATGCTTGTAACTTTAACATCATTTGCATAGCCAATACATCTTTATGTATATCATTATGCATGGCTTTAATTACTTCTTAGAAACTATGGAGGTACTGTGATACTGCCATTACATATAACTCCTTTTTCTATTGTTAATTTGTGCCTTGACTGTTTATAAGGCCTCTCAGCCATAGAGCAATTACTCCATATATTTCTCTTTATTCTATCCATAATTCTATTCAACACTGGATCCTGCCTAGTTCCTAACCTAAGCTGATTTAAGGATAATACATCCATTTCTATCCAGTACAAAATCCTATCCTCACAATTTTCACTTGCTTTAACTTAATGCCTTATCTAGGTTAAATTTTGAGAGTAAAAACTTTCAAAATTTAACCGAGATAATGCATCCACATGTGGAATATTATTTCCTTTAATATATACTATGTCAGTTGAACGCAATAAGCTTAATCACCTTTCTTAATATCTTGATAGATGTGACTTTTGGCAACTCTCTTCTGGGGTTGAATATAAATTCCAAAGGCTTATGATCAGATTTTAACAGAAATTTCCTTCCTAGCAAAAAATTTCTAGTTTTTTTCCATGCTCCATATAATCACCAATGCCTCCTTCTCAATATTTGATTAATTCACCTTCACTGATGTTAGTTTTCTGGATAAATACATTATAGGGTGATCTTCCTGCAACAATATTGCATCAGTAGTTAACGTCAATTCTTTCACTAGGTTGAAAATTTCAACAACTGGCTTGTTCATGAGTGCCTTTGTTAATTTCTCGAAAGTGATCTGTCTTTTTGTCCATTGAAACTGGTATTTTTCTTCTTTATTTCACTAAATGTTTTCACAAAGTTACTATATCATAGTAGATATCTATTATAGAAATTGGTTAATCCTAAGAACGATTCTAACTCTTTTATTATTTATAGTTGCAGCTGTCTCTGATATCTTATTAATGAGTTTATCATCTGACGATATACCATCTTTGGATATTTGATATCCTAAGTGTGATATTTTCTCATAATTAAACTTGCATTTATTGTGATTGTCATACCAACATTATTTAATTTTCTCAAAACTTGCTCCATTTACCTTTGAGCTCTTCTTTAGTGCACGCACAAATGCCAAAGTCATCCTGATATACAATTATATTTTTAATCCTCTCTAAAAAATTTTCAATGGCTTTTTGGAAAATGTGACTTGACATTTTTACTCCAAATGGCAGATTAGTTCATCTTATTAATCCAGTGTTCATTATGGCGACTTCTTGAAACTTGCTATCAATTGTTATCTAATTATATGCTGGCTTATGATCAACTTTAGCAAAGTATTTCATACCAGCAAACTCATGGCACATGGTTTCAATGTTTGACAATGGGAATGGATCCGAACAGATCTGGGGATTCACACCCACCATTGGGCTTGTGTATCACCACAGTGGGTGAAGCTCAACTGCTACCACCCTGGCTGACTTTTTCTAATATTCCTTGTTCCATCATTTTGTTCAACTTAGCAACCACCAAGGGTAGCACATGAACAGGAACTTTTGGGGCTTGAAATTACATAGATGACTGCTTTCTTTAAGCCAAATAATCACCTTGTATCCTCTTAATAATCCAATATCTGGTTCTACAGACTTCATGTAATTTATCAGCTTCAATGTATGCACTCTTAAAATGTCAATTACCTAAAGATCATGTTTTCCACCATTATGATGGTTATTATCTTGAATCTATTTTTTGTCTTAAACGTACCTTCAAAGCATCCTAAAATTTTGATGATTGACCCATCAAACTGTTTCAACTGGAGATTACTTTTCTTTAACCTTGGTCCACCCATTCTTTTCCCCAAATTCCTCATGTGCTTGAATCTCAAATACTTCCACAATTTCAATCAGAGGATCTATATTTTCCACTTTTTCCACTCACTTTTCATATGTGCGTACTGTCTGGAAATGATTCTTCTTTTTATACTTAAAACATAATTTCCCAAAGGCTGGACACTTATTTATGCTCTTTTCATGTTCCTTATTGCAATATCTGCATACAAGTAAGCTATTATTAGCACTGAAAGTATCCATGCTGCCTTTGGACGCATTAAATTTTTGAATCTGTTCTAATTGTTGTAAGAACTCAACACATTCTTCCAGATTCATAATATGAGTTTGAAGCTTCACTAGAATTCTATACTTGTACGAGATGTCAAACATTCCTTCAGTCTTAGCAAAATTAGCTCATCTTCAGTATCTGTCTATATTTCTGAGATGAGGTATTATGTACACTATTTATATTATGAGGACTATTGTCCTCATCTTTGTCGGCATATTTATTACAACGTTTCGGCTGTTGTATGCTCTGGCCTTCTTCTCAGTGAGCAAAATAAAGGGTTCAGTTCAACATTCCAACCACCTGAAGAAGGCCAGAGCATACAACAGCCGAAACGTTGTAATAAATATGGTGACAAAGATGAGGACAATAGTCCGAATAATGTAAATAGTGTAGCTCATCTTCAATAGACATTTTTCCAAACACATTCTTTCAAACTCACAATATCTTGATGCTTCTTTGAATCATTGTACATATTTCATGATAGTTTCATCCGATCTGTCTACTTTCAAGAAATTTAGTTCTTTCCCCTATGACCAATCTTTCTCTTTTTTTTGGATCATATATTTGCTTTGGGACAGACAATGACAGAGATTTTTTTTTATGGCCTCACACCCTGCTATGGCCAAAAACCAATCGGTAACTTCATTTTCTCCTACACTAGCTTTGGTACTGTTTAGCTTTTTTTACTCTTGCTGACACTGTGAAAGACCTAAGCCAGGTTTCCACATACTCAGGTTCCTCCATCATGCTTAAGTAACCGATCGGCAATGCTATATTATCATGATAGGTATTCTTTCTGACAGATGTAGTCTTGTCAAAAGAAGATAACTCTCCCGTAGGTATAGTGATACTGCCTTTTATACAGTACCTCATTTACATTTCACTACACACAAGAATTAGCTGTTGCACCTAGAAAAAGAAAAAAAAGAAAATAGCAAGTCTATGCGAAATCCTTTTTGATATAAAATAAGGAAAAACAATTAATTCAAAAGAAGAGTCTGAAGTCATGTGAAAAGTTTCATTTCCGTTCACATGTCCAACATTCAGATTTTCACTACTTTCAAATTGCTTGCTGATTACATTATTGGCCTTAACAAAGCATTTGGCATTTCAAAGAACTTGTATTTCAGCTATCCAAGAAAGCTAAGTATTTCAAGCTATCTCGCTTCTACTTTTGAATGTATACAAACATATAACCCTTAATGTAAAAATGAACTTTCTCAATTTGTTTTAAACATTTTTTAATATTATGTTGTTTCAGATGATTTAATCTGTTGAATGAACATTTTCTTTTCATGGCAATTTATTGAAACCATAGAGTTTAAAATTTCTGATTTATTTTTGTGAAATGACCTACTGACACAACTTCAAGCATGTAAATTTGTAAATTCCTTGTTTTGTTAAAAATTTCCTGTATGTTTCCTTGTCATTACCAACCTCCATTAATCTTCTTGGTATGGGTAAATCAATTGTTCATTTTAACTCCAAAGTCCCACATCACTATAGCACTAAATAATTTCAGTTATGGTCATTTTCTGTTGCCATAGCAGGATATGACAACACAAGTACAAAATTCAAACACTCTATTATTCATTCATCTGAGTCACTTACAGTGGCAGGATAAAAGCAAAATCACCTCCACTATGTTAAAAGTTTTAGTAAATGTGTTTAGAGTTATCCTATTGGACATTTGAACTCCTTGGGTGATCAGTAAAAACATCCAGATCTGAATTGATTAGATATCAGTTCATTGGTCAGACATTGGAATATGATGGGATCACAATCCTAATATTGGCTTATAAAGCTATTATGACTTTTTGTTGTCACATATGCACATTCTGATTTAATAGTTAAAACTGTTGTTCTTTTATTGATTATGCATTAGAAACCATTATTCCTTTCAACATGTGAAAAAACAAAGATTGCATTTGGAAAAGATTCTTCTTTAGCCAGACATGAATATAAAAAAATACTTATTGTACTTTAGAAACATTTTCATATCTTTTATTCTTTTTTTTAAGTATTTGTCACTAGTTTTTAAAATTATTCTTTACTTTTTTTTGTTTAGCCTGATGACCATGAACTCTTAATAGATGATGAGGATCTGAGCTGCCTGACCCAACTGTACAAAGAGGATTCTGTGGAGACCTCCTCCATGTCCAGTCAGGACAGTTTAATCTCAGATCGACCCAGACTCAGAGCAGGGTAAGTCATTTTCTTTGGTGTGGGGAGAAAGGGTCTTACTCCAGATATTTTTAAAAATATTTTCTTTCATCATTGTTATGAGTAAGCTTTAAACATATTTTAAAGGCCAGATGCAATAAACGGAATACTAATTTTTATATCCCTATAATTCTATCTATTCAAAGAGGTTTTATTGAAATCACCTGACAAGTTCTGCTTGGTTAAGTGTTTTATGACATTTTCTTTTCAGTTTGTGTTTAAGTTGTTGCATATCTGGATCAAATTTATGGAAAAATTGTACAAAATTTGCAAGGTTTTTGCTCAAGTACTTTTGACCATTTCCAGTCATTATCAGAACATTATTGTTGACATATACAGAAAGTTTAAGATTAAAATCTGAATATTTTATGGAAGAAGATTTTTGCTTTTTACAGTCTTAAACATATCAAATGGTTGTAACTGTTTTGCTTGTTAAAAAAAAAATCCAAGATCAACATGGAAAAATTTTATTTTCTTTCTTAATAATAAGAGAAAGGTACTGAGTACTTTTGTGTTCTTTTTTTCTTCTTTTCTTCATCTATTTAAGAATCACATGACTGGGTGTTAAGGTTTCATGTTAATCTTGATGAAAAAGAGGATAAAAAAGTGCTACACAAATTTTAACACTGGTTTCAACAAACAAACAAACACAAACTAGAAAGGCAGAAGAGAGTGAGCTGAAATGTTGCCCAAAATGAAGAGAATTCTCTTCAGCAAAAAAGAAAAAAAAAAGAAAGAAAATACAGATATATCACTTCCTTTCAGATATTCAGTAAACAACTAAAAAAGATGATAGGAAAATCATTTCTATTATTAACATATAAGTTTTACAAGTATGAAAATCTAGTGTGGTTGTAAAAATGTTGCAATGAATTCTTCAGACCACTATCTTCACCCTTCTTATTGTTTTTCCATTCTTTATCCTCATTGTTGCTGTGTACTCAGAGAAAAAGCATTGCAAGTGTGGAATTGTTAGATTAGTTGGATTTTTTTTTAATCATTTCACCCTAAGCAAGGCAATAAGGTCACTAAGATAGAAGGGGTTTGTTGAGTATGAGAGAATATGATAATGAAAAACATTATTTAGGAGAATGAACAATAAACGAACAGGAATTAAGAAGACCGAAAATAACAATTGATATTGCATTTAAATTTTTGAAGATAAAAGTTGACTGGGAAGCAAAAAGCTGGAAGAGTTTCACAAGCAATTTCAAGAAGAAACTGTTAGCATAGAACTTACATTTATATCTAGCCATTTTGACTGTAAAATGATAAAACCTTGCAGCCAATATAGTACTGCACTTAAATTCATAAAGTCTATAACAAATGTAAAACATTACTTTTTTTTTCTCTTTCATCAGACACAAGAAGGCTGGTTCTCTTGAGATTCATGGTTCAGTCCTTAAACCCAGCAAATTGAAAAACATTTCTGCTCAATTGAAATCTGCTGCAGTAAGTCAAGAATTGATTTTAAATGATTGAAATTTTTTGTTCCTTTTAAATAATCAACTTGATTTTATTTAAAATCATTGAGCTGTCTACTTTCCCATTTAAATTGCACACACATGCATACACCTAATTCAGCTTACTTGTCAGAAATTTCTTCTAGTAATAATCATTAAACTGTTTTAACTTTTATCCATTTTTCTATTCATTCAGTCTTTGATAAAAGTTCATTAAATTAAATATTCACATGATTATTTTCAATTTTGCCACTAAAATAAAAACTTTACACATCATCAAATTATCATGTCTTTGATAGCAACAGGTTTTGAGTTAAGAATCTTTCCCTCGCGTTCACCCACTGTTTACTATATATGCTAGTATTGTTACGTGTTAATAATTGTAACAAAGGGAAAAAAATGATTTACCACAACACAGAGCTAAATCACAAACAAATATTTAATTTACTAAAACACAACATAAAAATATATACAAGATAAACAATTGTGGCCTACAAAACAGAAAACACAGAGTTACTGGCAAGTGTTATGAGGGAGTCAAATATCTTTATCACTTTAGGGCTAGCGAAGTAATCTAAGTGCTATATTTGGAAATCCACAAAGGTGTGTAAATAAATATTAATTTTTAGTTTGGTCAATGAAAATTAGTCAAAATTCTATTTATCAAATTTGTTCCATGAAATTCTCTTTTGGGTTTTTGTTGGTCGGAAACTTTTTATAGAGATTCTTTCGGATGGATATAATAATCCTTGAATCAAACGCTAGAGTTGATAACAGCAAAAATTCCCCTTCAACAACTGACAACCCTTTTTCAAAATCCCATTTTTATAGAGGCTAACACCTGATTTGCATATTTCTAGATGTTTCTCGAATCATCTAGATTCTTCTCAAATATACTAGAATGATCTAGAATCTTCCAAACATTCTATTTCAAATTTCTCTATTTTATATCTACTTCATGAAAGAAAACTTTTTTTGTATTAACAGGTAGGACTCAGTAGAATCCCTTACTATAAATTTTAACCTTATTGAGAATTTCTTATTATAGAAATGCATCCTCGTAACAGTATATAAGACAGAATCTGAAACTTTAAGAGAAATCATCTCATAAACTGGGAGTCTTATTCACCAAGTATAAAATGTAAACTTTAATATCATGTGATTTTAGAACATTGCCAGTGGCAATGGAAAACAGCACAAAATACTTACATCAGTTCCATAGTCACATGACTGAATATTTTTGACTGAAATTTTCAGTTATGTTTGGAGGAAACTGGATTAATAGTAAGATTATATTAAAAGTATAATAATCAGCCTATTATTTGCATCAATGTACCTTTAAAAGTATCACTCCACTGATCAGTAAAGAACTATTGGGACAGTAAGCTCTCATTATTTGGTGCCAGCCTTGGGATAGTGTTATACAGAGGTTATAATTCTGGGGATCATCATATATGCCAACATCTATGGTATTGTTCGTCATCCTTTTATCTCAATTTGTTTGAAATGTACCCACTGACCTCTAATAAATCCTAGAACAACAAAAAACATTGTAAATAATTTTTAATTTTATTTATGCTTGATTTTGTATAAAATTCTTTTCTGAAACAATCGTTTTCTGAAATCTATTGAAATTTGTTTTTGTTTTATTTCAGAACAGAGTAAATGCAGGAAAACCATCTGCGATTGTAAGTTTTCTGGTTTTGTTGGAATTTGGATAGAATCGTATCAACTCATTTCTGATACAAAACCACAAGCTGAGTGCACACAGTCAGAATCAAATTCATTACTCAGTAATAATGTCTTTTGACCTGCTTGTCTCATCAAAAAATGTTATATTGCTATAAGAGTGGTATCCTATAAATGTGCACACATAAAAAAACATGAAATATGCATTGTATATATTTTGAGATAGTTTGTGAGTTCAATTCATGATGCTGTGGATTGTGATTACGTTTTCAAAAGGCAGTTTCATTTTCCTTTACATAATTTTTAATTTAAATCTGGTTTGTATTTTTTGTATAAAAAATAATTTAAATTTTAATAATTTAAACTGATATCTTTAATAATGTTTCATTCACCTTTCATCGTTTTTTTTTTTTTTTTTAAAAAGAAAATGGGATTAAAACTTTGCCCACTTGACCTTCAGTTTTTATTGAAAATAAATGTAGTATTATGAAATGATTAGCATTTTAATGAATATCAAAGCAGGTCTTTTATTCTTTGCACTAAAAAGATTCTCACAAATTGAGAGAATTCTTTTGAGATAAGAAACTCACAGATGTTTTATTTATTGATATTTGAAATATTAGGAACAGTAATTAATGACTTAAGTTTTAATTCAGTTTATAAACATCAGCATTTTGTAAAACTCATGGACTTAGCTAGAAAAAGACCACCAAGCTACAAACTGTCACTGTATAAAGGGGAATTGGAAAATCCCTAGACTGTACATGTTGTGGGGCATGCAGCTAACATTTATTGCTACCCAGCCAAATGAGTCAGTCTTGCCAGTAGGCTTCAAGCTGTTTACTTGTGTTGAATTATTGCACACGTTTTTGTAATGTTTTGTTAGGACAGTTTTTTGATTTTTATGATGTCAACATGCTTACATCAAATTTTGCATGAATGTCTGCATATCTGTTAGTGAGGCCCTCAAGATGTTTTGTTGTGCTTTTGATGAACGTTCTTTAAGTTGAACACAGGTTTTTGAGCAGTATGCAAGTTTCAAGTCCACTTGAGTGTTAGTTCAAAATGATGAATATTTAGGGTAACTAATCACCTAAAAATTTGCAAAAAAAAAAAAATAATTAAATAAAAAATATTATTGAACTCATCTCTGAGGACTGTAGTCATCTATCTGTCCATTATTTCCCTCACATGATTGGAATTAGTTTTAGAGTCAGCCAAGAGGTCCTCACAGAAAGCCTGAACATACATTGTTATAAAGTTTATCTCTGAAATCTTGATATTCAAAACAAAAAGATGTGATTGTACTTTTTTTAGGCCCAGTCCACAAGATTTCTGATTCCACTTTGTATTACTAATGATATGACCTGATTTATTGAATGATTTGTTTTTTATGATTTATCAACCTTTGATATGATTCTCTGTGGTACTTTTTGACAGTATTCCTCTCTCTCTCTCAGTTATTATAATCTTAGGGATTTCTTTTCTCTCTTGCTTGATCCCTATAATCTAATCTGTCCTTTCCCTCTCTATTATGCTTGCATTACTCCTTCCTCTCTCTTAATCTCTAATATCCTCATACTATTCCTTTCTCTCTCTTTCTAATTTCTTATAATTCTTTCAGTATTCCATCTTCTTTCTCAATCCATTATATCCTGGTACAATTCTGCCATCTTTATCATGCTTGAATTATCTCTTCCTCTCTGCATAATTTTGCTTTTGTAGATCTTATTTATTTGTATCATTTGTAATTATTTTTATTGTCATATCCAAAATAGATTTATTCTTTAAAATGGATTTAAATTGTTGTGAATATTAATAGAATCTTGGAAACTTTATTTCTCTTTTGCAGGCAGTGTCAGCTCTGATTGCTATTGGAACATCACATGGACTTGTGTTGGTGTTTGGTAAATACTTTTTTCACTTGTGTTTTTGTAAAAAAATTGTAGTTTTCTTATAGAGAATAGCAAATACACTTCCATTAATAACTGAATTTTGTGTTTTTATGACCAATTGCAATTCAAAGGTTGTGATTGAAGTGCCAATACCTAAAATATATGTTTTATGCACTAATAGTGATCAATAAAATTTGATTTTAGTCTTTCATCTAAAACAGGTCTTCAAATTATGGTTTGTATGCCAAATTTAGCCCACTACAATATTTTTTTCTTTGTAAATCTCACACTTCTCATTTTTAAATCACATCAGGCTGATTACAAAAAAGATCCAAATAAATTTTATTAATTCATTTTCTTTTGACTCATGAAAATGTGGCAAATGTATGATTTGCGCCTCATACTGAAAAATTTGAAAGTCACTGATTGAAAACTTTTTTCAAGAAATTCCTCACCTCATGTTTACATTTTCTTAAGTTTAAAATCTTCTAATTTATCCTTAGTTATCTCAGTTTGAATTTAATATACCAAATATTTTTAAACAAATTTTGGGATATTGATACAATATTGTAGTATGAATTTTTTTTTCAAATAATGCTATTTATGATAATAAAAAAAATAAATAGAGAAAAAAAATTCCTTCAATTGTATTTTTTTTTTCTTTTTTGTAGATCCTCGTCAAGTGTTGAAATGGTGTTTGGGGAGTACTGCAGTAGGAGCTCAATATGGATCTGTCTCTGCCCTCAGTTTCAACAGGGATGTGTCTCGTCTGCTTTGTGGGTTTGCAAAAGGACAGGTAATCATTCTCTTCAATTTGGATAATGCCATCTTCTTATATAGGATGTTACAATCTTTTATACCCTTTCTTATAGCCTTTGATTCTGATGCTTATGTTGGGGAGAAATTATGGATTTTATAAGTTCTAAAATAAACGCTATTACTTTTTGAACAGCACGATCTGTGTAACCTACGGAGAATTCTGCACCTTTTATTTAATCTATGGGAGTAGACTATTCACTCTCCACCTTGGTTAGTTTTTATTTTTTAGTACTTCTCAGTTATTGCTCAACTGTTCCACTGATTCCAAGTACACAGGGATTGAACTCACAATTACTATATCACCAAACTCATGAACCAGCCTTCTCCATGGTTAACTTGGAGCCTTAATTCCTTCCCTGTCAATTATTTTGGGGAAAAACGTTTAATTTTCAGATGAATTTTTTTATTTGTTTCTAATATAGTATTTTTTATGCTGATTATGAAAAATAATTTGAATTTCAATTTTTTTCCATTTTTCTGGTTGAAATTCTATTTTGAAAATCCCTTTTTCAGCAAAGATGTGTAAACGTCTCCCCATAAACTGTATACTTTAGCATATTTTTTTATTTTTCTTATCTAATTTTATTACCAAAATTAAAGGGAAATGGAAAATCTATTTTTTTTTTTAATATTTTATTAAATTTATTAGCAAAAATATAATGGAAATTCAAATAATTTGCAAATATAAGTGAATTACATTCCTTTTTCTGGCATTTTATGAATGAAATTATTTGGAATTATTTTTTAGCAAAAAATAGCACAAATTACCTTTATTTGTAAATGAATAGAATTATTGTGTCTGCCATTTTATGAATGAAATTATTTTCTAATGCACTTTTTTAAAGCATAGCACTACACATAAAGTTACTTGGTACAGTTTACACATATATCATGACTCTTGCCTGACTAGTTTTCCCTCTCTGGTCACATTTCCGACTGCACAAAACATATTTTTTTTGATGGATTTGCCTTTTTTTCTGTTGCTGGGATGTCTATCAGAAAATGTCCTCCTGATGTATACTGTGAACTTCCTGCTGGTGTTGAGGGTCTGCCAGCTGATCTTTTTGGTGGTAAATCTGACATGATTTGCATTTATATCTCGTATAATTTGCATACGGAATTGCAGGTGCAAGAGGGGTTTTTGTCCTGCCTGATTGATTGCTTCGTTATATAGGATGTAAGCATTCCATACTGTAATATCCATCAGATGGAAGAAGATTTTCTTGTAATATTTCTTACCCTCTTTCCTTGGAAATAATCTACAAGTTGTTGGTCCACTTTGCCAACTCCACCCATTGTATAATTGTAATCATATACAACTTTAGGTTTCTTCACAGGTCCCTCTCTCATCTCAATGTCCTGCATGGCTGGGTTGTGAATGGTTGAAAGCATTGCAACATCCTTTTTATCCTTCAAATGAAGAGTCATTACCTTGCAACTTCCCCCTTTTTTTTTTTCAATTTTTCCATTTTTAGCTGTTCTGGCACTACATTCTGATTCGAATGGAATGTCCCATAAATATCAGTCTGGTTCCTAACCAGAGCAACGACTAATTGCTGATTGGTATAATAGTTATCCACAGTAACACAATAATATTTCCCAAGTAAGGGTTTAATCAAAGACAACACAATACGAAAACTCACATAAAATTGATTATAGTCCATGACTGTAGCTGGCTTTTGAATATTATTTTTTGGACATGTTTATTCATTTGTCTCTGAAAAGGACACTTCAGTAAAAACATATATAAACAACTACACCTGGGAAGGGGTTAGACTTAACCTTCCCACTGGTTAGTGTTTCCTGTCATGTTGATGAAGGCTGGAGAGCACAATTGCCAAAATGTGATAACAGCAACAAAAATAAGGACAATAGTCTGAATGTAAATAGTATAAATAATAACTCCCCCTCATCCCAGAAATTCAGTCAGAAATTAGCTTTTTGTATTTGTTTGTTTGTTTTAACATCAGACTGAATCACTACATTTTCTCAAACTTGGCCATAAGATAAATTTGACTGTGGTTTCTTTAAAAATTACACTGATACTTGATTTTTAATGTAACTAGACAGAACGGTGAAGATGAATTCTTGATCAGCAGATTGCTGAAGACTAGAAGAACCTAAGGTTGGAGTCCTGGTTTAAAACACATTTCTTTTTCCTCAGTTGGCATGTAATGTTACCAACCAAAAAGAACTGTGTCTACGGCATCACCCATAAATTTTAAAATGTGGACACAGGTATCAACAATACACATACACACGCACTTGTTTATAATTTTTCTTTCAGAATGATGCAGCATATATTTTTAGAATCTGTTTCAATGCTGTAGAATTTGATCCTAAATAATCCCTGATAATATCCTTTTTCATTCTGCAACGTTTCACTAGAAATAGTAAAATGCTGTTATGTTTGTTTGAGAAGAATATTAACTTCCTATAAAAACGTAGTGATGGTGAGTGAATGTACACATTTTACTGTTAAAATTACTGGATGTAAACATAAGTTCTCTCACACTTCTTGTTTGTGAAACTCTCTTCTCGCTTCTTGCTTTTTTGTCAACAATGATCCTCAAAAATTTAAATGCAATGTTAATTATCATCTTATCTCCTAGAATTATGTTCTTTTATTGTTTTCTCCCCCCAAAGTTTTTTCTCAGATTCTTTCACATTCAGCATTCCTTTGCATCTTAGTGACTTTATTTGCCTTGCTTGAGGGGAAATGATTAAAAATAATTTTGTAAAATGATGTAAATGTCTATCAAAGTTTTTAATAAGTAAATTTACCTTAGTGAATATTTCTATTGTAATTTGGGTAAAAGTTCATGTTAATTGGTTAAAGTAATGATGTTTGTTTCAGATTACAATGTGGGATCTTACCAATGGGAAGTTACTCCGAACAATCACTGATGCTCATCCTCCAGGAACTGCAGTCCTGCATATAAAGGTCAGTGTTTATCACTTGTCTGTCATTGGCTGAATTAACACTTCTAAGTATTCTTCTAAAAGCCACTTCTTTCTGAGATTTACTCAGTTTAGTTCAATATTTCTATCACTCACACATAATGAAGAAAGAGCACTTGGAGAATTTGACACTCACAGGACATATTGAAGGCAAAAGGGACAGAGGGAAAGAGCAAGTAAACTATCTAACAAGATTGTGTAAATGGATAACAGATCAAGTATTAGGGGAATAACAAAAAGATAAACTTTACTAAAAGCTACAAATGATAGGAAGTTATGGAGAACCATTATCATCCACATCCTGAAGAAATGTGACACATAGAAGAAGTTCAATATGTTAAAAGAGTACCCAGTGAGGATCAGTCTTGCTACAGTCATAGTAGTTCTTTGAGGCCTGCTTGTTAACCATCACTTCCTTTGTGTCCCATCCAGTGTACTCTTCCTTCAACCCCCACATTGGCAGCATCTGTCTTGGTGCACTAAAGAGGAAGGAGAGGTGGATACTAATACTGGCATGACAGTGGTTGTGGGGAGGACAGGGCATCTCTTGTCTTTAGCTCAGATGCACATGTATGGATACCTCATGTTAAACTGGCCATGTGTTACATTCTACCTCTGTGGGAGGGGTAAGGCAAATAAATGATCAGAGTATCTGTATGTTCTGCCTAGGATCAGAATGTAGGAATGTGTGCAATTTCTGAAATGTATTAAATACCAATACAGGGTGTCCTTGATTTATGACAGTTCCATTCCTACGATGTATCATAACGTGATTTTCTCCGTAAGTCGGAATGTACTCGTGTTTTTCCATAAATAAGCACTCACTCACCAAACAATCTAATATGGCGTGCAACCAGGAACTGACTCATAACACCTTCCTTATTCTAGCACTTTATGGCAACATATTCTTGCACCACACATTGTATTTTTCTGCCATCACACATATTCTTCCACTTTGCTATTTGCATTGTATATATGAGGCAAATGGCATAAGTCGAAACAAGATTAATGGAAATTGTATTGTAACCATGAATTGTCATGGGTCAGGACTGTCATAACCTGGGAATTTACTCTGTGTGTGTTGTTGTGGTGGTTCCATAATTGTTTGGAGTGTGTTCAGATGACATGGATTGGGTCCTCTTAAGTGTTAGACTTCTTCATGACCATTTGCACCTATTCATAGACACCATGTATTCCAACAATTATGGTAACCTAGTATTGGCTTGAGGAACATTTGGGAGATTTCTGACAAATTGTGTGACTGCCATGTTTGTTTGACATGAACCCAATTGACAATTTATAGACATGTTCAAGTGGTCTATTTGCATACAAGATGCTGCAGCCTACAAATATTAGGGAACTGTGGACAGCATCATTGTACAGCTTCATGGATTTTATCTACCCTTGCAATGATGGGTTATCCCAGGAGGATAATTGTTAAATAATTAATTAGCAGGCTACTACTTTTTAGAGGAAGTGTATCTCTGCTTGGACATCCTGAGGTTGACCTTCAAAATCAGATGGAAGGCATAACAAGGAAGTCGATTTTGATTGGCTGAGCTAGCATGGGAATGATAGGTATAAAGAAAGGGTTATCAGTGAGTTGTTTCTGAACTGTTGAGCAATGTTCTCTTTCATGTCTGAAACGGCTCTCCAAACACTGGATAGATAGAGCATGTCAACACGAACATTAATAAAATATTTAAGTTTAAAATTCTCTGTGTTGAACTTGTTTTATCTCTGGAATCAAACAACCAACAATCATTGGCCACAAGAGAATAATGAAACTTTATTATTATTAAACTGACATTGTCACTCACGACCTCCTCAGCATGAGGGGGAGATGCAAAATATGAGTAAACTGATGCTATCACTCAAGAACACCCCCATCAGAGAGTATAAAACATCTCTTAATATCATTGAGTGCAAGTTGCCCAGAATTGGTTTGAGAAACATTTTGGAGATTGTGGCCACCATGTTAACCTGACATTAACCCATTCAAGCATTTATGCGACATGGTGGAGTGGTCTAATCTATTTGCATACAAGATGCTGCATCTACAGATATTAGGGAGCTGTAGACAGCTATTGAGATATCATGGCTCAATGTCTCTCCAGAAATCTCCCAATCACTTGTGGTCTCAATGTCATGTCTAATTTCTGCACTCCATCAAGTAGTAGGAGTCCTACACAAAAGTCCTATCTAAAAGTAGTGGCAGTCCTACCTAAAAGTCTCAAAAGACATAGGCTAGGTGCCTAGTATAGGCACCTAGCCTATGTCTTTTGAGACTTTTGTATGTATATGGATACACATTACATTTTGTGATATTATAAACACCCATCTAGAGAAGGAAGATAAGATTTTATCTCAATCTCAAGTATTTCTATTTTATAGCACAGTGAATGGTTCTTTAAAATTTTCTAAGTGGCATCCACATTGACTGAAGAGAATCAGAGCAATAAGTGGAGTTTTTTGGGGATAAGGTGACAACAAAACTAGACAGAATATATCTGGTTGCTGGTCTATATTAACAGTTATTCTTGGGATTAGAGGAGTCAGTTCTGATCTGCCCTTGGTTGAAGACAGACTTGTCTGCCATGTGATTCCAATGCCACCCATTCATATTACCAGCCATATGTTGGGATGTGTAGATGGGCAAGGTGCTGGTAGGAGGAAGAACTGATCAACAGAGAAGTCCAAAATGTCACCTACCTTCTTGTGTAGTCAAATCTCTGAATAAAACATCTATGTATGGGAAAAAGGGTCTGCATTCTTATTTCTCAATGTAGTGTTTATCTTTCATCTTGTTACCTTGTGAGCATGCAGCAGGCCCTTTCCCAGCTTTTGGTGCACACTGACAAGATCACAAATTGAAATTCAACATGGAGTAATCATTGGCCAGTTGGTGGAAAGCTTTGGCATGGGTTGCATTATATGTTTGAAATTTTATATATGTAGGTATTTGTACAATTTATCTATACATAAATAATCCTATCAGTTTTTATGGGTACTATGTGAATAAATGAAAAGTTTAGACATGCCATCAAAAAATGATAACAATAATTAAGTAATTTTATAATTGCATTGTACAAGTAGTTATAAAACTATGTTCTTTATGTTCAATGCTTCCAGAATATTAGACGAAACAAATAACATTTTATCATTGTAAAAATTTTGATTTTATTTAACACAATTTGCAGTAGATGGTTTGTCTAAAGGTTGCATCATGTGGCATCCATTTAGATGTCAAGTTGAGAATGCAAAATGAAAGGAAAAAAAAAATGTTTAATTTTCTGAAATTAACATTTTTTTAAAGAAAATAAACTAAATAACATTTACTGTAAGATTTTATTAAAATAAATTGATTTTTTTTAAATAAATTAAAAGTGAGTGTTCTCTTTAAATAAATAGTTTTGTACATAATTTTTGCCAGTTAAATTATATTGACAACAGTTTCTCACAAAACTAAAAATAGAGTGGCTGGCATCTTAAATTGCTCATAATTTCAAATCCTAGTGAAAATAATTTGGGATCAATAAATATAATCATACTGTGTTTTATGTTATAGAAAACATTTATCCAGCCATTAAGTTTTGTTGGCAGAAAACCTTTTATTTGTCATCTGTAAATGTGAAGGAAATTTTTTTTTTTTTTTTACTAATTGCTTTTGAAAGCAGAATTTCTGTTATGCATCATGAATATTTATTGGTTGATTCTCAATTTTACTTATGTTTTGAATTTTGCTTTGTCTTGGACAGGTCTATAAAATATTCACTAGTTTCACTGTCAGTAAGGTCAATCCTGCTATTTTAACTGTAGTATAGCTTTTTAAAAATCTAACCTGTATTGTGTTTAATTTAGGATAAGGTAACACAAAGAGAAATACTAACCGTAGAGTGATGTCATCTGATTGGATCAATGATTGTCTGGTTATGTTTGTTGGGAAAAGTTGCTTCAATGAAAACTTTAATAATCAATGTCCAATTAATTTTTCTCACTTTTTTCACCTTTCAGTTCACTGATAGTCCAGTGATTGCTGTCTGCAGTGACAGTGGTGGATCTGTATTTGAGTTGGAATTCAAGTAAGTACTTTTAATATATTTGTCTCTAAGCAAAATAAATTTTTACCTACGTGAGATTATTATTCTATTTACAATTATTATTTTTTCCAGATTTTGTTTTTCTTACTGCAGCCATAAAATCTTGTATGAAATTAACTCAACTATTGATAAGATATTCAGGTCATTGATACATGTGTGTATTTTTAAGGAATTGCTATATATATATATATATATATATATATATATATATATGTGTGTGTGCTCCTTTTTTTAGGTTGAGCACTTTGGAATAAAGGGAATTTGTTGGCTACTGCTGATTAATGTTAAAAGCTCTTTGCTATGAATTGAGCCCTCTTGTAGTAGTTGGTAATGCAGTCACATGTCTAGCCACACTGATGATCTGTGATACAGTGAAACAGTCTCTCTCTCTCACACACACACACACACACACATATATATATATATATATATATATATATATATATATATATATATATATATATATATATATATATATATATAAGTAAAAGGTTTGTCACTTAGCTGATTAGTGTTACCTTCAGCACCCCAACCCCAGAGTTTTCTAGACAGAATCCATCTTTCCACTCATTAGAATTGACTGCTTTTGCTTCTTGATTTTTCTTTTTTATATGCAATTATCATTGGGGAAAGTTTTTTTTCCATTGTGTGTTTGTCTGTGAGTGTGTGTGCTTGTAGTAAAAAACAAAAAGACAGTGCTTAATGTAAAATAACAACTAAAATTAGTATTAAGAATTATATAGCTGTTCCTTACTGCTTGATGCTACTTAAAGTTACATGCTCATGGATTTTTTGCCTGATGATTGCCATGTGCATGAAACTTTAAGTAGCATTGAACAGTGAGGAACAGCTATATAATTCTTATATTAATTACTTTTCTATCACTATAGTCGGGATGATCCTGTCAATGGCAACCAAATGTGACAGTATAAGTAATGGACAAGCTTATGTTCCAGCTATTGGTTCAGTGATATCCTGAACAGGATCCCACTTTACCCATATATGTTTAGAAAATCTTTCCCAAGCCCATGGTTAAATATTACACCCAAACCAACTGATTGTCACATAAAATTAAAATTGATGGATTCTCATGATTAATTGAAATCTTAGGATAAAACTTTAATAAAATATGTTTTATTTTACCTGTTGATTACTAGCATCTTTCTTTCCCCAAATTCTAATGTTTTGAAAGCAGTACACAGTGATTTAAATTTTGAATTACTTGTTCACAACATGATAGAACAGCAGTTGTTTTTATCTCTTTGCTTCACCTTTGACTTTTCAAAGATTAGAATGATAATCTCAAGGTCTTGTTCAATTATGGCTGCAACTACAGTTATCTCTTCCCATATTTCTGTTCCACTTACATTTAGCACATCTTTTCTTTCTGGCAGTCTTAGAGTTTTCTGTCCCCACCATCTTTTCTCACAACTGTAACATACTCTTCCAAAGTGCACTACATGACTATTTATATGGAACCCAGGACACCAACTTGTCACCAATGACGTATTTGACTTTCAATTTATGTTCTCTAAGGATTATTTGATCTAGAAAGAATATGGCTAGCTAACCACTTGATAGAATTCTGATAACCTACTTTCTAAAAACTATTCTTCCTATATGACCACCAGAGAATATGTCTTTATGTAAACAAACTACATAGGTCATTGCAGTCTTTTATTTTTGTAAAGCCTTTTCTCCCAAATTATAATGCCTAAGAAACCACTTAAAATCTGATTGATAGGTCTTTATGTAAACCACTCAATCTCAAGGGTTTTTAGAGATAATTTTTGGTCTCACCTAATGAAGTAATTTATTAGTCATCTATTTCACCTGACACTGGTGAATATAGAGGTGGGTACAGAGCCAAACCCAATTATGCTAAATTATTTCCAAGCTAATATTCAGGTTTGATTCTTTAAAAACCATCAACCCATCTAATTACTCAAAACTTATTAACTTCTTAATTAGTTTTGTTTTCTACATTTAATTTCAATAATCATTAAACCCAATCAAGCCTTCTCACATATTTTTACCCAGGCATTTCTACAATTAACTCTGTTGATCATTGTCAAGTATTTTTGGAGCTCTACTCATCCCACATGAGAAGGTCACCATCCATCTTGTCACACTTATAGTATCTTGTGTTAAACTTACTCGATACTGGATATTTTTTAAGTAACTGCAAATAGCAAAACAATTCTAGTTTATTAAATATTTGTTCACTTCAAGTTAATATCTTGGAAGGGTATGAATCTGTACAATTCTAAATTCCGTCATCTTTGTATAATTTTCTTATTGGTATGATATGATTTTATAAGAATGAGGTGAGGATTATGGTGTGCAAGTCTCTTTTGCTAGAACGTAATTCTATAGAGAAACTGGATCTGTATTGTACTTAATTAGAATAACAACACAAATTAGATGCTAGAAATAAAATGGAAACCCATTTTCATTGGCCACTGCGAAATAATAATTATTATTATGATGATGATAATATAAAGAGCCTTTGTCTCGTGATGGGGTTGTCTATCTTAATTTCATGATTCATCTGGTAAAAAAGCTGTCGTAAATAAAACGAAATGATAGTGATCTCCCTTTATCTCTACCTTCAGTTACCTTCAGGCAACTAGAAATTAATAAGTCATAAGTTTTACTTAATAATGGTCCCAAAATGAAAATGTAGTGATGCTTTTGATTAAGATATGTGAAAAAGAAGCTTCTTTTAGGTGAAGGTTCTGGACTTGATAAAGAATGAAAAATAATCAGATACTAAGTTTGCTAAGACTAAAAACAAATCTTCACTGTCTTGTAACTTTTATTCTAATGTATTATTGTTCTGTTTTATTATGAGTTATTGTTGGTAAAATCTTTTAATGTACCTAATTCTTAAATTAAACATCATCATGGGTATGTATATTTAGGAAAAATATAGTACATACAGGGTTCAGTTACATTTTCTCCTGCTGAGGGTATTATCCAATGAATAAGGAATGACTTGAGGTTATAACAAATTGTTTTTATTGGTGACATATGTAATATTTTATCTATAATTGTTAATGATATTCTATTGCCTAGTGACCATGTTAAGTAAAAGAAATTCTTATCAATCCACTTAATGCTGATTCTGTAAACCTTACATACAGAGAAGTCAAAAACACATTTTATCTAAAGAAAACAAATAAGTAGTAAAGTAAATATAGTAATTTTAATACAATAAAAGCCATTTTTACCATTACTTTCAATTCATTAATTCAGTTTATGTAATATTGATTGGTTAATGTAGATATTTAATAAGCTTGGCTCAATCTGACCTCAAGGTCAAATAGAGAGAAATGTGGGGCTAGGAAGATTGTATTGTGATTTCAAGTGACAATAGCCTGTCTGCTGTCAAGAAAATCAGCATTTGAAATCCTTGTTTTTATCTGTATTTGAACACTGAACTTTGGCAAGAGGAACAACATAACTATCTCAGCCAAGCAGGCTGATTAGTGTAAAGAATAACAATAAATAAAACAATATTTTTACAAACTTTTCTTTCTTTGCAGGCGATTGATTGGAGTGAGAACATGTGAATCCAAATGCCTCTTTTCTGGAAGGTTTGTAATTAGATAAAATTATCTGATACCCCCCCTCATTTCATATCTCCTTTTGCTTCTCTCTCTCTCTCTCTATATATATATATATATATATATATATATATATATAGAGAGAGAGAGAGAGACACACAAAGAGAGCTGAAAAAGTTCTGGGCCTAAACAAATGACCAAACATCAGAATCAGGCCAAGAAATATTCAATACTCCAACTAATACATTGCAATATTTATCATTTATCAATATATAAAGAAATAAATATGAAAACAATTTTTCACACTTACACAATTTTTAATAGTATAAAAAATTTTTTACAAATTTACTAGATTTGGTGATTAAGGATTTTAGAATGCAAGTAACATAATTTATTAATTTTTTGTTTGAATTGAAAGAAACAGAAAATAACATAAAATCCATGAGTGTCTCTCTTCATCTTTTAGTATTATTTCTTCTAATCATTATAACAATGTCTTGTAGTCTTGTTACAAAATTACCCAATATCATGATGGGCAGGTATTTACTTGATTCAGTTTAAGATGATCTTTAAAAAAAAAAAAAGGATTAAAATAATGTTTTACATTTATTTGGACCTTTTTTTTTCCTACTTGGTTTTATTTGATTCCCCCCCCCAATATTCTTCCTTTAATTTTCTCCTTGCCCTTAAATAAAACATTTTTAATTACTTTCTGTTTTGTTATCTGTAAAATATTCAAGAAATCTTTTTTGTCTCTGCAGCCGAGGCGAGGTTTGTACCATTGAACCACTGCATATGAATTATACCATCCAGGACCATCCTATGCAGGAAGTGATGGTTTTAGCCATGGCTTCACTTTCAAAGGTAAAATATAAATACAGCTACTGATATTTTGAATTCACATTGATATTGCTAACAGAAACAAGATCCAAGTTCAGTTTACTAATTACTGAATTTGTCAAAGAAGACATTGTTAATCAGCCTGGTTACTGCTTTGTTAATTAGTAGAATTGTTACCCATAATGTGGCTCTTTTGTTTACCAACAAAGTAGACACCCACCCATGCCTGTAATAAAACAGTGTTTCAAACGGATGAAGCTTCTTCACTCCCTTGACAATATTTGTTTTAAAAAGCAATGATTAGAACTTTAATAAAACCCAAACATATGAAAGTGAATTTATACATTTTCTTTGTTCTTTAAGAATTTACAACAAAAATATTAAACATTGTTTACAAGAATAATTTTATATTTACAACATTCTAAAAATGCAAGTTAATGCAATGTTTATCATTTATCAATTTATAAAGAAATAAATACAAAAACAATTTTTTATTCATAATTTTATAAAAAATTTCAAAAACATAAAAATATTAATTCCCTGAGCAATGTTTGTCATTTGAAAAAGCAATGATTAGAATTTTATTAAAAGCCAAACATTTGAAAGTAGATTTATACATTTTCTTTATTCTATGGTTAACATATTTTGATAATTTTGTATTTTTTTTTTAAATAAATGGATTTCTTTTCATATTTATTTCTTTATAAAACAGTAAATAATAAATCTTTATAAAAGATAATTAATAGTGATAACAAAGATGATGTAAAGCCAGAAATGCTGTCAGTGTAAACCTGAAAAAAAGGATGTTTAAGACAAGCAGTTTTGAAATAAGTGCTTGATATTAGAGATAGAATATTAATAGGATTAATACAAATATAAAATTTTTCACTTAACTGATTGATGTTATATTCAGCATCTCTACTCCAGAGTTTTGTAGATGAACCTTTGCGTAATTATTTGGTCTACTGATATCTCCTGATGAGTGGACCAAACAATAGACAAAGGTTTGTCTATGAAACACTGGAGTAGAAGTGCTGAATATAACTCTTCATTCTTTATTCTGGTTGTTTGATCCATTAACTGTTATGCAACATCAGTGGGATCTAGAATATATTGACTTCATCTCCTATAGTAGAGTAAGAGCCACCCTTCCAAGAGGCCACTACTGGCTTGATGCTTTCAGACTTGGTTATAGACAACCTATAAATATATATGATAGAAGCAGGTAAAAATGGCCTTGGTGGACTCCTTAAAAATGAAGGCACCATAGCAATTTTTTTTTTTTTTTAGAATTTGTGAAATTTATGTTTTTTATTTGTAAAAAGTAATATTAATGTAAATTTTTTTAAAAATTGATAAAAATAAGCAAAAATTTTTAAAATCAAATATTTTTATTGGCAAATAACATACGTTATGATGACTAGAATTATTAGCAATGATGTGTTGCAGTGGAACAGTTTCAAAAAAGAAATCAAACATTACAACATTATTAGCTTAGAATATGTTGTGGAAAGAATGAGATTGTTGTATTACTGTATAAAAAGCATAAAATCAAAATAAATATTGAAACAAAAAAAATATGTACACTACAGTAAATGTCAAAAATGATCCTTTATTTTCTGACATGAATATTAATTATTAATTTCTCATTGATAAAAAAATATTTTCACAACTAATTTTTGTTGCCTAGCATTCAGAATAACTTCTTCTACTCAGGCCATTTGTCAGAATCAAAAAACATTAATTTTCTGTTATTTTAGATGGAGAGATGGTCCTATTTACAATATAAATACAATGTCAAACTGATCCCTGACTTTTTGAAATACATGTAGTTTTCTTTCCTTTTTGAGGGGACCAGTCGATTTAAGTATTGCTGTTTTAAAATGAAATGTATTATTATGTATGTGTGTATATGATGCTCATTTCATTTACTGTAGACATAAATGTTGCAAGATTGAAATAAATTTGTAACATTTGTTGAAATTCCTTTAATCTATCCCTTTTCTTTGAAAATATATCTTCATTAGGTTCTAGTCAAATTTCTTCTTGAAAAATCCCCACAACCATCTTATTAAGAAAAACATAACATTTTTCGTTCTTAATTTTAAAAAAAAATTTTTTTTTTCTTTAAGTTGAAAGCAAAACTTGCCATGGACGTGGCTTGTTTTTTTAAGGGCATCTCGGCATTAAATACAGATACTGCAGCATTTTGCCATGGTGCCACAGTCTAAACTCATCCCTGTATGTATATATATATATATATATACTTAACTATAAATAACAGATTTCAACATTAAAATCCCCCAAGAGGGTTTGAGATGTCATTAAATCCACTCACCAACTAACCATTAACTGACAAAAACCCTTGTGGCTCAGCATTTTGTCTCTTCAATAGTGTTTAAATGTAAAATCTTTCTTTATTCTATTTTAGGCTCATTAAGTGCAAAGTGGGACATCACTCTTTTAGGGTTTATATCGATTCTCCTACAATAATATAGCCTTCTTCTTCGCTTCTTTTGGGGGGGGGGTGTCGTTTGTTATAATCTTGTGCCCAAGTACCTAATGAATGTTTATGTAATGAGAATTTGAAAACACGTACACACAATTGCTCCATTATATTAAGAGCAACCAATAATAATTGATGTGTCACTTTATTGCAGGTTCTTATTGTAACCTTACGACCACAGTTGAAGATTATGTTTACTCATCCACTTAAGGTAGGAATTGGTTCACATTAATTTTTGACTGCAATGATCATCATTAACCAATGGTATCTAGATTTTTCATAAGAAAATAGTTGTTTTTTATAAAAGTTACTTTTTTAAAAATAATGCTTTGAAAATGAAACCTGATTTGAAATGAATTTCAGAAGCAAACACATGAATGTATTCCAATGTAAAGAAAAGACTAAAGACTTGTATATAAAATAAGTGCTTTTTGTGGATGTTTGTTTATTTTGTTTGTTTATTTTCTACTCTTCAGGGTAAACCGTCCACCCTGCCTTTGTTGGCTTGGCAGTTTGTCATTATTCAGATTTCAGAAAGTGATCGAGTCATTGATCCTGTCCTTGCTTTTGCCCGGGATAATACAATTTATTTTTATCAAGTAAGTAATTATCTGTATTTGCTAAGCTTAGGTTAGTCTGACACAAGGTCAAAAGCATAGAGCATTAAGTAAACATTGGAACCATTGCCATATTATTAGTCTACTAGATGAACTTGCTTGTAACTCCACTGTAAAACACATTCAGGTGATTGACTATTGAACCTGTAAAAATATGATAGGCTTTATGTACTGTATGGGAATATCACTATCTTGGCTACTAATTTACTTTGAGCATCCCTTCATACATTATGCTTATTACTTATTTGAGGTTTTTATCTACATAAAATTATGGGGTGGATTTTAAAGCTCTATCCATTGCTTAAAAGTGGATGTTTGATTTGGTTGATTGAACTTCTGCTACATGCCAGAAATAAGCCCAGTATTTTTGGATAAAATAAAAAGATTGATAATGTTGATTTTCATTTTCAACTTTCAAAACAGCACAAATAATCAAAAGTGGACGTCACATTACAATGGGATGTTAACTTTTTTATTTTGGAAATACAATGTCTTGATTTATAAGGAATAAAAAAATCTTTTAGAGAAAATGAATTTACTGTATTTGTAGGTCAGCTGCAGGATTTACAAGAGTATTTGGGGGAATTGCCATTTTCTGCAACTGACCTATGCCTTGTAGTTGCCACCACCTGGTCATAATGGTAATATTAGCTGTTTCCTTATAAAGAAACATTCAGTGTTCATTGACTGAGTGGCCAGTGCTACTTTCAGCTGAAATTTATGAAATCTTTCTATTAAAACAATTTTTTTTGGTGGGGGGTGGGAATAGGTTTCTCAAGTCCACTAACTGCTATTGCTCTTTCCAATATTAATCGGGGGTTTCCTTCCTAACCTTTTGTTTGAAGTCATGTGAAATGTCAACATCTCAATTATCTCATTATTCTCTCTTCAAGTTACATGTGCTCTCCATTTTAATTGTTGCCGCTGTTGAAAGTTCTCAGGTGATGTGATTTCTATTATCTGACATAGTTCTTTCTTTGTTATTCTGTAATGCCAATCCACAAGGTTTGAAAACGGTTTATCCTCACTGAGACCTAGAGGCTTCATTCCATCAAAGCCATCTTGTAACCATTGATCTGAGAAACTGGTTGTATACAGCTAATAGTTTAGATATTTCTGAAGAAGGTTGGCACCAATCATAGCATCCACATAAAAGTTTCAATTTAACAAGGCTATTTAAGAATATGACTTGAGCTTTTAAGTTAATGTTTTGGTGGTGTTGGATGAAAGTAACTGAAGGGCAACCTATTCTAAGTCCAATTTCCTTATTTCCTATACTAAAATTTGTTATAACTAATCCATATATACCAAGATATTTGAAGTATTTAATATTTACTTGTAGTGAGTCTTGATGAAAATAAAATATAAAAAAATAAAATATATGAACAAAAATAAAAATAATTCAAATTAAAAACCCTTATCTATCTCTCTCTCTCTCTCTCTGTCTCTCTTGATCTCTGAACTTCTCTTTCTATACTGCTCTCAACTAACAAGAAGACAACCCTCAAATAAAAAAGAGGAAGAAGAAAAGACTGAATCCAGCTGAAAAACATTGGAAGTTTGCAGGAACAGAGCCTACTAATTTATGACTGAAAACTAACAAAAATCAGGGAGGTTTCATGCATAACTTCTGTCATAATGAAAAATGAAAAAGAAAAGAATGCCAGAAAATAAAATAGTTTTGACCAATCCAAAAAATGGACACAAAGAGACTTTTGATGTTAGCTGAAATCGGTTCCTGCCAGAATCATGGAGCCTAGTCAAAAGGATATAAGCTGATACCTCTGAGCTAAAAGCATAAGGGATGACAACAGTGACAACAAAAGACGCTAACATAGAGAAATCAACCACATGTGATGTGTGAAGTAGTTAAGAGGTTATCTGCTAATGATATTTCTGCCCTGCTTAGGGCCAAGAAAAAACACAGTAGATTGTCACTAACCTATTTCTAATATTACTATTGACCCTTACATGGTCTAACTTCAAAACTGCGCTACTGGACTTTCTCCAAGCTACTACCAATATCTGCCTTATAAACAAACATTTCAAACACCCTAAAATAACAATATATTATTTATTTCATACTCTTGAGTCAGTTCGTTTTACTCCAAAGTTTTCAGTAAAGAGAATCTTACCACCTATTCACATACTAATTCCACATCCTCTATTTTTTATGATGAATTCAGTGTAGGTGCCATCACTGCTTTCATGAAGGTTTTGAGAAGCATGGAACCACTTCTTAATTGCTGTTGTTCTCAGGTCCACCTTACCCTGAGGTGATAGCACCTGTTATAGTCCCAGCTATGCTAACCCCCAAACGGGGGTGAAAACACTATGAAAGTATAAAAATAGAATTTTTATAGTAAAAATATTACCAGCAATACATTTGAATCTTAAAAAAACCCTCTTTACAAAAATACATCAATAAAAACTGATCCAGCTGATTTCTTACAAAGAATACTTATTCTATTCAAACGAACCTATCCTGAAAATCTTGTCGGCATTAAATAACCCATTGAGATTGATATGCTGTAAAACAAAATAAACCAAACTTTCATTCCAATTCCAGATCATAGTTTCTGTTTTAGAAGAGTTTATCTCAAGTTTTATTTCTTGGAACATATCATAATGCATTATGATATTTGCAGTACTTTTCATTTTTTTAATTTAAATCAGTGTCTTAAAATCCAGCAAAATGTAATTAATTGCTGCAGTGAATAAAATATGAAAACTTGTATTTTTGATTGCAGGTCATTTGTCATAGTGGTCAGGATATCCGATGTTCTGGCTTACAGAAAATTGAGCTTCCTTATCAACTCCTCTCGATCACTGTAAGCGAGACATTTTGAATTAATTCCCCAAATTTTGCTTTTAAATCTCTCAATCATTTTTGAAATTATTTCACTCCTGCATAATTGTGTAATTACAACCATGTAATTAGTGAACTGATTCATCTGGCAACAAAAAGATATTTATAATTGTCAGTTAATTGGAATAGTAAAAAAAATTCATTGAACTTATCAAAAGGAAGACATTTTGATCCTTATCTTCAAATTGATTTGCAATTTGTTGCAATTCTGTATCATTCCTTACACTCATGTGTAGAATTTAAAATAAAATGACTTCAAGCATTAAATATTTTTGTATTACTAACATTTTTAAAAGCAAACTCTTCTGTTTTATTTACTATTCAGTGGATGAACCCACGGACATTGGTCACTTTAGACACCACAGAAAAAATACATGTGTTTGATGTGAAATCTGAGGAAGAACTTGAAGTAAGTTGCTTTTTTATCTTTCCTTTTAATTCTGCAAACAAAAGAGAAGGTCGTTGTTTCAACATGTCAGACAAGAATCTGTGGATTATCCCCCCATAGTTACACCAGTTTCGACAAGAGGTCATTAGAGGGCACTGTTAAGCACCTATAAAAACGGGACACTTCTTGTCTTCATTCACTTCTCCCTCTTTTCCACCCAGCATGCTTTGCATCATCACAACCAGGACCTTCTCCTGGACATGGGGGATATATTTCCACATGTGACTGAACTTTCATACACACACACACATGTGTGTGTATCACCCGCACAATTCCTAACTTTTATTGCCTTCTTTTATTTATATTTTTTTTTTTTTTTTGCATGCATACTAGTGTACTTACTCTGTTATATAAAAATATAAAATATTACCTTGTTGAAATTGTCTTCCATTTCCTTACACCCTTCGTTTACGTGTACAAAATCTAGCTAGAAGTTCTGCAGCTTTTGGTGACCCTAATATTATTTCAACATACACCTACTGCAACCAACCTTTTGGTGAAATATTTTCACCTGACTTGGAAGTAGTTCTAAATTTTTAGCTTTCAATGATGCTGTTGTAACCTAGAGAAGGTTACTGAATAGAATAATCACATGAAGGTTGGTAATGAATGATAATACTTAGGACAAGAACAACACATATAAGATTCACCAGTGGCACGTAGAAGAAGTAGTCAACTGCTAGAAGTGAGTCAAATGAATTCCACAATGAATCTCCAACTGAAGACCAACATAAAGTATTTACTACTGTATTTATGTGAATGGGGATATACCCATTATTGTCTGTAGGTATGCTACAACAGGTGCAGAGAAGTCATTGGGTCATTGGTTTGAAGACAAATTAAAAATTCTGTACAACTGGGACACCATTTGCAGAAACATCAAATGAAATAAGAAGAAATGCTGTCAAATTTTATTTTTTTTCTCTCTTCTTTCATTATACAAAGAAAGTGAGAAAATGAAACCTGACTTACTACACAATGAGAGATACAGTGCAAGTGTTGACATAACAATTTTCTCACCTTAAAACCTTTAGCACTCTGTAGGTGACTATTTTTACCAAGCAAAATGTTAGTCCTGCCAATGCAAGTTGAATTTGAATTTCTTGGTTATTTAGTCATTTCCTTCTATGGCAACACCTAAAATAATCTAAACTGAAATTGAGAGCCAGGCTACTGCAATTTCAAATATATAGAACTAATATATAAAACATATGCGGTAAAAGAGGAAGTAATATTTATAAATGATTCAGAGTGCTAAATGTTAACCTTGTATGCATTCCATTTGTTTTGTTTTGGTCATTAGATGGCACTAGAAGTGTTTAGTTGTAACTAACTTTACATAAAAAATCACTTCTGATTGTATTGGGATAACTGTCATATAAGTGTACATTTAAAAAAAACATTGGTCAAAATTGGCACAATGAAAATGAAAGTAATATTTTTTGCCATATTTTGCTTATTTTATTTAAAAAAAAATAAAAATACAACTCTGTTGCAGAAAAAATATTTGTGCAATTTATGGAGAAAGTGTGGTGAATGATCAAACATGTCAAAAGTGGTTTGCAAAATTTGTGGCTGGAGATTTCTTACTGAATGATACTTCATGATCAAATGAAGGCATTACTTAGAAATAATATTCAATACAACATGGGACTTACTTAAAATATCTAAATCAAGCACTGAAAATCATTTACACAAGTTTGATTACAGCTGTTGTTTTGATGTATAGCTCCCACAAAGTTTATAAAAAAACAACTTTTACTGAACTGTAGTTCCATGTCTAATTTTGCTTTTGTGACAAATGATGAAAAGTGGATACTTTAGGACAACATGAATCACAAGTAAGGCAAGTGAAATGAACAAAACTAACCATACCAAAAGCCAGTTTTCATCCAAAAAGGATAATACTGTGTATATGGTGGAATTGGAAGAGTCCTCTGTTAAGAATTAATTTCAGAGAACCAAATGATTAATTTGAGCATATATTGCACCCAGTTAAACCAATTGGATGTAGTAATTGATGAAAAGTGTCAAAAAGGGGCAGGATAATGCTAGCCTGCATGTTTCTTTGGTGACCAGACAAAAATTGTCACTGCTTGGTTGGAAGGTTGCCACTCATCAAATAGTTACCAGATTTGAAACCTACCAATTACTGTATTTGCTGGTATCAAGGATTTAGTTTTTTTTTTTCCTGAAATAAGTCTAAAAACTTTGCATAATATACAGGAATCCAGTTTAGTGTCTGGAATAGATAAAACTTCCTCTTGGATTAACATAGGCCTACAAAAACCCTAGCCTTCGCACAGAAAATTTTTGAGATTTATTTTAGGGGGAAAAAAAAATTCCCGTTTTTGATGCTGGCAAATATATTAGTTTTTATTCCAGTTTTTATAAAATTGTCTTAATGGAAAAAAAAAATTAAATATTCTGGAAAATTATAAAAATCTTGCAGAGCACATAATGAAACCAAACAATAAATATGTTGTTAAAGAAAATTAATGTCAAAAAAAGAAACCAAAAAAAAACTTTCTTTTAATTTTACTAAAAAGAAGAAAATTTTTGGTTAATACAATATTTATTAAAATTTGTTGAATGGGTTCACAAGAAGTTTGTCTATTCATTCTCTTTTCTTTCAAATGCAATCATATATTTTATGCATTTTACTCATGTAAAGTAAAATATATATTGAATTAAAAACAGAGACAATAAATGATTTTAAAACTTTTTTTCTTTTGTAAAAATATTATTTGGATCAGTTACCATGTGTTCAGACAGTTCGGTTGCGAAGCGAAATGCTGCTGTTGTGAAAATTAAATCAAAATACTTGAATTTCAGTTTGTATGTTATTTCACAAATACACAATATTTAACGTGATTTGTCACACAAGCACTGCGGTAATAAAACGCATATGTGGCACCATTGTGACTAGTGCACTGACAATGGATGTATTTTCAGTTTATTTGTAGTTGGGTCGTGAAAAATCTCATCACAAAAAGATGGGGTCATGAATGAAAAAAGTTTAAGAAGCATTGGTTTAGAGTATATCAAATCTTCTCAACCATTGGCCCCCTAAAAAAAACTTTTCTCAAATTCCAAGTTCACCTGTCAAACAGGGATACATCATGAACTGAGCAATAAGAATTCATTTATTACTGAACACAAAAAAAAAAATGAGAATTCCAATATACTTGAACAAAAACGGATTTTATGAAATTAAACATAAGACCAAATGTGATCCTTGCATTTTTTGATTTTCTCTTTATTTTTATTTTCTTAAAATAATGAGAATTATATACACATTTGTGGCTAAAATAGCTGGCTCAGCAATAACATTTCTCTATTTTCAAGTTGACCTGTTATTTTATCAGTTCAATTACCAAGATCTCCATAAGTCTCCAGGACAATTTGTGGTAGAATATAGAAAGAAGAAAAGAATCAGTGAGATGCTTTCTCATTGCTTTTTGTATCTTTACCACAATTGCCATTGGTCACCTTTTCTCTTAGGCTACCTTCGATTGCTTTGTAGCGCCTTTAAGAATGAGTTTTTTTGATTGTTCAATTTTAATTTGTTTATTCTTTTATATTGGCCACTACTCTTCACTTTTCCCTTTCCTCTTTTTGAATATATTAATATATTCCCTTTCCTCTTTTTGAATATATTAATATATTTATATTAAAAGGGGAAAAAATGATCTGTCTCAATTGCTTTGGTATTTTCTTTTTTAGATGATTGATATTGCAGATGTGCAGATGGTCTATAGTTCCAGCCATTTTAAGTCATTAGCAACTGGAGGAAATGTCAGTGAAGCTCTGGTAAATAGACCCATTTACATATAAAAATAAACCCATAACATGTCTTGGAATTTCCCAGTAAGTCATTTTTGATCAATCCACAAAATTAAGTCATATGCCTAAGGAGCAAAAATTTCTTTTTTTTTTTTTTTTTGAACAATGTAACAATCTAAGAATTAAGCCCAAAGAATTTATCAGAAACAAGAACATCCGATGAGTTTTATGTGCCAGGAAGATTAATACATGTTGCCATTCACTTGTTCTTGAGGGTTTTTTCTAAATATAAGCTAGAACCAATTACAGTGCCATCTATGATGATTAAGAAAATAGACATTTTTTTTCAATATGGTAAATAAAAGAACAAAAAATGTTATTAAAAAATGACCTTATTAAAGATATCAAGTGAAAACTAGCCACTTGTTAGAGATTTTAATAATTTTCATCTTTCACTGATTTTTTTTGTGTTTAAGGCATTTGCCGGAGAGCAGGCATGTTACCAGTCAGTGGTCAGCCATGGGGGTCAGTTAATTGTTTTAGGAACAGAATCCGTGACAGTCTTCTCTCTGAGATCTTGGATAGAGGTAAGTACATTTTTATTTTGCACATTCAAAAAAAAAAAAAAATAAAAGAATTTGAATTATCCTCTGATCTAGAAAATCATTCAGGTACTGAATGCTGGTGGGGAGAGATCCTTTATAATATTCTTCAGGGTAATGAGATTTTTCCCTATGGGACCCATCTCTATGTTAAGATGTGATTGGTTGTACAAGAAAATTACATAGCATTAAAAGCAAGGAATAATCTCTAACCTGATTTCTTGGGAAACGAGGTTTCATGCCTTTTTTCAATGACATTAATGTGTAGTGAATATAAACCATTTCATCTGGCTTTGAATCTTCATTTTTCAAAGCCGTTAATCACTTGACCAACTTTACACCATATTATCTGACTTTATTTGGTTAGAAAGATTGATATATAAATAATTGTAAATATAAAAATAAACACACTGATTGATAGTAACCTAAAAAAATATACTTGTTAGTAATCAATATTTGACTAACAAACAAAACTAATACTACCAAGTGAGTTTATATTTCAATGTTTATTTTGAATCGTAATGTTCTGAGATTTAATCTTAATATTAATCATGTATCTTCTATTTTATTTATTTATTTATTTTTTTATTAATTGTTTGTTTTATGCTATATCAACCCATTGGGTTATTTAATGTCAGAATTTAATGTTTTTCTAAATAAAGCCATATATATAAAAAGTCAATTTTTTTTAACTAGTAGGACTACCGTTAATGTTATGTTTTTTTTTAAATTATATTTTGTGATCAGTTTAATTTCTCTTAGAAACTGGAATATGTGAAATGGATCAGTATTTTGAAAAAGTTCTTTTAAGTTTGTTTGGTAGAATTTTAAGTAGATTAAATTAAAATTGCTGCAGTTTGTCAGTATGTGTTTTATGGTGAATAACTCTTGGTATGGTACACATATTGGCGGTACTTCCTCTTTCAGGATATAGGAATGGCTTATGGTAGTATGAGCCTAGACATAATTATGTCTTCTCTTCTAGTTTGGGGTTTCTGATATGATTCTCCTATGGAAGGTTTAATTTTGTAAGTTTATTGTTTGGGCAGGAGGTTAATAGGTTCTTTCACTTCACCCTAATATATTTATTGATTGTTGGTTTCAGATCTGTATATGGGATTTTGGTATTTAAGGGGTCTGATGTGTTTTTTATAGTAGATACTTTTACTAATTATTCACCCAATACAAGGGCCAAGAGCCTCTCAAGGTAGAAGGTTGTTGTATGAATGTAAAAGGAAGAGGTAAGAATTGCAGATTATGAGGACATGTAGAATAGATATCGGTTGATACTAGACAAAAAGGTTAGGATTGTGGCGATTAGGAAAGCATCCTCTCTGGAGTATCAGTATTAAGCTGTCTGAATAGAACTTCCTCCTTACTAATGGAATACAAAGAGAATGGTGATGATTCATTCCAGTGTACATGACATAGAGGTCTTAGCTGTGAAGGTCTGAACTGGTAAAACAGATGAATGTAGTTTGTCAGAAAAAAATAGCAATAAATTCACAAGAGGTTTGCAATGTGTTGTCTGTAGGAAAGAGGTTGTAGAGTGGATAATAATTCATCACACACATGGCCAAGTGGATGCTTTTGAACTCTACCATGCAACTCCATCCCAGATATGGCAACAGTATTCTATTTTTGCTCTGATCTGACTCTTGTAACGATCAGCATAGCAGGAGGAGTTATGTACTTTCTGGCGCAGTACAAGGAACTGACCATGTTCCTTCACACACTGTATATATCTCACATTGTCCATGTGATGCCATGAACATTCAAATTCCTTATATACCATCGTGTGAAAGATCAGGAAGGGAGAAAAAAAATGAGAAGAAAAATTGAGTTGTGTGAACTTAATCCCCCCCCCCAACAGGGGTCTGTGGAAAGAGAAAAGAATAGAAACAGAAGACATCAGGAGGGGGAATTTATTAGGTAAATGGGAGTGAGTTAAAAGATATATATATATTTTTGAGATTATATAAATTTATGATATTTGATTTTATAATGAAAATGTATTCAATATTATTTAAATTTTATAATTTATTTGGATTCTCATCTTTTCTTTATTAAGCTTTCCTTAGTCTGACACAAGGTCAACGTTATTGTCCTCTTATCAATAATAAGAAACAAACCAAAACACTTATGAAGTAATAAAAATATGCTAATATATAATTAATTTCTTTCAGCGTATTGATGTTCTTGTAAAGCAGAATAAACACCGAGAAGCATTGGCTTTGGCTCTGTCTTTCTATGAAGGCAAAGCTAAAGCTGTTGTGGGTCTGATGGGATCAACAAAGAAGAAAAAGTGTGTTGTGAAAGACATGGTGAGTAATAAAGATTGCAGTCTGCTTTTTTTTCTTCTTCTTTTTTTTTCTTTCTTTTTTTTTTTTGGAAGCATGGTGGAATCATTGTGGCTTAGATTTAGGAATTGGAGTGTCAAGTTTGAATTCCACTCAAGTTCATTGTATTTACTTATGTAATAATACCTTTGGGAAAGGTAAGGAATCCATCTATTTTCCTCCCAGCTATGGAGTAAATAGCAGGACAGATTAAGTTTTATAACCTTGGGTGGTAACTGGTCTAGAAGGAAAAACTCTGAATTCAAAACCTCTAATTATGGGAAAATAATAGGGCAGTCTAAGCTCTGTAGCCATGGTTGACAACCAGACGAGGAGAAAGACAATACTAAATTCAAATCCAGAGCCAGAGTCCCTAAGACAATCCAGTGTCATGTTCAATTTTATTCTGTTAACTTCTGCAATGATGCTGGTGCCTAGCTGCATTGGCCTCTGCCTTTCCCTTGGACAACTTCAGTGACATGGAGTGGGAAGACGTGCTGCATGGGCAATTGCTGATCTCTCATAAAAAAAAAAAAAAAAAAAACCCTGCTCAAGCCTAAACCCTGGAGAAGGCACAGATACTATGATCTCTCGAGAATGATGGATGCCATACATGTGGCTTTATCAGAATTAGTTATTTACAAATATTTACTAACTAAAGAACCTGCCCATGGTCAGGTTTCTAAAATGAAGACAATAACATGAGTTCACATAATTTTGTACAAATTGCTTTAAACAGATGTTACCAATTCTTCAGTTGCTCCAGGAATTATGATTATGCTTCCAAGCATTTAAAGAAATAATCATTTTCTTTCACTTTTTATAAAAAAATTTACGAAACACTGACACAAACAATATAACTGTCTATATTACATTGTTCAGACTGTTGTTCTCAACTTTATTGCCATGTTCATGATGTTTCAGCCATTGTACACTCTGGCTCTCTTCAAGCTGGGGTAGATTGTTCTAGTTTTGGATATCTCCGTTATCTCAACTCTTCAAGTTTTTGTTTACCACTTGCCAGGAATTGAACTCGCAACTCTGGGTCAAGTCACTGGATCCAACCAATGCTTTTATCCACTGGGCCATGTGTCCTTGAGGACATCAGTATATGAATTTTTGGGACTTATAAGCTTAATGTCTCAGTAACCATTTTTTACCAACTACTGTAGTTACTGTATGTGAATTCCTCTTCAACAAGAACTTTTTTCAATGTCAGATGCATCATTTATTCTTATTCATGCCTTTCCATGAGACTAATGCAAAGAGAACTCAGATTATATCAGTTAGAATTTGAACTCACTTCACCAGCTACATTCTCTGTGTTGTTAACTGCTTTGCCATCAGTACTTTTCCCTGGTAGCTTTTTTAGAATTAGTGTTTCCAGTTTATCTGGTGTCAAGTAAAAAGATGTTCTTTTTAGTTTGGTTGGAAATAGCAATTTTGACCCTGAATTGATTTGTGATAACTTTTATGTAATGACTTTGGAAATCATCCCATTATCTATCACATATTCATTTGTGATTCATTAACCTTATTGATTAGTTTTTATCCCCAGTGTTCAGCCATTTGGCTGGCTACATTACATTCAAAAGCAAACAACTACTAACTTTATAGTAAGAGATTTGCATGTGATGAATTTGTAAATGTAATTTCATAGTTATAAAAATAATCCATAAATTATTGATTTGATGTCAGTTGATTTAATTAAGAAAATTATTTAATCTACATAAACTTGTTTTTAATAATGACATCACTTTCTGAAAACGAATTGTGGATAATATTATTTTTATTTTTTATTTTTGAATGGCATATACTTTTAAGAAGTAGGTGTGATCATGGCTTTCTACATATTCTTATGAATTGCTATGCTTTGTGGAAAGATAGTGGAGTGGTTTCCCTTTGCCTTTGCCACAGTTTCAAATTCAGAGCAGACCTAGACACTACTAACCAAGGCTAGAGAGTTCAGTCTATACTGCTATTTAACCTATATCTGGGAGGAGAATAGATGGATTCATGCTTTTACTAAGGATATTAGTACAAAAGTGGATGTATCCAACTAGGTTAGAATTTGAATTCTGTTCACCAATTTAGCTTTCTACACGAATAACAGTTACACTACTTGCACATCCTAGTAGTAGTAGTAGGATAGAATAGTCATTTCATAAAACTACTGAATTGTTTCAAATCCTTTGTACTCAGTGGCCAATTAAAGCAATTATTTGTCTTTTTGATTTTTCTTTTTCTGTCAAATAAGAAAACCACTTTACATTTGAACTTTTGTTTAATTGGAGAATAAAGCTGGTTATTTTTTTGTTTCTCTCTTAGCACAGAAAAAATAAATTCCATCAGGATATGATTTATTCTTTTAAATTTTGCTGGCGACAAGTAAAAAAAACAAAAATGTTTAATGGCAAATAACCGAGAGAAGTTTGTTGTTGATATGAACAAATGTAAATCTGTAATAAGAATTTATTCAATATTCACAGTCTTTGAAACAGAATATCTTATAATGAAATTGGGAGACATTTTTATCAGGTTTTGAAAAATGGAACTTTCTTCATGATATATGTCATAAGAAAAACCTTCATAAGCCATTTGCTACCTTTTTTTCTAAAGAAAATGTTTATTTTTACCACAATAACAACTTTGTCAAGAAAATAAATTTAAAGATTGCATTAGAGAAAACTTAGACCTTTATGACCCCCCAAAAACGGAGTATCAAACGTATGATGAAAGTGAATTTATACATTTTCTTTTTGTTCTTGAGAATTTAAAACAAAAAATATTAAACACTATTTATTTATTAGATTGTTTATGTACAAGTATAATTTTATATTTACAATATTCTAAAAACTAATACAATTAAAACTAATACTCTGCAATATTTATCATTCATTATAAAATAAATATGAAAACATTTTTTTTTTTTTTTGATAAATTTATAAACATTTACTAAATTGTTAAAATATGTGAACCAACAATAAGGAAATCCTTATTATTTACCATTTTATAAAGTATGAATAGATTGGCGATTAGCCAATGTTTTGCCAACCATTCTAATAAACAATCTAATAAATAGTGTTTATTATTTTTGTTGTCAATTCTCAAGAACAAAGAAAATGTATAAATTCACTTTGATCATGTTTAGGTTTTATTACAATTCTTATCATCACTTTTGAAATTGAGAAATTATGACTTATCTGTATCTTTTTATTCTCCAATTTAAATATTTTATCTGTCCCATCTTAGCCTGGTCAGTTGTCTGTCCGCTTTCTTTGTAAATATTTGAAAATACTGAATGTTTTTATTTTTTACAGATCAAGTGAGAAATGTTTGATATTTGAACTGTTTTTTTTATTTTTTACAGAACAAGTGAGAAATGTTTGATATTTGAACTGTTTTTTTTTTTTTTTTATCAGATGCTGAATTTGCTGTTTGAATTTGTTGACTTATCGATGACCCAGTTTTGTCCCGAAAAGGGAAAGATCGAAGAACTGGAAGATTATTACCAAGTAAGAATTTTGTTAAAGTCAGTCTGAACCTAAACTGACTCACATTATGTTTATGTTAATGATGGACAGGGTTAATTACAATTACTGTTTGCTTCATTTCTTAGTTTGAGTTGAACATTTCAAGAAATGCTGTGTTTGATGATAGATACAAATCATGACAATTTTCTTAAAAAAACAATGTCCAAAAAATATGTCACAGTTCTTATATACAGAATTTAATGTGTCTGGTAAGTTAATGTCTATCCAGATGCTATAAACTATCAGCACTTGTACCTGACTTTCAAACTTGTTTGTTATGACACATTAGTGTGATAAATTAATCATTCTTTCTTTAATTATTGACTAATTTTTTAATGAATTATTTCCATTTATATAGATTTTGAATTATATATTTGATTTGGTTGACAAGCACTAAGCAATGTTAAAAGAATTTTATTTTTAAAATCTGTTTTATTAATGCAAAAGATTTGGAAAGTTCTGATATTTCTTAATTCTATGATAATGTAATAAGAAATGTAAAATATGTACGTGTCTGAAATGTCATAAAATCTAGTCAATCTCGTTGCTTTTTTAGTATTAGTTGATTTAAAGAAATCTGGTAATAAAAGATTTCATTACTTATTGAAAGTTTTTCATGATATTTTCTGAAAAACAAAAATATGTGTAGTAAAGTTATTTGCATCATAAGAGTCCAGATTTTCTTTTACTCGCAAAAGGAATCATTGTTTTACCACACCTGATTATTACAGTCTGTTATTACATGACTTAACTGATATTTGTATCCTTGTTATTTTGATTATTAATTTTCACCTAATATACTTGGCTTTGGATTTCAGCAGGAATATAATTCATTTGATATAAAAAAAAGCTTTCTTTTTCTACAGGGTGCTATGGATAAATTGTTGCCCAAATTACTCAAAAATGAAAATAACACTGACATCTCATTTTAACAGATATATTTACCAAGATTACACAAAAATATCTCAAAATACTAAACAGTAAATTTATTAAATAAAATCGCCATTGGCTTCAACCACAGCCTCTAGACGACTTTGGAATTTCCTGCAACTCTTTAGACGGTCTTGTTTAAGTTGGTGAATGTTGCCATAATCCTTGTATCAAACTTACAGCAACCGCCGTCTGTCTAACTCTCTTATTTAGCAGGGAGGAACCAGACAAGCCTTGCCAAGGGCAAGGTTTATTCGGGAGGTTGACAGCTCTCGAACCTGCCTAGGCGGGTTCGAAGGCTATACTTTTGGCCGGGCCTATGGGCTCGGATTACCCACATTAAACTCGGCCTTGTGCCACATACTACCCCACATGGGGGTACAGCTAAATATAGCTGCCATAATCCTTGCCTTCAGTTCATCATTGGTGTTACAAGGAGTTTTGTTGGTCTCTTACTCAACTGCCCCCTACACATTATAATTAAGGGGGTTGCAGTCTGGGGAGTTAGGTGGCCAGATGTAAGAGGTGATGTGGTTGAGGAAATTGTCTGACAGTCATAACTGGATTCTCTGGCTTGTGTGGCTTGATTCAGTCCTGTTGCCAGATATAGGGTCTTCTAACATCCACCCTCTTGACCTAAAGGTAGCACTACCTCCTCAAGGCACTTGAGGTAGGTTGAGTCTGAGGCCCTGTGAGAAGATGAATGGAGGTATAATGTTACCATTACTAGTGATCACTCCAAACACCTTCATTAGACTCCTCCAACTCTTTCTGAATGCTTTGCACTGTCCTCAGATTGACACTCAAACACTCAAAATTTTTGTACTGGAGCTTCTGGTGTGAATGTCAAGCAGTACAGTATGTGGTTTCCAAATTTCTGGCAGAGTGAATTGTATCATGGTGCTCGTTTTCTCACAGACAGTACCCAACTGATCCTGCTATCATGTGCCATGACAAAATCAAGAACAAACAACATGCATGCACGAAATTAAAAATATAAAATGGCAACAATTTACCTGTCGTACCCTATATATCTAGACTTTGTTTGAGATTCCTACAGATGGACTTGAGTCTTCAGCCTAAAATAATCTGCCAACTTCTAATGAGTGGAATAGCATAGCTACTATTTTTCTCAACACATTCACAAAACATTGACATCATATTTCATCTTTAATCCTCACTTTCCAGCCTTGATAGAGTTCAAAAGTGCTTGTGTGGCCTTGTGGGTGATGAATCGTTTTCCACCTTACAACTTCTTTCCCCACAGACAAAACATTGCTAGTTTCTTGTGACTCTATTGCTATTTTCATGGCAGATGTTTGTTGTGAATTACACATCTTGATTCCACCAGTTCAGACCTTTACAACTAGGCTCTGCCATGTCATTCCCACTGAGTTGATCTTCATTCTTTTTTATATTTCATTAGTAAGGAGGAACTTCTACTCACGCGTCTTCTTCTCCAGAACTATTGCATTGTGGAATAGACTCTTGAAAAAAAGGATGCTTTCCCAATATCTACAATCTTAACCTCTTCAAGTCTAGGGTCAACAGTTATGTATTTTACATATCCTCATAGTATGTACTTATTTCTCCCTCCTGTACACCTTTAAAATAACCTCATTTACTAATCCTCTACCCTGTATTAGGTGAACAATAGTTAAAAAAATAAAAACGAAAGACTCCAGTAAATTAGATCACTCTCTTTGAAATTAGATCAAAATAATAAAAAGGAAATGTCAATGGAGTGTATACATTAGGAATATTATATTTGTTAGCCTGTTTAAGCAGACCCATTACAGGATTTGTGATGAAACAACTAAATCAAGCTTGGCAAAGCATGTGTAGAAAGATGATGGACACACCACTTGTGCTGAATTAGATCCAAAATAACGGAACAACAATGGAAGATCTATAAAGTTAAAAAATCCATGTAAGGATTTTTCAAAGAAATCCCATCTGTTTTACTGATATCTTAATACCATATGAAAGCTAGATTTCAAATGAAAATGTAAAGGCACCCTTCCTCCTGAGTACCAATCTTTAATATTATAGTGGTAAGGGCTTCTAAAACCCTTTTGCTACCAAATGTCGATCAGACGATAAATTCAAACTCAATCTGTTTTTGTGAGATCTTAAAACCCTAAATGATATTTGTCAAAATTTGGTTGCAGTACAACTTTTGCTTTGAATATTTACAATGTTCTTGTTTTGTTTTTTTAAAATTTTATCAGTGCTCTAATCAGTGATTTGTTTTTCTTTCAGGGAATTGTTCCTGTTTGTGTTGACTATTGCCTCTGTTTAGAATGTGTGTAAGTAAAACAAAAAAATAAAATCATTTATTTAATCCAAAGTATAAAAAAATACTTTCTTTTACCATTTCTCATATTACAAAGATCACTGTGTTTTTTTGAACTTGCATGCATATAATTATAGATATACCATACATGCATACACACACGCATTATATAAATCAGCATATTAGCCTTCTGCCTCTTTTTGGCAATGTACTAGAGGCTATATTCAACTTTGAATTGGTTAAGCATTTCACCTCACAGGGTCTTCTTTCAGATAAGCAATATTGATGTTACTGTACATGTATATTTACATCATAAAATTTAAAAATTGTGCAGTACATAAGTTTAGCTAAAAACAAGACCCTGAAGATGACATCTTGCTAATATCAAAAGTACTCAGGAGTAAAATAGATACACATCAACATTGTAATTTTATTTCTTCCTTTAATAAGAATTCTAAGAAACTCATTCATAAATATAAGAGGATCCTATTAAGAATCGGTAACCAAAACTTGTTTAAATTATTTAATGAAGCATATCTTAATAAAAACATGCTGCCAAAATATACACTATATATATATATATATATATATATATATGATAATGATGTATAAAGTTTTATATATCAAGAACAATTTTGGTGTAGATGTATGATAAAGTGGGGAAAAGTTTTTGTGTAACTCGTTTCGTGCTTTAGAATTTCATTGGACTAAATTTGTTTGCATTGGTGCAATTACACATGAATGAATGAAAGATACTGGGAAGTCTAAATTTTAAGTTACTTTTAAACTTTTTTTTTTTTTTTTATGTGTTTTGGTTATATAATCTGGCTGATTTTTTCTTTGTTTCTATCACTTTGGTTATTAGGTCTCCCACACTGTGATAATAGGAAATTATGAAATGTTCTATGAGCCTGTTCACAAATTTGTGGATGACTTTGCAATCAAGACATTCTCTAAATCTTTTTGTCTTAGTGAATTACTTTTTCCTTTGATCAGATTAGCATTTTTTATATCAAAATTCTGTTCAGTCTCATTACAGTGAGCAGCTAATGCATTTAATGTGTTGCTCTGTAAAATGTCTTTTGTGTTCATATAATCTTTTATCTAAATTCCTTGAGGTTTCTCCTGTATATTTTTTGTGACAATTATTACAGATGATAGAGTAAATTTCTCCTTCAAGTTTTAGCTTATTTTGTTTTGTACTGACTAATTCTTTTATTGCTTTAGATGTAGTCGTAACAAATTTTGTTTTAGTTTAGATAAATTCAATTGTAGCTGTGATAGTTGGTAGGATAATATATTTTTTGATTCACTGAGTTTGTCAGGAATGGCTGTTTTTCTATTTTGGAATATTTTATGAGCCATTTTTCACATTGAATATGAAAAAGAGTATTGGAAGAGTTTGAAAGTATTTTTAGTGTATTTTTCCTCTTTGTGTGAATATTGAGCATTGAAAATTCCAAGTGCTCTTAGATAGAATCTGATGATTATTCTGGATTTTATTTTGTTGTTATGGTGAAAATAGAAATTTATGAGATCATTTTTATTAGTTGTTTTTCAGTAGACACTAAGTTTTATGCTACTATCAATGCAGTGTAGTATGATATCCAGGAAAGGTAAAGTCTGATTTTATTCCATTTTGTATATAAATTCTATTGTATGTTCAACTTTGTTTAGTTTATCTACAAGGTCAGGTTAATCAGTATCACAATGATATCTTAATAGAGCATCATCAATATATATAGGGTGTATCAAAATACTTTTACAAACTTTAGGGGTAGGTTCCTGACACCAAAACAAGGTAAAATGTCTATGTAAACATATGTCCAAAAGGCCATTGTTGTACCTCAACACAGGAACTTGTAAGAAATGTTCAAAATGTCCTTCACTTGCTTTTACACATGCATGCACCCATCAGATCATTGACTAGCAGACCCTTTCATATACCCCCATACAGTGTTGAATGGTTTTGCAGATACTCATGACACATGGATGAAGTGTCTGCTTAGGTGACCCCTTAGATAAAAATCCAAAGGATTGAGGTTGGTGGAATGTGCAGGCCATCGAACCGGTCCTCCTCTACCTCTCCATCTTTTATGATAGATGTCAACCAGTGCATCACAATGTGATTAAAAGGTGCTGGAGCCCCATCATGCATGAACTACCTGCATCTTCATATTAACAGGTGTGCATCTTCTGGCAGGTTTGGAAGTGTGTTTCAAAATAGTCACTATAGACGTCTCCTGTAAGACGTGCTGGGAGAACATATGGACCTACCAGACAGTCACCTACAATTCCAGCCAACACATTAATTGTAAACTGATGCTGTATTGTAACATGGTGATTCTGATCCACCTACAAATGTTGGTTGTGTAAATTTGTTATTGCATCTCTTCCAAATGTTGCCTTGTCTATAAACAAGACTGAAGAGACAAACAATGGATTGGCAGTTTGCGTAATAAACCAACGGCAAAAGTTCTCCCATGGTAAGTGATCAGCAGACAAAAGACCTTACACACATAGCAAATGATACAGATACAGGAGCTGCTCTTGAAGTACCCACCATGCAGTACTATGAGATGTATGATATGCTAGGACCAATTGATGTGTGCTAATATCTGGATTGTCTCTGACAGTCTGTAGAATGTGTTCTTCATGGTCAGGCATACAAGCAGATCTTGGTCTTCTTCGATCCTTAGTTTGTGGTGGCATGGATCCTGTCTCAGCAATGTGATAATAAACAGCAGCAAAGGTTGGATGACTCAGATGCCTTTGGTCTGGAAATGCAATCTGATACAACTGTGTAGCTTTGTGTCCATTACCATTTGTGTGGCCATGTGTTAAAATTATATCATGCCATTATTAAATGGAACACTTCTCAGTTAACTCACTGCTACACATGTTAAACATTGAAGACAGACTAGCCATAAATGTACATGAATGATAAGTGTAACCTAGTCTACATTTCAAAACATAGTACAATCTACTGTAAAATTTCTTTAAACTTAATAACTCAATTTGAAGGCATAAGTTTATATGGACTTTTGTCCTTGTTTTAGGGTGAGGAACCTGACCCCAAAGTTTGTAAAAGAATTTTTGATACACCCTGTGTGTGTGTGTGTGCATATATATATATATATATATATATATATATATATATTTTATGAAATGGATTAAATCAACATATTCTTTAATTTGTTTTGCTTAAACTTTATTTTAGATGGCTACTTATATTCAACTAAATTCTCTAAATACTATTTAATTACTTAAAAGTAATTAAATAGTATTTTTTACTTAATCACATTTACTGACCTTGAAATCCTATTTGAGAAATCCTGTCAGAAAATATGTGTGACCTCCAGCAGGATTTGAAACATCAAGATTTAAGACATTTTTATTTTATGAAATGAATTAAATCCAACATATTTTTTTATTTGTTTTGCTTAAACATTGGCTTTTCCTTTTTTATATTTATATTTTTTAAAAGGAAAAAGCCAACACTCATTGACATTAACTATGATCACAGCCACAATGTACTGACTATGTTTGAAAAATAATACATTCCTATAACTTCAGACACATACATATTTATGTATTTAGTTAAAAATAAAAAATTTTCCTTGATAGTGGCTAAAAGAATAGTCGAAAGCACTCAGATATGCAGAACTTTTGGACAATTTTTACACATGTTGTCTATTTCTCTCTGAGTAGTATCAATCGTAGTACAATTATCCACATTATGTTTAGCAAACGGGTTCACTGATAATTGCCCTTTGTTCACCCTCTGCTCTCTATTTATGTTGTCATTCTGATTTGCATATGATACTACACCTCCCTGAACCGAAAAGGTCAAACACCCTTGTTTCTTCTACTACTATTTCTGATTACTTTTGCTTCTTTTTCAATATTCGAGTAGTTAATCATGATTGGGTGTTCTTCTTGCAATACGATAACAGCAATCACCTTTTCACTCGCGTCTGTGGTTAACATTATTTCTTTTTGTGGATCAAAAACTTTTAATATTGGTTTACTCCTCAGTATTTTCTTTACTATTTCAAAAGCGATAGTTTGCTCTTGTGTCCAGTTAAATTCATTATTTTTCTTGCATAATTTTGCAAATGTCTCTATTACGTTGCTGTATTTTGGAATGTATTTACTATAAAAATTAATCAGCCCCAAAAAGGATTCTAACTCCTCTTTACTTGTTGGAGCAGCTATTTTTGTTATTTTCTTTGTTAATCTCTCGTCAGGTGATATGCTTTCTTTTGATATTTGATATACTAAATATGATATCTTCTTGCAGTCAAAACTACATTTGTCTTTGTTTATTGTCATGCCTGCCTTGTTCAATCTCATTAAAATTTGCTCTGTTTTATATTTCAATTCTTCTCTGGTTCTTGCTCCTAGGCATATATCATCTTGGTAAATTATCATATTTTTTATTTTTCCTAATAAGACACTTTCAATCGCTTTCTGGAAAATATGACTTAACGTCTTTACCCCAAATGGTAGATGTGTCCATCTTAGCAAGTCTATGGTTCTTTCAGCAATGACCAAACTTGTCTTATGTTCTTTTTTATAACTCATTTGTTCTAATTCACTCAGGTAACACATTGTCAAAAATTTCTTCACTGCTTCACACCCAGCAGTAGCAAGAAATAAATCTGTTATCTTGCTTTCTCCACCTTCAGTTTTGGTATCTCTCAATTTTTTTACTCTTGCAAATGCTCTGATCCATGTCTCTATGTGTTTAGGATCTTCCAACACATAACAGTTCTCCACATTATGTTTAGCAAATGGGTTCGCTGATGATTGCCCTTTGTTCACCCTCTGCTTTCTATTTATGTTGTCATTCTGATTTGCATATGATACTACAACACACTTTGTGTCCAGAAAAGAAAACTCTTATACAAACACAAGAAAAATTAAATAAAAAACTTAATTACAGTCTCTTGTCAGTCATCTTTAACAAAACTTGTATAAAAGAGGGATTGTTGTCTAAATACACAATATATATATATATATATATATATATACACACACACACACGAAAAATGACTTCACCCCACAGATGAAATGGATAATTATCTCTAGAGCTCGAATTCCTATAAACTTTAGAGACAGATGAGACCTTTGCATTAAAGAGAAAATCCTCATAATCAAGCATAATGATCCTGAAGAATTACTCGACTAACACAATGAAATGATCTTTAAATGCAGACACAGAAATCATCTCAAAATAACTAATTACATTTTAAAAAAAAAAATACTGTCCATGGAAATTCTGAAAGTCTAAATTATCTATATTTGAAATAATACCCGATGTCTCGCTATATAAATTTAACCATTTATATTATAGTATATATTAATTTGTATATGGGCATATGTGTGTTGATATATATCCTTATAATTAGGCTAATATTTGTAGGTGTCCATATGGTAATTACAAGCATACACATATATTGGTGTATGTATATGTAGGCGTTTATATACGGAAGTATTTACTTGCTTGTATTTGGATGTGAAGATACTTGTATGCATGCACGCATGTATGTGCATGTGTATATGGGTACATATGTGTATGTATATGTGTGTGTATGTATGCATGTGTATGGTTACATGTGTGAACATGTATGTGTGTATGTATGTAAGAATATGTATGCATATCGCTACATGTGTATATGGTTGTGTATGTATATGTGTATGGGTATACATATGTATATTTATGTAGATATGTATGTAGATATGTATGTGGTATGTAGGCATATATGTATGTGTTAATATTAATAATAGTAATTTTTTGTTTATTGATCTTATATTCAAATTATATTTACTTCCTAGTTTAATTTGTTGAAAAAATTAGAATGCTTAAATTACTGTCAAATGTTAATGGCAAAATATATAAATCTGAGTTTTTCCAAATTGGCTGCAATATGCTCAGATACATTAATTCTCTTAACTTTCCTTTCCTTTCCAAATCTCTATTCCCCTTTCTTTCCTTAAACCCCTAATTCCACTTCTGATTTCTTATATCTTTACTTTTCTTTTTTCTCTCTCTATATCGTTTCCTGTGAGATGATCTATTAAATAGATCAATGTCTGGTCCTTACCCGCCCTTCCTCACTATTAGGTATTGTAATAAAAATAAATTTAAAATCATTCCTATCTCTCCCTTCTCTAATTTTGACCATGCTTGTCACACACTCTCTCTCTCTCCACTCTCTATATCACCTTACATCAACTTAAAACTACCCCTCAAAAGTGTATAAAATATATGTAAATTTAAATTCATTTTTTCACCCTTGGAAGTGTGGTCTGATGAGCTAGGGAAAAAGAAATTCCCTGGGGAAATAAATTATAACCAATGGACCCTTAAAGTTGTCTGTTTTCATTGAATTAATTGCTCCAATTTAACCTTGAGCTCTCTGGATTTCATCCTCCTTGGGATTATCCATATGGATTACCAAGATTTTCATTGCTTCTTAATAATAATAATAATAACTTATAATTGGTAGGGATTATTCCAACTAATTATGTGTGACAATCCCTTACCCTCATTGTCATTGTTCACTTTTTGACTCCCATTTTTTATGTCTTTTCTAGTCTGCTTCACTGATGGTTGGTAATAACTGCTATTTTTTACTAAACACATACAATCATGGGAGGGGGGAAATGGTTTGCTTTGCCATGCATGCATGCTACTGCTGCTGATTGGGATTATTTCAGATTTTTTCAAAAGGCCTCCTGTGTTGCTACTGTATTATGGATTTTAGAAGATGCCAAGAACATTTTTATGTGAAATTTTACAAGTCATCCTGTACTAATCTGCTCTTGGTAGCATAAACCAATAAAATGAGAAACTAGGCTGATGACACATAAAAAAAAGTAAATGCTATTCTATTAAACAGAACAATTAAGTTTAAGAAAAGAAGAAATACTATTCTGCAAATGAATTCTTTTACTTCTTGCAAGTTTTGCAAGTTAGGTGTGTGATATGAGTCAAATGATTTTGTTTTGATATTGGTAATCATATCAATGAAGATCAGCTTGGGTGTTAAGCCTGCAAACAAGATGCATACCTTCTTCTGATGATCAGAGTCAATATTTTTGACTGCACTAACATCCAGTCTGACCACCGGCACACCAGGAGCCAATCTGACTGCACCAGTTTGAGCATCTCTAATTTATTGAGACTTACTCTAATTAATTCATGTCACAGGGTACATTTGAATGTGTCTTTGTCAAGGGATTCACTTGTAGAAATTTCAACAATTATGTCTTTCTTTAATACTAAAAATATTATTAATGTTTCATTTAGCATAAGTGATATCATTTTGTTTTTTTTTATATACTTCATATTTTTGCTTTCTTACCTCCTAAATATTAGAATTATATCTGACATGGATTATCTCCCTTGTATCAAACTTGACTGTGATTCATAAATGGCGTTTTCATTCATTGACTGTTCCACTGACTAAAAAAAAAAAAAATTATTTTGCAGAGACATTTTATTTGGCCGCATCTATGACCGTTTTGGGATGGATGTCATAGCCAGAGGTACTTTCCTTGAATGCCTGGAGCCTTATATTCTTAATGACAAGTTGAATTCAATTCCACCAACTGTGATGAAGGATTTTGTTGAACATTATGAGAGCAAAGGAATGCTTGAAAATGTTGAGGCCTGCATTGTTCATCTGGAAGTGACCAGCTTAGATATTCACCATGTAAGTTGGTTTATATATTTTTTACAACTAATTTTTCATTATATCATAGACATTTTTTTCATTCAGTAATCTGTGGGGAATATATTCGTTACAAACACAGAAAATTAAATTGTTGAGCGGAATTCAAATTCTAGCCAAGTTTGTTGCATTGACTTTTTAATGCCCTTGAGAAAGGCGTGAATCCATCTTTTCTCCTTCCTTCCCTCACCAACTATGGGTTAAATAGCAGAATAGACTAGGCTCTCTAGCCTTGAATGGCAGCCAGTCTAGGAGAAAGATTACTCTGAATTCAAAACAATAGAGAAATCAATGAGAAACTACTCCACTATCTTTCCCAAGAAGTTATAGCAATTCACAGACAATAAAAAAAAAAGAAACTGTAGGGAACCATGTCCTGAAAAGACATTGCCTTTATAAAATAATTTTATTTAACTGATATAGAATGTTAAACTTCATGCAATATCTTAAATAATTGCTATTTCTTTTGGAATTACCACTAGTTCTGTATGTGCAAGAAATAAAAAAAATACTGGTTGATTTATTCAATAGTTCAGTGAATTTCAGTTAGAGATATTATTTTTTGTTTTATGATTCATCCTTATACAAACAGGTGGATGCACATCACCATGTGGAGATATAAATTCTTTACACTTACACATTTATGTATTTAAATATGGCCCATTAAGGAACTGAAACTTAGTTTGACATAAAGTATTAACAATAGGATTACTTCATTCACAAATTGATCTGTAGGATCAGCTTGTTACCTCCCACCCATCACTATACACTATGTTTGCCTGAAATCAGGGAATTGTGGGGTGGGGACTCACAATAGACTCATAAACTTTGAACACATTTTCTAGAAAATATTTATCTAATCTAAGCCTATACTTACTCCCAAATTTACCACAGCTATGATTGGTAAAATTATCAAAAACTGAAAATGCATTGGAAATGAAGAAAAGAACATCGCTTCTCACCTATAGGAAGATATTTGCAATAACAACTGTTGGGATGGTGGACAGGATGAAATGTCTTACCCTCACGGACACAAAATTTCTGTAAATTCAAAATAGATTGAACATTGTTTATCTGACATTTCATACCATAATTTACCCAGACCTTTGGGCAGCACATTCATTATTATTATCTTCTATATTATAATGTTCCAATTTCTGTATATTTATAACATAACAAAAAAAGCACATTGTTTGGTTGTTTAAAATGCTCTAACCTGAGGATGAAAAACAATTTCTACAGGTTTCTGAGTAAGTTTTTAGTTAAATATAGATTAAAAAAACGTCTAAGGGACATAACTCCAGGTTTATTAACTGCTAATTACAGGGATGTTTCTCTTGGTTTTTTTGTACCTCTCTCCTATCAGTCATAGTAGCAATTATACTTTGATAATCATAAATAAGCTTTATGATAATTAGCATTTTCAAATATAAATTCTATTCATGGAAAGTGACTCAACATCAAGCAGAGGCTGCCAAATCTGGCATTTGAGAAAATTATTTTAATATTACTTGTTAATGGTTTGTAATTGCTTTTTGAAAAAGTACCAAAACATATCTGCAAGTATTTTGTGAATGTTTTATTTGTTTTCTAATTGAAACTCTTAGAATTCTTCTAAAGGTTTTGAAAATCTAAGAAACACATAAATTTTCAGATTCACTTCCAATTTAATCTGCAGTTTGAGAGAATTGTTTATATAAGAATTATGTCATAAAAGTTGCTTTAGATATATTATTAATTTACATCTTAAATTAATTTCCCGGACTGTTTTATTTGAACAGGTCAATTTTGTAAGCTTAATATTGTGTAAGCATATTGCAAAATGAATGAAAAACTGTTCTCCTATTTGTAGATTGTTCATTTATGCTGGAACCATGGATTATATGATGCCATCATTTATGTGTACAACAAAGGCATGAATGATTACACAACACCTTTGGAAGAATTGGTGCTTGTTTTGGAGGCTGCTGTCACAACTGGCAAACAACTCACAGGTTAGATTTTTCATTTTATTTTTTACATACTCTGATTATCTTTTTATTTTTTACAAAACGAAAGGAAGAAAACATTTTTCTTTTTTTATTATTGTTTCAGATGCCATCATTTTTAACTGTTAAGCTATTGAATTTCTTGTGTCCATTGATCTATCCATTTTTGTTGGTTAGCAAATTTTTTAAAATTGAAAAAAGAAAAAAAACACTGCTAAAAGCTATATATTTTCTACAGGCTTTTCAAATAACCATCTCCCTAATTATGCAAGTTAGTCAACTTATTAAATATTCTAATTGGTCACCATGTAATTGACTGAAGACCAGAAATTCCAACTCTGGAATAGTCCTTTCTTTTGACAAAGGGTCATTTCTGCTATCATCTACTTAAGGATTATGGTGACAAACAGTAGTGAATTTAATAAAAGACTGTAGTAGTTTCACCTGTCAGATGTAGTAATATCTTAAAGCAGATTGTAATCTCTCTTGATTGTTGGTAGATTTAATGTTGTTTAGTAGAAATTTAATTTTAGAAAATTGAAAATATTTTTATTTTGTTTGTAGATGATCAAATAAAACTTGGAAACAAATTGCTTGTTTATATAAGGTAAGTAAATATAGATTTATATCCATTGTTCTTTTAGGATCTATAAACTTAAAATGTTGCTTTTCTGTATCTCTAAGAAAATCTTTGAGGGCAAACTTAGCAATAATACTCTTATAAATCGTAGAATAATTCTGTAATTTTGTCGAGTTTGACAGTGCAGGATGTCAAAAACCCATGAGGTTTTATTTTCTATAGAATCTAAAAACAGTAAATCATTCAGTCTGGTAATTTTGATTTGCATTTAAGTTGAAAATTTCTAATAACAAAAGTGTAGTGACATAGGCAAAATGGACTTGCCCTATTTTGCATAGTCAAGGGACTACTAATGACAGTCTTCAATTGGTATGTAGGGAGAACTACATCATAGATTAGAAAACATCATAACAAAAAGTTTTATAAAGCAGCTTATATATCAGATTATTCTTATCACCAATATTTATTTGTGATTTGATTTTTTTTTTTTTTTCCTTTTCTCATTGAAAAAGAACAGGATAATTTTTTCCTTAAACCCATATAAAACTCTTTCAGATAAAGTTTATTGACAAGGCTGCCTATTTTGTTTTTTCTTTATTACCCTTTATCAAGTTATCCTAATTCAATGGGTATTTAGTGTTACTATGTCCCTTTTTTCTTATTTCCAATTACACTGCTGTTGCTTTCAGTCTCCACGGTCAGCACCCCTACCCCACCAGTAACCTAAGTCTCTCTCTCTCTGCTCCGCATTGACCCATTATAATATGCTGATTCATGGTGATTTTCTTTCCTAACCTTTAAGAAATTCCAGAGGAAGATTGAGAGATACTCATTCCTCCTGGGGCATAGCTGAACTAGCCTAAGTAGACACCATAAGACCTTCTATTAAAAGTGCCCTTAAAAACAAAAGAGAAGTTGCCATAGTTTAAATTCCTTTGACTTCTCTGACATCCCTGGACTGCAGATGTTAAAGACTGCCACTGTGATTAGCAGAAATACAAAAAAATACCTTTTATTAGTTTTATTAGAAGAATAATAAAAATAATAATCTTGCTGCTACCACCACATATTTTAATATTAGGTGTGTGCAAAAGTTCCCAGTGCTTTTTCTTTATTTTTTTCAAAATTAGAAACTAAATGCACAGATGAAAACATGTTTTTTTTTTTTTAATTTGGTATTCCTTTGTATTCATCCTATGTTGAGAGATAAAATAAATGATAACAGGAAAGAAAACATGTATGACACTTCATGTTGTTCCTTTTCAAGTTGGGCAAGTCAGCAAGCAGTAAGACTATCAAAGATGGTTGCTGGAAATGGTTCAGTTGGAAAAAAATCTGTGTCATAAATGGTTTGTAAAGTTAAAGAATTGTGAATTTTATTTGAAGGACAATCCTACACAGAATTTGTAAGTAATGATTTGAAAGCTCTTTTAAATGATGAACACCCACAATGTTAGAATTGGCTGTAAACTTTGGTTTTGGTAATTCAGCAATCATAAAAGTTTTGCAAATCATGAGCGCAAATCAAAAAGTGGGAAATAGGTTCAAAATAGACTCTTTGAGTGAAGTATTGAACAATATTTCACTGCTTGCCAGAAATGTAAAAAAAAATACAAAATAGTCTCTTTTTTTTATAGGAGATTGTCAATGAAGATAAAAATTGGATTCAGTTTGAAGTGTCAAAAATCATGGGTGGATCCAGGAAAGCCTGCAGCATCACCAACAAAACTTGAAATCATTTTTGAAAAAAAAAAAACATTACTGCTCTGTAGTATTTGATGATATATGAAACATGATATGAATTGTTGAAACCCAGTGTGTTATAATTGTCCCCTTCAAAGTTTGAGTAACACAACTGAAGAAAGAAAAAGGCCATTTACAGGTTAGGGAACCCAATAAGTCTTACTGATCTTTGGCAATACACATCCGCATGTTGATTTAATGACCCTAAAAATCCATAATAGAATTGGGATGGAAATTCTTCCTTGCACAACAGATTCCCTAGAATTAGCACAATCAGTTTATATTATTTGTTTCAGTCAATGCAGTATTCCTTATCAGGTTAAAAATTTAAAGATGCCTTCAATTTTCATGGATAATATTATTGCGTCAAATCCAAGATTGTTTTATCAAAATGAAATTCCTTTACTTTCCAAATATTAATGATTAGTCATAAAAAGTCAAGAAATATGTTTTGATGATTAATATATATGTACCAATTATTAATTAACCAATTAAAAACAAATTACTGGTAACTTTTGCACACACTTAATAACTTTCAAAAGTTTTCATCTGAAATGTTGTCCAGGTTTTAATTTGTTAGCTTTAATTATTTCACTCAATTTTAATGAGGCAAATCATTTTAGAAACAAGTGTTCCTTTGTTGTCTTCAAATATCAAAAACAGGATTTTTGCTTTTTTTTCTCTTACAGCTACTGTTTGGCAGGAAGAGCCTATCCACTAGGAGACATTCCTGAAGAATTTCAATCAGATGTAAAAGACCAGGTCAATTTTTATTTTATTACATTTTATTCAACATTCCAATCAAACATAACATTAATTATTCTCAGATCATTTTTGTTATTCTCATGAAAAATTTCTTTTACACTTGTTTCCATTAGGTGTTATAATGATGGAACAATGATAATTCATGGGTCTTTTAAAGAATAACAATGAAAAATACAAATAAGAATGTCATGAAATTGACATGTGTGTGGATTGCTATATTGGCAAAAGAATCAATTTTAGAACTGGGAATCTTAGGTATTTGGAGGAAATGTCTTCAAAATATTTCATCATATCTTGCAAATCCTTGTTTATAGAAGAGATATTTGGGGCTATTGTAAGCCTGACTTCAGTGATTATGTGTCTTTTCATATATTAGATGAAAATTTTTGTTTCTTCCTACTGACAAGGGGGTTATGACTCCAGTTCAACTGATATTTCAGTTGGAATAGAGAGACAGTCAGTTGAACCTTTGCATAATTCTACTGTCTGTGAAAATTTGCCAACTAGCTAAGGCTGAAATGTCCTCCATACACATGCAACAGACTCTTTCTTGTGCTTCATATACCAGCTGAAATAAAAAATTGTTTTTGAATCTATCTTTTCACTCATTTCTTACTTTGGTGCTTAATAATAATAACAATATAAAAAATATAATCTTACATTTATGCCTATTGACTACAAATACTAAGAAATATTGTAATATCACAAGATTTACCTCCAGTAAATTTCTAGGTACTTTAGATAACTGCTTATTTCATGTATTATGTTTCAATCAGTTTACTTGGTTTTATGTTTGGACACTGTAAACCTGTTCACCATGGTTCCTAAGATAAGGCTCCCTCAATGGTTCTGGGTAAACTGAAATCTGACCTTCCTTAGACCCAGGCCTTCTCACTCCTGTTGGAGGAATCCCACCCTGAGTGATCATGTCTTCAGGTGTGTAGCTATATTCCCTATGCTTAGCCAATTGTGGGTTGATGAGGCTATTTAACCCATAGTTGGAAGTTTTGAATTGTTCTTTTCCTTGACTGGTTACCACCCAAGGCAATAGTATCCAGTCTGTCCTGCTATTTACTCCTAGCTGTTGGGAGAGTACATGAGTTCATATCTTTCCCAAGGGTTTTAGCTCATAATTGAATGTAACAGACTTGACTGGAATTGGAACTCTGCTATCCAATTCCTCAATTCGAGTCGCTATCCATTACTCCACTGTGCATCCATCAATGGAGTATAAAAAAACATGGTTCAAATTGGGATCTGACATATATAGGCAGGAAGAAGATATAGTTTTGGAGTTACCCTTGTCTCCATTGATGGAAAATATTTATATGGAATACTTTGAGGAAACGGCTTTCAGAACACCATAGAAAGCAACACTGAGATATGTGAATGACATCTTCAAATTCTGTCCTTTTTTTCTCAGAAGATGTGCATGTATTATCATACTATACAAATTCTATAAGACCTTTCATGTAGTTTCTGATGAAAAAAGGCAATAAATGATCACCTGACCTTTCTTGAATGTATCAATAATTCACAAAGGGCAAAGGTTCATCCATATATTGTAAGCCAACCTGAACTTTGATTCCACCATCCATAGGATGTGAAAATAGAGATCACTTGTTGCCTACAGCATAAAGTAAAACCTTTAAGTGACAACTCAAACACAAAGATGATCAATATTAGGAACACCCTTTAGATCAGTGTTTCTTAAAATTTTATTCATGACCCAATTTTTCATCACAAGATTTTTTGCGACCCCAGGTATTAACCAACTACACTGAAAATACATTGTCACTGCATTAGTTGCAATGGCACCACATGTGTGTTTTATTAGTTTAAGAAGCACTGCTTTAGAGTAACAATTACCTTACAAATTTTTTTCACTAACAAAAGTACAAGACAAAGGAAAACTGCCATGGTCAGTTGACCTTATATTAAAAGTGTGTTAAAAAGGAGTCAAAAGATATGTGGATCCTAGAGCAACAGGACAATGTTCAAAAGAATTTCCACTCTTCAAAGATATCTCACTAGAATCAAGTCTCCATCAGAAGAAAGCATAACCAAGAATTGTGTACATACCATTCCATTCAGATGTGAAAGGTTAGACAGCCATCTGCTAAGAGTACAATTTGAAGAACACTTAAAAGCTGTAATGTGTAAAGAAACTAGGAAATTGTGCATGGCTGATCATGTGTAGAGAGATAGAGTAGGTGGAATGAAGTTTGAATAATGGAGAACAACATATAATAGAAACAATAAGAAAGTTGAAAGAATCAATACCTAAGCTAGATTCTTGTGATCTTGGTAGGCCAAGCAGAGAAATTAACACTATATAAGAATCTTTCATTAAGAGCAGTCACTAGGTTTATGGCTTCAGATTTGATAGCCTGATCTACTGGATAATTGTAACTGGTAATTGTCAGTCCATTCATATAATGGTTTTGAAATTTTGAGAATGTTAGTGAATGTCAGAGGGTACAATAGTTTAAACAGTCAAATTCTAGTTGTGTGGAAAAAGCAAAAGTAATATCAAAAGGATGAATTAATATGACATATCCCTTAGTATAGACAGTGGAATAAGGATTGTATACATCTGTGAATTAAATTAAAAAAAAAAAAATTAAATTTGAAATTACCAGAAAGTTATTAAATGTAAGACACCTGAAGAAGGTGAGAGAATATAATGGTCAAAATGTTATGACTGTAACAACCAAGATAGAAATGGTTTGTGTCAGTTCTGATATGCTGATTAAGAATTAATTATTCTTAAAGAACAATATTTTATAAGTAACCATCAGTAATATTCTTTACAATATTATGAGAGTCTCTTTACACAAAAGATGAATGTATCAGCTGAGTGATGGTTTTCTAAGTGTAGCTTAGATGTAGTACAAGGCTGAAAGTATGGGACACCCAGTGAAGGTCAAACTTGCTATTTAGTCATTGATCTAATGAGACAAGCTTGTTAACCATTACACCATGTCAAAGTGCTCTGAACATAGCAACTGAGTGATTGAACATCAAATCTCAAAGATAACTAAATTAATTCCACAACCAATACATGACAATATTTTTTCTCTTAATCAAAATCTATGTGACTGATTATTTTATATTAAATGAGGCCTAACATATATAATTTTATATTCTGTACAATGGTGTTATGAATAAAGACAAAAGGAAAGCCTATCTTAGCGAACATGCTTCGTCCTCCGAGTGACTTAATCAAGGTAAATGCAAAAATTTTATTTTGTAACAATTATTTCTATACAAGAGTAAATATGTTATTCATTTATCATTTTTTTTTAATTTGAGAACATACATAAATATTCATCAGGTTAGCCAGAAAGTCTAGGCAAGCTATGGAGGACACCAAGTAACACAATTCATTGTCTAATAACCATACAATGGTGTTATGCATATTTTTTTAATTGGTAAAATATTTATTAAAAATATGTTAATTGTTTTTTGTTGCCAGGTTTTCAAAAGTGTAAGTTGTTTACATCGAAGCAAACCAAAAGAAGGTGAGTGGGATACAGTTTGAATGATATTTCTTTGACCTTGTGGCTTTTCTCAATCCTTGTGGGGATGTGGGAAAGAATTTGGTCTGTAAGCTTTTTACATGAAACAAAATTTCTGTTTGAAGTTCTCTGAAGAGGAATTATTATTTACACAATTTACATTTGAACTATCGTCCTCATCTTTCTTGTTACCACAACAATTTGGCCGTTGTACCTTCTGGCCTTCTTCACATGTTCTGAGTAACCTATAGAGTATTCTGAACAAAACACTTTATTTAATCTACAGAGGTAGACTATTCTCATTCTTCTGCCCATGTCTGGAGATATCTTGTCTAATTCTTATTTTTAGTACTGCTCAGTCCAAAACATTGTGATAACAACAACAAAGATGAGGACGATAGTCTGAATGTAAATAGTGAATAATGAAACAAAATGTAAGGCTTATTTAATATTTGTTTGCTAGCTATTGTCTTGCCATTAATTTCTTTATTTAAATGCAAGAGTTAAGTGATCTATCAACAAATGCTTTTATTGTAGATGATTAAACATCTTCCCTTGATAAGTCTGAAATCCTTTTGGCTTTGAGATAAAATCTTATCAATACAAAAAGTAATGTCACCAGGAATTATGCAATCTGTGTTAATATGCAAAAAAAAAGATCAGTGTTTTTGTCTTTGTTGTTTGTATTGTAACACTTTGGCTGATGTACACTTTGGCCTTCAGCACATGTTATCTATTTCAGAAGAAGACCTCTTAGGTCCATGCACAAATAATAGAATGTTATCAGTTAAAAGTTGGAGAAAATGTATGGGCTAAAATGTTACACTTAAAGCAATAGAAATGAAGATATTAGCCTAAAAAGTTCTTTAAACATAAGTTTCTTGCCTTATGTCAGAAGCTAAGAAAATGAACTATTTTTTTTTTACTTATATATTTTCTTGCTTTGCTTTTAATACATTTTTGCACTATTATAAGTCATAGTTTCAAGGGATTTGACAGAAAAATCAAATTATGAAAAAACTGAAGCCAAAATATTTTCACAATTTTTTCTCTCTATTATAAACAATAAAAAACAATTTAAAATGGTCAGAATTTCTCAAGGAAGATAAAGATTTTCAAATCTAACAGGTCTCTAAAAAGTTTCAGGTTTCTAGGTTTGTTATAACAAGAATAATTAGTGCTGCAGAGGAAACCTCACATTACTTGGTTTTCAATTCAGTTAAGTGATTCCCCCCCCCCCCCCGCAAGTGCTTTTCTACCTCTTTAGTGAACACCCCCTCCATAATTGCTTTTCTAGCACTTGATTGAATGCACCCTCCCTGCAAGTGCTTTTCTAGCACCTAAGTGACCCCCCCACTACATGAACATCTTGGTCAATGTTTCCGGTGAATATTAAGCTTATTGCCATTTGATCTGATATGAAATAATACATCTCTGAGTAAATTTTATGTTTTAATGACACTTTTTAAATAAAATTTAACACCATTTGACAGATTGGTGTAGTTTAAAAAATAAATATAAAACCTCCACAGATGAATTCCTACAAGAGTTGGAAAATATAAATAATTTCACAATCATCTGTATTACATTAGAAACATTTAATATTAACTCTGTGTGTGTGTGTGTGTGTGTGTGACTGGGGGTAGGTATTTATAAAATGCACTGTAGACAAGTTAGAAAAAATTTTCTGGATAAATTTCAGCTTTAATATTATGATTTTATTTTCAAATTAAATATCAAATAATATAAAATATAATAATTCAATACTTATCAATGATGTTGCTTGGTCTCCACTTTTATTCTGCTGTTATGCTAACAAGAGACAATAATAAATGAGCATTTTTTTGTGTTATCATAACAACGGAACATCTCATTTATGAGTAAATAAGGAAGATCACTTCCTAGTGCACTGGCTTTTATTTCTTTAAGCGGAATTCTTTCCAGATGCTACAATAGAATTGTGTAGATAAAAATCGTAGATTACTCATGCCAAAAATATAACCAGTGCATTTGCAAAATTAATTTAATATTGTTGCCTTTTTTGTACAGGTCATGTTAGCCTTTTCTGGCTATTTTGACATTTAAAACTTAAAAAGCAGAATCCTTTCTTATATGTGACAACAGTTAATTGTATAGATGAATCTTAAATTACTCATGCAGAAAATATGACTAGTGCAATTATTAAATTATTTTAATATTGCCATAATTTTTTGATAGTAAACTATAATGAGACATTTTAAAATAACTGTAATAAGTCAGTTTTCTTTTTTTTTTTTTTACCAAGTTTACTTTAGTTACAATTTAGAACTCCTAAGAGGATATCATTTATAATAAATTTATGAGTAGAATAAGCATGTCCATTGCTTTTGCCCATGTTTAATGAAAATTGTTTTCTTTATCAAAATTTGTATAGTTTTTATTTTCTTTAATCTCAGATACTGTGAATAGTTTTAAGTAAGTTACACTTGCAATATGACAGACAGTAAAAAAAAGATACCCCATAATCTTTAGTTATTCTTTTCTTTTTCTTTATAAGACTTGTTAATTTGAAGTGGTTGTGTGAGTAATGTCAGCTATTGACATCAAAAAATGGGATTGGTACTAATACTGACAGGATGTTTTCTATGTTAACAGGATGCATAAATGACAAAGTTTTCAACTTAAAAGATTTCCAACTGAACCTGAAACCTTTTAAACCATGACTCTTTGAAGCATTCAATTGCTTAAGCACTACAAACCACACTAAAATATTACTCCCACTTCCAGTACTTGACTTTTTCTTCTTATTCAATGAATTCAATTTATTTTTGTCACCACTTGACTGTTTGTTCATTGTTCTCATCTGCTTGTGTGTGTGTGTGTCAGGTTGTTTAGTTAAAATAACTTTGGGGGATCATAGTTAAAACTTCTGCTTTCTCTGCAGGGTACCATGACACCGTGTTTTCTGTTTTTCTCTGAAAATGAAGAAATATTTGCACATAAAGTACATAAAGGTTTTCTGATAAGTAATGCCTGGAATTTGATAGATTTTAGATTGAATGATATTTTTGACATTCTAAAATACCTAAATGCTAACATATGCTAGTACATACAGTTTTAAATTAGTAAAGTACATTGTCATCATAGTGGAATTCAAATAACTTGATTCTCCTAAAGATAAACATGTCTATGGAAGCACATAAGATGCATGATGCTTAGGGTCCCCAATTTTCCATTTCAAATTTTCCTTGATTAAGTTTCCACTTTTGGTAAATTCTGTTTTTACTTTTAGGAAATTTCATTTTTTCCATTTTTATAGTATTTTATGAGAAAATTTCAATATGAGATGCTATTATTTAATTTTATTTTAATTATTATTAAAACTGAAAACAAAAATATAATTCAAAGTTTTATTGCATATAAAGGAATAGCAAATATCTACAAATCTTTTAAATCTTAAAATCCAAGCTCCAAAATAAATTATATATAAAAATAAAAACATGTAACATGACTAGACAATAAAACAATGGAATGTTACAGTGCATAATTATTTTTGAGGTCGAACTTTTAATCAGAGCTTCCTTCTTTAAGAACACATTCAAATTGTTTTTGTTTTTTTATGTAAAAGGATTTAGATTGAGTTATAATTATTGATTCATAATATAAAAATCACATTTAAAGTATCAACAGCAAATAACTTGAATCTCAATAATAAATATCTGAATAAAGTCAAACATTTTGACTAAAATTTTACAAAACAGTAATTAAACCATAATAACTGGATCTTTGTAACAAATTAGACATATTAATTCAAAATTTAAATAAAACAACTTATCCCAAGTTGAAATACTACTCAAATTAATTGTTAATTTCTTAATTTGGAAAATATCTAATCTTCAAATCTCTTCTCTAAATCTCCATTGTAATACAACATTGTGAGTTGTTTGCTCTTCTGAGGGGTAAGACTTTTCATGTTGTTTATTGAGTAAATTCTAAATGAGAAAATGAACGTTCATCATCTATGCTGGTAACAGCCATCCATACGACCTTATTGGCAATCTATTCCAGAAGAGGAAATCTGCTCTTATTTGCATTCCAAAATGATGGGATATTAAAAGGATTTGGTAAATCATTTTGGTAATTCATATACATTTGGAATTCTTCAAGAAGATCAATAGAAAGACATTACAAAACTGTCTAGGTCCTGGTCTATACAGGATTGCTGTCTAAAATCAAACAGGCAAGCTGCCTTGTAAAAGTTATACACAGAGTGGGTATCCAAGTATTTATTCACTTTCAAAAAAGATTTAGATCTAAGAATTCAAGCTTTAAAATGTTTCACTGCCGTCTACAGCAACTTTAAAGGAGGCCTAAACTTTGAAAATAAGTTACTCGTGTTTTGACAGAAACCAAAAGAGATTAGCAAAATGGAAATTGAATATTTTAGGAGAAAATAAAATGATACTGACAATGACACACTGGAGGTAAATAGACTGAAACAGAACTAAAAATTAACTTCAATCAAAAGCATGTTTTGGTGTTTGGTGGGACAGCCTTGGTCTGAATATTTTAGGAGAAAGTAAAATGATACTGACAATGACACACTCGAGTTCATTACTATACTGATTGGAACCAACAATTTTTAAATTATTTTAAACAAATTAAAACAAATTCTTTGATTTTATACATGAAAGACTCTAAAAGCAGTTTTACCATTCAGATAAATGCTCTCTTTCATACAGATGCACCCATCTTCATGTCTTCAAGAAGCAAGCTTCTTTCAAACATTGCCAAATTTCACTCCAACATCTTCTTTAGAAATGGCACAAATTAAAATAAAAACAAACTTGAAAAACATTCTTCATCTATTGTTTACCTGTACATTTTAATTTGTTTTTAATTCTGTAAAATAAAGAAAACTTTCCTTGTTAAGATTTAAACATAATGTCTCATAAATAAAATTTCATTTCTTGGTTTTTTTCATTCTCAGCTGAACCAGTTTATCCGCATTTAAGAACTCTCCTTCATTTCGACACACGGGAATTCCTTAACGTGTTGGCTTTGGTGAGCAGCTCTTTTCATTTTTTTCATCAAAATCTGAATGTTTCCTTTTTAGCAATATGAATTACCTCCCTTAGATTTTTTTATGTAGCCTCATATTCTAATCACATATTGTTTTAAAACATCCATTCTAAAGTTTAGCATTAAATTTGTAGGGGGGATGTATGCAGAAGGAAAAATGCTTTTGAATGCCTGAACAAGAACATCATTTTCTAATTACAAAATCTCAAAAATTCATTTTGTAAAAATTTAAATAGATCCATTCATTTTTTTTCTTGAGGATAAAGTAGTTGTTATTGTATAGTTACACTGTATTTTGCATGCTGTTTTTCATTTTAATTCTGATGCAAAACTTTTCAATTCTAAATGAGATAAATCCAATCTTTTGATTTTATTTCACATCTTTTTCTTTTACAAGTTATAAGTCTTATTGGTAACAATTGTTGAGTTATACTTCTCTTTTTATCTATGGAAGACAATGTGTGATCTGAATATGAGACTCAGTAAAGAAATCTAAGAAAAATAGTATTTGGAATGCGAAATTTGTTTCAGACATTAAGTGTTTATACCCCACTAATTGCCACAATATAGTAATAAATCTTTATTTTTAATATAGGTAATATATATACAGGGTGCGATGGGTAAATTGTTGCCATTTTATATTTTTAATTTCACACATTTTGTTTGTTTTTGATTTTGTCAACTGCGTAGTTATAGTAGGGTCATTTGGGCACCATCTGTGAGAAAAAGAGCAACATGACGTAATTCACTCCACTAGAAATTTGGAAACAGCATTTGCACTGGAAGCTCCAATACAAACATTTTCAGAGTGATTGGGTGTCAATCTAAGGACAGTAGGGGATTTTGAAAGAGTTGAATGTCTAATGGTGATTACAAAGGTATGACAGCTTGGAAAACCAACTCTGAAAAGAAAAGAACTCCCAAATTTGTTGGTGAGATCCAGGCCATGATTGACAACGATCTGTCCAAGTCAATCAGGTCCATAGCCAGGGACACAGGATTGTCTGAGTTTCTTATCAAGCAGGTAGTACATAAAAACATTTGGCATTTCTCATACAAGAGGAAAAAAGGTGAATTTTTATGCCAAGCCATGAAGGACAAGAGGAAAGACAGCGCTATGAAGCTTTTGAACAAACTCAAGTATCCCCTCCGACTGAACATCTTTTCTGCTTTTCTTTTCTTTTCTGTTTTTTTTTTGGTGGGGGGGGGTCTTAGATGAGAAAAATTTCTGCCAGGATAAGATAGTGAACATGCAACAACCATTGACTTGCTGTATCCCCAAAAGATGTACCAAGAGTGATAAAAAACAAATATCCAGTTAACACAGAGCTTCAAACTCAATATGGAGGCCTACATCAAGTGAAGAGATAGTGCTGCCCTGGGCCAAGAGGGTGGCTCTTGGAAGACCCTATGTCTGGCAACAGAACTCTGCACCATACCGCACAAGCAGGAGAAACCGGTCATGGCAGTCAGACATTTTCTGCAATCACTTCACCCCTTATATCTGGTCATCTAACTCCCCAAACTGTAACCTCCTTGATTATTATGTGTAGGGCACAGTTGAGTGAGAGAGAGCAACAAAGCACCTTGTAACACCAAAGAAGAACTGAAAGCAAGGATTATGGTAGCATCGACCAACTTAAACAAGGAGTGATGTGTTATTTTGCCAAAGTCAAGTGAGATAATCTAGTCTCTCACCTTCTCTTTTTCTTCATTAGACTTTACCCCACGTTCCATTCCACAATTTATATAGGGAACAAATTTTAATTTATTTTTACAAAATTTGCATAAACAAATTGTTTTCCCTGCTTTTTCTTTCATTCAGGCTTTTGAAGAACCAGAATTCAATACAAGTGAAGGGTTAGTTAAAATTTATTTTCTTATGATTATATATTCTTGCTTTTTCTTGTCTTTGATTCAACTTAAAATATTGAAATCAGGACAACAAAGCAAAATTTTACAAGCAACATTTAGTAAAAGATTTTCCCTATTTTAAAAAGAATTTTTTAAAATACATAAAATCTCTTTTTTAAGTCATAACAATAGTTATTTGCCATTAAATTATTTAGAAACTCAAATATGCAGTCAAATATATAAGCAGCTTTAACATTTTGCTGAGAGAATTTATGAAAATTTTAAACTTGTCTTTGTTATTTTATTTGAAACCAACTAATATAAAAATATTTCTTTTATTCATGTTGGATATAATTTTAAATGTTCTTTTGAATGATGTAAAATAGATTTTCTTGGTTGAATTTAGATCCATTGATTTCTGTCTGTTTCAGTATCCAGAAACGCCAGAGAGTAATAGATATCTTACTTCAAGTCATGGTCGAAAGTATTGGATTCACAGTAAGTTCATACTTTTTCTGCTTTGAAAGCCTTTATTCCTTTTAGTGATGGTGATTGTCATTATATTTTAGGCATAAAATCCTCTCATGTCTCTAGTACAATTATTTTTCCTTTTCTAATTTAAGCAGATCATTATGACAAAAGAAAATGTGAATTTTTAATTAAGGAATCTCATCTGAATTTGTGAACAAAAATTAAAAAATTGAACACATCTTTCCATCTAGATATTCATTTTATTCACTTGGCTTTAAACAGTTTTGTATTTACTGTATATTTTTATTTTTTCATGTTAATTAACTTCTCTAATTAATTTCATTCTGTCAAAAGATTTTCTAAGACATAAAATATGTGTTTAATATATATGTATCCATAAAATATTGTGAATGCTTGCTTTTTGAGATTTTAGTATGACTCATTCAGACTATTGTCAAGAAATTCCTATGGAATGATAAGTATTTTTTTATTCAAATATTTTCATCCTTTCTTATCTATAACTTCACCATCCCATAATTTTCATCAAAGTCTAATTACTCATTCCACGTTAGTTGAGTGAGGGATGGTCACATACCAAAGGATGTTACGTATAGTGAGTAGGCAGCCCATACTGCACTTTAAGGATTATCTGCAAGTGTGGCTTGAAATGCACCAAGATTGATCTAAGTAACTAGGAGCAACTTGTGGGTGACTGCAGTAACTGGCAACAAGCTGTTTGAGGAGGCATCAAGAAAGGCGAGGATAAGCATAGCAAAAATCAGATAGAGAATAGATGATGATGCAAAGACAGCAAAATCAAGTTCACACTCCACACATGCAGTTACATGCATTACTTGCAGATGAGATTGTCGTTCAAGAACTAGATTGCAAAGTCATTTTACATGTTGCTCTCTGCAAGGGCATTACCGTTATCTTATGAAATAGATGAATGCCAACACAATATTCAATATGATTTTTATCAAGAAATTATCATGCAAGAAGACAGAATGCATGGTTGTTGGCAAAAGGAACAGCCCAATATGCAAATTACAAATTGGATATACCAAAATTAAACAAGTACAGCAATTTAAATATCTGGGAAATAACAGAGGATGGGAACTTTGACACTGAAATCAAAAGGCACATTGGGATAGTGAAAGATGCATTCCAAAATCTAAGCAAACTATTAAGAAAAAGAAGAATTTTGTTAGAAACGAAGAAAAGAGTACTGAACTGTTATGTAATATCAGTCTTCTTATATGGCGGTGAATGCTGGACAATCTCTTCACAAATAAAAAAGAGACTTGAAGCAACAGAAATCTGGTTCTACAGAAGGATGCTGAGAATGCCATGGACTGAATATGTGAGCAACAATAAAGTTTTAGAGAAAAACAAAAAAGACACTTAACAACAGGAAAAGACAGTTGAAATTTCTAGGGCACATAATGAGGAAAGAAGGATTGGAAAATCAGATACTCACAGGATAGATTGAAGGCAAAAGGATCCGAGAAAACAATGTACAACCTACCTAGTGAACTTGAGTAAATGGATAGCAGAACTAGGTTTAGAAGATTTATTAAGAGCTACAAAGGACAATGGAGAGTCATGATCGCCAAAGTCCTGAAGAGACACAGTGCATAGAAAAAGAAAAAAAAATGAAATCTTTTGGTGAACTTAGTTTTGCTAAGTTCAATTCCTTTAAAAACAAATTATTTTTCACTTCATCATTGATTTTTAATGTTGTTTTATGTCTGTGTGTTTGTATTTTAGCCCAGCCAAATTGGGACATTGTTCACATTCCTTGCTCGTCAGATGGCCCGTCATGAGAACACCATTTTGGTGAACAGAGTCCTGTTTGAACAGGTTCTTGAATTTTTGTCTAACCCAGATGAAATCACCCGCCACGAGGAGAGACAACAGGCCATGATGGAATTACTCATGGTTGGAGGCTTAAACACATTCGATGACAACAGACTTTTACAGTTAGCAGAAAATGCAAAATTGTAAGTTGAATGAGATTCTTATTCTATTTGCATTTTTGTTCCAAGGTCATAAAGAATTAGCAAACAACAATGAAGGCTGCTATTAATCATAACCTAAAAAATGTACTGATTCGGTTATATTAGATACTCTCATCTAATATGATCAAATCGGGACATTTTTAGATTATGATTAACAGCAGTCTTCATTGGGAATCAAGGAATGAATCCATTTATTCCCCTATATCTAAAGGTTAAATAACAAGGAAGACTGGGCTCTCTATCTTTAGTTAGCAGCCAGTGAAGGATAACTTTGTATTCAAAACCGGGGGTGGGTGGCAACTCCACCCTGTAAAAAAAACTTACTTTCTACAGTATGCACAGCAATGACAGGAACTGAAAAGGACTCTCCTCTTTCTCTTTCTTGCTCTTCGTTTGTTGTAAGTGATAATGGATAGAGCAGCAAATAGAAGTATGTGCTTTGATTTATAAGATAAATTTGATGTAATAGGACACAGAGTGAGGAATATCATCTTGACACTGCATATGTGCTAATACCCTTGGGAAAAGTATGAATCCTCTTCTTTTCCCCCCAGCTATGGGTAAATGGCATGACAGACCAGGTTCTATAGCCTTTTTTTTTTTTTTTTTTTTTTTTCATTTTATAAAACTGGGCAAGTGCTAGGGCTTAATAAAATTAGCTTGAAATCAATTCAGGCATTTTGTAAAAGAAACACAAAATTAATACATACATTGATTCTTATATCTTTCCAGCTACCGTGTCTGTGAATTTGTCCATGAAAAGAATCAGCAATATGATAAAATTTTAGTTTGCTACTTGAAAGATTTTGCAAGAAGGGTAAGTTAAATGATGGATATTTTTTCCTTTGTGTAACATTTATATTCTATCAGGAGTTTATTTCCCTGATATTTTTAATCTTTTTCATTTCAGAAACCCAAGATCACAACTCTTTCTAGGCAATGTTTAAACTTCATGCTCAAAAAGAACAGTTTTTCCTTTGACACCACTATTATTTTAGCTACCTTCACTCCTTGGCAATGTTTATTGGTTTAAAAACCATTGATTCAAATAATTGTAATAACTGTAATAAAAACCTAAAATTGTAATAATTGTAATAAACCCTAAACATGATGAAAGTTAATTTATACATTTTCTTTGTTCTTGAGAAGTGACAACAAAAATATTAAACACTATTTATTTATTATTTACAAGAATAATTTTATATTTGCAACATTCTAAAAACTAATACAGTTAAAACTAGTGCAATGCTATATTTATCATTTTCATTATAAAGAAATAAATATGAAAACAATTTTTTATTCATAAATTTATAAACATTTACTAAATTATTAAAATGTGTGAACCAACCATAAGAAAATCTTATTTACCATTTTTATAAAATTCAAATCCATTTTGCAATTAGCTGATATTTTGCCAATCATTCCAATAAACAATCTAATAAATAAAACGTGTTTAGTATTTTTGTTGTCAATTCTCAACAACAAAGAAAATGTATAAATTCACTTTCATCATGTTTAGGTTTTATTACAATTCTAATCATCACTTTTTAAAACAATAAACATTAGCAAAGAGTGAATTTAGTACAAAATAATAGTGGTGTCAAGGGAAAAACCATCCTTTTGACACATTTCTTAGTGGGCACAAGGTGAAACATTGATGCTTTCTACTTATTTGTTCAAACAGTAATATTTATTATTATTAGTGAAATGATTGGGTTGCAGAAAAATAATTCTATTTCTCTCTTTTCCAAGATCTCTTCATCAAATTTATTAAAATTCTATTAAATCATAACAGAAATGTCATTTAAAACTATTTTAAAATTTCAGAGAAAAATAATTAAAAAAAATACATTTTTTCAATAATCAGAAGTGATGAATCTGGTTAATATTTTATTTTCAGCAAACTTGAACCAACTTTCTTTAATTTTTAAACTTTTATTTTAACAGTTTATATAGTTTGTAGACATAATAGACAAATAATTATTGGAGTCTTGTTCATTATTCATTTTCAACAGATATACTTTTACCATTATAGATATCATGGATTTCATGTCCAAAACTTGAATCGTTATTTACACCCAGTCTAGCTGCTTAATTCTTAAAAAAAGAAAGAGACCAGCACTTTAACTAAAGTCTCACTTCCATTTCAAGTGACTGTTTATTTTTGCAGCATTTGGTATTCCCCTATATCAATCGTATTCTCCAAGGTGACAGTTATGGCCCTGAAGACAAAGCCTCAGTTCATAAAGCAGCTCTGGAAAATCTTAAGGTAAGAAAAACAAAAAATAATTTTTGATTCACAATATTTTTAAAGTATTTTTATAATAACCACAAAATTCTTGATTTTGATGCACATTGCAATCTGCAAGAAATCTCTCAATGCAAAGAAAGAAGATATTAAACCTGATAAACCAGTTTATGTTTTAGGAATTAACAGATTAATAAAGAAAAAAATAAGCCAGTCAAAATTCCATGTGTATTTGAATTTCTAACCTGAAAATAGGAGGACAAATTGCATCTCCATTTAAGTAGAATTTTGCTTTAATAGAGATCTGTTTATATTTCTGAGATGAGGTATTATGTACATTATTTACATTATTCGGACTATTGTCCTCATCTTTGTCGCTGTATTTATCACAACGTTTCGGCCGTTGTACACTCCGGCCTTCTTCAGGTGGTTGGAATGTTGAACTGAACCCTTTATTTCGCTCACTGGGGTAGACTGTTCTAGTTCCACGTGCCATGTTTGTGGATGTCAGTTATCAGTTATCTCCTGCTAATTTCCCTCTGAAAGTTCTCCACTGCCTTAACCGGGTATTGAACTCACACTCTTTGGGTTCTAATTGTATCTAACCAACACCTTTATCCACTGTGCCATGTGTCCTCACCTGAAGATGGCTGGAGCATACAATGGCCGAAACATTGTGATAAATATGGCGACAAAGATGAGGATTTAATGGAGATATCTGAAATTTTTTTGGATTTGCTGCTTTTTTTTTGTTTTTCTTTTTAGGTTTGTAATTATTTGAATTGGTCACTTTTTTTAAGAATAATATTGAATGCATTCAACTCATTTAAAACAATAAAAATTCATATTAACATTTTCTTTGAATTTTCATTACATTTTTGTTAAAAGTAAAAGAAAATGGCCATCATCTTAAGGTTTAATAAAACCTATAAATTCTTTTATTTTTTTCAAGAAAATAAAAAAAAAAAATGCAATATTGCTTATATATGTGATGAATGGTATATTAAATTGATAAGTGTATTTCTGTTTTCTTAACATTTCTCATTTCCTTATTGCATTTTTATTTTTATGAATTTAATTTTCAAATAATAAATATTAACCATTGTTGAAAAATAATAAAACAAAGCCAGGATGAATTTTATTAAAAATTAAATCAATGGCTCTGTTGTTAAAATATTATTTGAAAAAATAAAACCAAAATGCATTACTAATTCAAATAATTACAAACTTAAAAAAATATTCTTAATATTCCCCATTTAATCAAATGAAAGAATGGTAGCCTAATGGATATACCATTAGCTTGACAATTTCTTGGTTGGGAAATTGAACCTTGGCAAGCTTCATTTAATTTTAGTGTTTGAATAGGTTCTTAGTTGTACATAGAAGCAAGAAAAATAATAATATTATAAGTAATAACAGTTGACAATAGTCGAGAGTGTGTGTGTGTGTGTGATTTTCTCTCCAAACTCAGTATATGTTTGCTAGCCTGTGACAAAAACACATTGACTAAATTCATTTTGAGAGATGAAAGTTGATAGAAAGATCTAAAAGATAAGTCATTAATGACACATGACACCTCAATCAGTTTACCCTGAATATTCTGTGACAGGAGTTTTTGATGCCCACACACTCAACACACACAACTTTCACCAATGTGAAATAATGCTTCTCTCATACTATCTTCTACAAGAAGTTACAGAAAATGAATTTATAGCATTCATGTTCACAACTAAAGAAATGGTATTTTTCAAAACTGACACATATTCTAATTTACAATCCTTTAAATCCCTAGTTTCATTGGACTACACACATTTCTTGCAATGTCTGTAGGTATTATATTTTATATACTTGTTACATTGTCTTCTGTATGTATTTGTTACATTGTCTTCTGTATGTATTTATTACATTGTATTCTGTGTGCATTTATTACATTGTATTCTGTGTGCATTTATTACATTGTCTTCTGTGTGCATTTATTACATTGTCTTCTGTGTGCATTTATTACATTGTCTTCTGTATGTAATTATTAAAGAGTATTCTATGTGCATTTATTGATTTGTGCACACTTTATATCATGGTGTATTTCCTTTTTCAGTTTTACCTTTTTTTAATCCATTGACTATAAGCAAATCTTCAGTGTGATTTATGCAAGTAAAAAGAATTTATTCTGATTTTGAAGGATTATAAATAAATCTAGCATAGCATAAAGATTGTTTTTATAGATATTTAATAATATCTAAGAAGAAAAGGTGGCCATAAAACTTCAAAGAGTATCATTTGTTAACTAGAGAAAAGCAATGATTTTATTTGAATGAATATTACATGAATTCAGCATTGTCTTTGTTTTCTTTCATCAAAAAGCTTCTTGTATGTATGTTTTGCTATTTTTCTTTTCAGGACTTAGTCAATATTGATTGTAAAAAGGCTGCTAAAGTGGTGCTCTACAGCCTGTCTAGTAACCTTGGGGATGTTGTCCAGCAGTTACAAGATAGGCCTCAAATCCTCTTCAGTTTCTTACAAGGTGTTCTTTCTTACAAGTGAGTTGCTTCATGTCATTTCATCTGCCTGAGGACAAATACATATCTTGGTTTCAATAATCTACCATGTGTGACATAAATATACATGCATTATTTAAACAAATTTAAACATAGCTATTCATAAAAAGTAGTTTCAAATTTTGTATAAATCAATATTCAAAATTTAGTCAATTTAGCCTCAATCAAACCCTGACATGAATCCTATGGTCTTTTGAATATGTCCCATATTGGAAAGCGATGTTTCACGTATCTCATACTCCAATGTGTCAGACCTGAAAGAAGCATTTATGACATGTTGGGGTTCAATTTGAACAAAGAGGTGGTAAAGAAGTCATGCACTTCAGTTGAGAAGAGATTCAGATTTTTTTTGTTCAGATTCTTTTATTGTTCTTGCAAACTATTGTTAAGGGACAACCCAAAATATGACCTTGTTAATTAATCAAAAACAAATGCAGTTTTTTCTCTGCCATCTTGGTGTCACCCTTTTGCTTCTGATTTTGATGTCATGATTTAAGAGATGAAAAAAATCATTTCTTTTTCTCTATTTTTGTCTTTACAGAGAATCAAGTGGTAGTGCTCTTAATCCAGAAAAGCAAATAACCATTGATCCTCACATTTATGAACTATACATTGACCTTTTATGTCAGTTTCATCCTTCCAATGTCTACAATTTTATTAAAACTTTCGAAGGATATCGAGTAGAACAGACATTGCAGGTGAGTCAAATTTCTAAAATTCTTAACTTGTTTGCTTTTTAATCTTTTCATGCAATAAATAACAGCTGAAACCAGATATCCATAAGAATAATCTGTAACATGGACCTGATTTATTGAGAAGACTTGTAGTAAATTTGACAATGTTGAAACACAGAACAAGATCAGATTTCAAGAAAAATAGATTGGATCTATCTAACCTTCTAAAAATATTGCCATATGTCACAATTGGCTTAGCTAAGTAAATATTCATATTACATTTATGATTTTGTTCTGAGGAATGAGAATAGTGTATATGAGTCTGGTATTGCATGTGGTGGAAATTGTGAGTTAATTTTGAAATCATTGTTGGATTTCTTTTCTAAACATTTATGAAGCTGGTAATCTTCAATCTCCTTTGGGCTAAGATAATGAAAGAAATTCTTTGATTGCATTAGTGGCTATAAAACACTATGCAAAACTCAGATGGGAAAGCTGATAAAATCCTTGCTCCTACGCAGTTTTTAATCTACATTAATGACCTTCCCGATGACATCAGCTCTCAATTTGGCATCTATGCTGACGGCACTACCATTTTACTCGATAGTAAGGCTGATCAGTCTGACAAGGTCAAATGGCAGCTGATGTACAAAACAACCTCAAGACCTCATTGTTAACTGGTGCAAAAGATGACTTGTCAATTTTAATGCCTTCAAAACTAAACTTCTCTCCATTAATCATATGAAAGACCCCTCTCTACCTTCTATCAGCATGGCTGATGCTAACCTTCAGTGACTCGTTGTGCCTTCTAGGGCAAATGTTCTCAGCTGACATGAAGTGGAAAGACTATATTGAATTGATTGTTATGTCAACTATTAAGAAAGTTGGTTCACTGTGTCGGACGAGACAATTTTTGTCTCCAGAATCTATCTTGCATATCTATAAGTCTATCATTCATCCATGCTTAGAATATCTCTGTCATCTTCTGATTATTCTTTTCTCTTTCTACTCATTACTAATTTTTCTGTTCCTAATTCCTCCATACCCTGTCACCTCTTACATGTTAGTGGCTGTAATGTCTTGCTTGGGGTGATACCAATTTAAAAAAACTTAAAACAAATCAAGTTGATATAAATAACCTATCAACCTGCAAATAAAAAAAAAGAAAACAGCCTTTTTAAAAGAGAAATTCTCAATACTTGTGCATCAGAAAAGAATCTATTTGAAATGGCAATCTATCCCCACTGATTTTTTTCTATTACCAGTTTTGCTCTTGACACTTTTTTTAATTTTGTCTATGTTTCCCAGATTTGTTTTTCTTTTTTAGATTGTCCGCAATTATGACCTTCCTCATGCCACTGCCCATTTGTTGGAGAAAACAGGAGATGTTATTGGTGCCTTCCAAATCATGCTGAAGGTAAATTTACAGAATAAGGCATTGAGAACTTTAGAAAGTTTTTCCCAAAATAGAAATCTGGGAAGTTATTTCCCAGTGATTTCTGCCAGAAATGCAAAGTAAATAAAAGAAAAAATAATTTCTTCTAGATTGAAAGAAAAGTGAATACTGACATGATTATTCTTGTTTAATAAAATAAAAAAAAACAAGGATAACAATTCAAACAGATGTGCCCCTTAAAAAAACGTTTATAATAATAAGAAATAATGTTTTATAAAACAACCTTTAAAAAGATTTTGTTGTTTATATTTCGGGTGTGAAAGTGAAGCTAATTAGATAGATTTGTAGAAGATACAACAAGAAGGTAATTAAAACTTTGTCCTTGAGAGGCCGGCCTCCTCAGTCAAAATAGTAGAGGCTCACTTTGGCTCAATAAGGGGTTTCTTTGATCAAAAAAAAAAAGGATGTGAGTTCAAATCTTGTCTGACAATTTTTCTTTAGTAGGACTTCTCAGTTTAGTCCAGTTGTTATTAATTTCACTGTTTAATTACATATAAGGATAGCAACTAATAAATAACTATTATAATAATGAGAAATAATTTTGAATAAAAGAAATCCTTTCCAAAATTACTATATATATATATATATATATATATATATATATATATATATAAATTTAGCTGATTGATGTGATATTCAGAATATAAACTGCAGAGTTTTGTAGATGGATATGCCAGCAATCGCTCCATCCACTCCTCAGGGGATACCAGCAACTGACTGCTTATTTTAAAAATAATTTAAGAACTTTTTATTGATGTAAGGTTGTTTTTTTTTTTTGTTTTTGTTTTTTCCTTCCTTTCATTGTGTGTGCATGTGTTTAGTATCAGTTGACTCAATAGCATGCTACCAACAGGTACCATGTAACTCAGTACAATCTGCTGCATAGTTGCCAAATGAATAGGCTTCCACACCAGGCTTGCTTAATATTCTGCAGGTTCAAAAATAAGACCTGTTAAAAAAAAAAAAAAAAAAATTTTTTTAGACGTCCATGAGTCTGCATAGTCATATGTTTCTAGGGGAATAACATTTTGGTGCTGCACCTGTGATCATAGCTACACCAGACGTTTTACACATCTTTAAGATACACATACACGTGTAGAATACAAGTTCAATTCCTGTCAGAGGACTCATATTTTCTATGAAATCTCTCAGGTGTTCAGGCTGGTAAATGTTTTTAATACTGTTTATTATAAACAGAGCATTTACTTAAATATTTGTGCATATATATATATATATATAGATATATATATAATTAATACAAGTAAAAGGTTTGTCACTTAACTGATTGATGTTACCTTCAGCATCCAGACTCCAGAGTTTCAGAGATAGTCTCTGTGAATCACACCATCCACTCATCAGAAGGTATCATTGTGCAAATGTAACGCTATCCTATATCATCAATATACACTGCTACATAAAGATGGCCTGTTTGCCCATAATATATAGTGGACTCTTCTGGTGACAAAATGAAAATGCCACAACATTTTTATACTAGAAATACTGTGTTAAAGAAACTCTTAAATTTCATTTGGATTTGAAAACAAATAAACTTTTAAATTACGATATGTTTAAATAAATGTATATATTAAATTTTAGTTTTATTTATTCCAGGATGTATTTCTCGATTTCTGGGTTTTATTTTTCCTGTACATATTCTATGATCAGATTATAATTTAGCCAAGGAAAACAATGCCATGACACACCATGTTAGGCTTTTTTGAGAATATAATTATTTTAATAATACTTTGAACAGACAAAGCCAAACAAAGGTCAAGTTTGATATGTTGTTGGGAGATGTAGACAAATACATTAATATTCAGTTCCCATTTGATTGAAAGATACAAGAAAATAAAAGACTGATAATTTTTTATTCTAAAAATATTGTAATTTCTCGAAAATAATACATGTTTTTTTACTGTAAATTACAGATGATAGTATGGGTGCGATTTATAAATAGGTTTAAACAAAAATATTTTTTTTGTTATTGATTTATAATAATAAATACGTACTTGTTGTTCTAAAATAAGATATCCCAATTTTCATTTTAAATTCAACAATAGTAATTGTAACATTTTTTTTGTCATTAAATTTATTTTTATCAGTAACCTCATTTTTTATTTGGAGAAAAATAAAAATCTATAAAAAGGCCAATTTCGAAGAACTTATGGAACATCCACTTGATTGTCTTTCATAAATTCAAGTAAACTTTGTTCCATATCTGGATATTGAGCTTTTCTTCCTCTACCTATAGCTTTGGCAATTGATTTACACTTTTTTCGTTCATTTTTATTCTTTCTACATAAACATATGTTAGCCTCATTCATCTCATATTCTCTGGCTGCAGCTCTGTTTCATATTCTTTCTATTAATTCTATTACGTTTTGTTTAAAATTTGCACTGTAATTTGCATGTTTTGATGACATTTTGGCAGTAAAATAAAATATTATATTTATTGGGAAAATCACATGGTAATTTTCAACATTATTTTAGCTGCTTAGAATTATTCTGTATTCATAAAGTGAGAATCATGCTTTTTGTTGGTTTTAACACAGAAATTTGGGCTCAATGTATTCTTCAGCCTTTCTCAAAATATTGTTACGTTTGACCTTTAGAATTTTTTGATTACTTCTTTTGCCTTTTTCATTGTCATCTCATTTGGAATTGACCTGAGTTTAGGGGTTAAGGTTATCAAGATCAGGGGTTAACATCTATTTCCCAATAAGAATAGATGGACTTTATCAATTCATTTCCCATGAAGCTTTGGTACATGATTCTGTGAATGAGTTCAACCACAGTGTTTTTGTTGAAGAGATGAAAAGAATTATAACAAGGAATAATCTCAGGAATATGTTGACCAAAAGCTGGGAAACAAAAAAAACAATAAAGTATTTTCTTTATTCCTTGCATGAAATAAAGAAAATACCCAGTGTCAAACCCTTGAACTGCAGTTTTGAAAATATTATCTATTATATTAGAATGTCTAAAACATTGTAATGTTACGTGTTGATAATTGTAACAAAGAAAAAAAATGATTTACCACAACACAGAGCTAAATCACAAACAAATATTTAATTTACTAAAACAGAACATAAAATATATACAGGATAAACAATTGTGGCCTACAAAACAGAAAACAGAGTTACTGGCAAGTGTTACGATTGAGAAGGAAAGGAAGTCAAATATCTTTATCACTTTAGGGCTAGTGATGTAATCTAAGTGCTATATTTGGAAATCCACAAAGGTGTGTAAATAAATATTAATTTTTAGTTTGGTCAATGAAAATTAGTCAAAATTCTATTTACCAAATTTGTTCCATGAAATTCTCTTTTGGGTTTTGGTTGGTCGGCAACTTTTTATAGAGATTCTTTCGGCTGGATATAATAGTCCTTGAATCAAAAGCCAGAGTTAATAACAGCAGAAATTCTCATTCATCAACTGACAACCCTTTTCCAAAATCCCATTTTTATAGGGGCTAACACCTAATTTGCATATTTCTAGATGTTTCTCGAATCATCTAGATTTTTCTTGAATATACTAGAATGATCTAGAATCTTCCAAACATTCTATTTCTAATTTCTCTATTTTACAACTACTTCATGAATGAAAACTTTTTTGTAATAACAAGTAGAACTCAGTGGAATCCCTTATTATAGAAATGCATCCTCGTAACAGTAATAACAACAACAAAGTTGGGGACAATAGTCTCCATGTAAATAGTGTAAGTAATGAAAATATTAATTGTAAAGATGTATAGAATAACACAAATATACAACTTTTGATAAAACTGAGGAAATTTATTTAATTTTTTTTCTTTTTTTCAGACTTTGCAAGCAAAAGTGAATAATTTCACTGATAACACAATTTCAAAGAAGTTGAGCAAAGCAGGTGAGAAACTATTGCCATCACAAATAGAGATTTATTCAGGCAGATCTGATGTTAGCACAAGGCTATTTATAAATGCATTCTTCAGTTTTTATTATATTGAATAGTTTCAATCCAAGTAATTAAATTATTAATAACAATAATAACTATTTTTTAGCCTTTCTTTTGGATAAGTTTGCATCCATAGTAAATAAATTGCAATACTTGATGAAAAGAGCATCAAGTTTAGAACCGTTGCCAAAAAGCAACTTGTAATATTGAAGGCAGAAATCTCATGAAATATCTTTCTTAATTTTAGACACCATTGTCCAATTCCAAGATCTTCAAGCAAACCTTTTAGTTGTGATCCAGTTGTGTCAAAGAAATTCTGGGAAAATGGATGAAGTTGGCCGAGAGGTGAGCACATCATATTCTTTTCAGTTTGGAAACTTTTCTGATGGAAAGTTTTACCTTTTTATTTCAAAATAGATTCATTCTGCAACAGTTTTATTTATATTCGAGACAAAACAGTTTAGCTTTGTATTTTCACTGGTAAATGAAACTGTTGTTGAAATTGCCCATAAATGTATCAACACTTACCACTTTTATATAAAAAGTGAATTTTCTTCTAAGCCAAACTTAGCAGGATTTTTTTAATTTTATTTCTAGTTGTAAACAATCAAAACATTATCTATTATTTATGACCACTCTACAGCATCGAAATTCTCTTGCCAAAAATATGAATCTGTTGCTGTCCAAAAATTAATACAATTCTACAAAAAAATGTGTAACTATATAACGAGTATATTTAAGACATTTTTTCTTATAAGAGATTTAAAGAGAAATAGAGAATTCAATTTTAGTTCTGTTAATATCATAGTTTTCAGTGTACAGACATTTCATTCAGTAGTGGCTCCACACAGCAAAGAGCTTAAGAGGTACCAAAAATCTAAGCAGTCACATATAGACACTCGATAAATTAAAAACTTGCCAAATTGCTATGAAATTTTTGAAGTTATTTCTTTTTTTCTCAGTCAATGTGGTTTCCTTTGTTGGAATCTATGATGACACCACAACGTAAGTTAAAAGAAGTTGAAGACAAAGAGATCATTGGTGGTGAGTTTTGCTTTTATTAAAATATAAATAGAATTAAATTATAACAACCTGCTCATCAAGCACAAACCAAACAACATCACAAGACATTTGGAAAATGGTCTTTTCATAAATGGCATTTGTTTTAAATCCAGATGCCTGTCTTGATTCAATAATTTGAAAGTGATATAAATATAAAATTAGATAAACCTATTTGTTTTCAATTTGCACTATTTACATTGTTCAGACTGCTGCCCTCATCTTTGTTGTCATATCCACAACATTTCGGACCGGTGGATAAAAGTTTTGGTTGAAGCAATCCAGTGACTTGACCCAAAGAGTTGTGAGTTCAATACCTGGCCACAGCAGATGTGAACAAAAACTTGAGAGTTGAGAAACTGGATATCTGGAAGAGACATGTCATGTGGAATTACAACAATCTACCTTGGTGGATGAAATAAACGGTTCAGTTTGAAATTCCAGTCACCTGAAGAAGGCCAAAATGTTATGGATATGACAACAAAAATGTCACAACAGTCTGAACAATTTAAATAGTGATAAATAGTTACAATAGCTCATCTTTGAAATATAGACAGATATTCATTGCTGTAATTTGGAAGATGTTATCTCGACTAAATATCAACTATCTTCTAAATTTTTTTATATTAATATTTTTAGTTTGGGAAAAGTTAATTGACTCTATTACTGAGTTTTACTTTGTCAGAATCCATTCTGATGATTTTGAAAGGTGGTTAATATCTTGATTGCTGTGTTTGTAACATGAAACTGTTTAAAAAAAATGATTTTATTCTGAAAGATAAAATATTTCTTTCTTTTTCTCTTCTCTTTCAGATATTCGTGAGTTGACTCATCATTTGCTGAACAGCATGATGGGATACATCGCCTTACCTGCCATTTTACAGAAGATAATGCAAGTATGTACATTTATACTAACTTTATTGAAACATCTTTTTATAATCTTACCTGTTTTGAGTTCAAACACGCAGATCTTACTTACTTTTGGGAATTAATAGAATTTTATTTTCTCTATACTAAAAATAAAAAATAAAAAATTCAATGTTATATTTTGAAATTATTTTATATTAAAAACAAAGCCTGAAAAGTGCATTTTTGTTTGTAACAAAAATGCTAGATGCTTTTAATATTAAGAATGGTCCGCTTGCATGATTCCATTGAATATGGAATTATATAATATTTGGAACATGAGTGAAGAAAAACAAGATTTTGTTTAACTTTGGTGTGTAAGGGTTTTCATTATTTGTTTAAGGACACAAGTGTTATAATCATTGGTCAGACATCCTTTGTATATTTATTTCTCCTGTGTGTGTGTGTGTGTGTATATATATATATATATATATATATATATATATATATAAAATGTAAAAAGTGTGTGTATATAAATAAATATATATATATGTATAATTATTTATATATTATATGTGCGGTACTTATTGTCTGACGATCGCTAAAGCGTGAAACCCAGGGTCACAAACTCATATCTATCCAACCAAATAAATATATATATATTATGAAATGGATTAAGTCCGACAGTTATTTTAATATATTTTTTGTTTATACATTATTTTTATAAATACAAATATTTAAGTAAATGCTTTGTTTATAATAAGCAGTATTAACAACATTCATTTACTAGCCTGAATGTCTGAGAAATTTCGTAGAAAATATGTGTCCTCCAACAGGAATCAAAACCTGTATCCTACATGGAACCATTATATAGCCTGATATGCTATACCATTTGAGCTTACTAACCAGATGCCTCCTCAGTAGCCAAATGGTGTAGCACGTCAGACTATTTGATGATTCTGTGTTAGATACAGGTTCGATTCCTGTTGGTGAAAATATTTTCTATGAAATTACTCATGCGTTCAGGTCGATAAATGTTGTTAATACTGTTTATTATAAACAGAACATTTACTTAAATATTTTTGTCTATAAAAATAACGTATAAACAGAAAATATATATATATGTGTGTGTGTGTGCGCTATCCTTTGTATATTTCCTTCTTCTAAGTTGCCAGTCAATTATTCTTCCTTTGTTTAAATGTTGAATCTTAAATCTTGATGGAAACCAACTGGCCAAATGCTTTTTGTTTTGGGCATTGGTACAAATTGAGAATATTCTTGCAATATTTGTCAGTTATTGTCAAATGTCAATTTTCTGGCAATTTTGCTAGCAAAAGCAAGGATGGGTTACTTAGTCACATTTTGTGCTCATCAGAGTTTTTATACAAAGTTTATTGAATTCCATTGCTACAAAAATTGATGTGGCATTGCTGTAGTTTTTCATATTTGTTCCATCGGAATCAGTAGCATGCAGAAGTAGGTAGCAGAGGGTGCAATGGCCCCAGGTATCTATATCAAGTGTGCATCCAATGAAAGAGTAAGATAAAAATTTTGTTTTTGAAATTTGAAATTGTCTCTGTTAATTTCGAGGTACAAGCACCCTGCAGTCCCACAAGCTGGTGTGAATGTGGATCCGTGTTTTGAGAAGCGAGAACGGAGTAGGTCCCCCTACTTGTGTCTTATAGGTATACTGTCAAGGAGTTGGCCTCAGGCATCACAAAACTTCTACACGTCACAGATATCAAATTTTTTAAATGCTTTCTAATATGGTAACATTGGAACAATGTATTCTGTTCATTCCACTTTTATTTTCATTACATTTTTCCCCCACTCAAGGATCCAGCTTATAATACAGGAAAATTTGGAGAAGTAAAAGAAATGGTTTTAGGAATGTTGGAAACTTATAACTATGAGCAGGTAAGTCAAATCAGTGGTGGAAACAGCAGTGGTGATTGTAGTTATAATAATAAACTAGGAATAACTGTTATATTTCTCTCATTCAATACATACTATATCCATTCAGAATATAGGCAATCATGTCTCTCTACTCTTTCATGTACAAAAGAGAATGGTAACTTACTTCATTGGGGGCTAAAACATTCCCATGCTGTTTTTGTATTTAAAAAAAAAAAATTAAAAAAAGATCTCTCCACTGGATGAAGTCACTGGTATTGTAGGCCAATGAACATGAAAATCCATTTCACTCTTTATTAATCATAAGTCCCACGGGTAGAGAAAACTACTTTAAGAACTAATTTTTATGCTATAGATTAACAGTAGACTTGTCTTGAATGGCTGCAAGTACAACAAACCTCATGGCTTTTTGAGAACTTCTATTTGTTCTTTTATATTTCTTTTATTGCTTTCAAATGATAAATAAATTGAAGTAAAATACCCTGTGTAGTTCTTGTATTGCTTTGTACATTGGTTACTTTTAACTTTTTCATTAATTTTACTAATATTCATAAAAAATTATTTGAAATAATTATTATTGAGTAAATTTTTGAGGTCACTTTTATTTTGGACATTTTTTATTTTTATTTTTTTTTCATTTTTAATTTTATATTCAGCATGTCCAAATGCTGTTTTGTATCTTTTATTATTAAAAATAAATAATTTATATTGATTTCCTAATTTTGTAACGGTCAAGGATGGAGAGTGTACTCAGGCATTGATTCAAGTGTTCCCTTCCATACTCTTTGGGTCTCTTTGTTATAATAAAAAATGCAAATCTGTTTCTCAATTTAAGAAAACCTTTGTGTAGAATGGACCTACCTACTTATCAATCTTCTGTCTTCTTTTTGTTTCTCAACAAACACCTGTCATGACTGTGAATTGAAGAATGTTCTGTGGATCCCAGACAAAATTGTTCAGCATTTCAACTTTTAACTTCTCTTTCTGATTTGCTAACACACACACATACACACATTAATCATTTAGAATTAAATAGGCTCTTCTAATTAGATATCTTCTTTCCAAGACTGTTTCTTTGTAGAACAGTGTTATATAGGAATAAAGTGTCGCTGCCAACACTTGAGTTTGAACATAGATTGCCAGTGTGCAAACATGGGCTATCCCATTATTGAATTAAGTAGACCACGTGACATAGTGGAAATGCATATATGGGAGGTAGCGTGTGTCTAATTGATCTCCATTTCTAGTCTATCCTCTATTACTATTTGAACTGCATTTTTACTCTATCCTCTATTACTATATGGACTGCTATTCTATATGCTATTTACTATATTATTCCTCTATTTGGATCACTATACGGATTACTGTTCGAACGAGTATTATCAAGCAAGTACTATTAATGTGAGGGTATTTTGAAGGCATCTGACACCAGCATTGTTCAATGGCATACTATAGTGATATCTGCGATTACAAAGTCTCTACTACAATGAGAATTTATGAAAGTGACAACGAGTATTCGTTGGCATCACAAAAGTGACAATGAGTGTTTGTTGGCATCATAAAATGCAGAATGCCAAGAAGGATGCTTTCCTGACCAATGCCATCCTAGCCTCTTCAAATCTAGGGTTAACTGTTATCTTTCACACATGTCTTCATAAACTGTGCCCTTTACTCTTACTGATCATACAGTCACCCTCTACCTTGAGCGGCTCTTGGGCTTGTATAGTTGCATATCACTTGAAAAATAAGACCTACACAAATCCCCTATGAATGCAACCATTCTTAAGTTCACTGTTAATCTATGCATAATTTTTCTTGATAGAATGTGAGAATAAATGAAAGACAAGACAGGGAATAAGAAGATTGTATCAGTCTTCAAAATAGGGAGCACCTGCCTATCTCAAAAAATCCATTTTTTAAATTATGACTCATAGATGCCATATTCAGTGGCCTCAGTACTAAGTAAGCCTAAATAATCTTCCTTAGGCTTACTTGATGACCTTTTTGAATCAAATACTTGATCATATTCTAACTTTACTCAAAGGACAATTGCTTTTCTATTTTCTACAACTGTGGTTAATCCTTTTAATCTAAAGAAAAAATAGTACTTCCTTGTTAACGTAATTCTCTTTGCGAATCTCTTTAATAACTCAGTCATAATCCATTTTTTCTCTCCATAGATTATTTGTAACTGTCTGGAAATATTTCCATGCAATTAAAACTTTGTGTAACTCAATTCTCATTTTCCGTCATTACTTTTTGGTACAAGTTCAGAAATATTTTGAATGTCTTCAATCCATTTTAGTTTTCACTCTCTTTGACTGCAATTTGATTTTTATTATTATTATTATTATTGATAAGCCATGTGACATGCCAGTAAGTCTTTGTTGTCTTCAGACGCTGATGATGACTTGCAAGAATTTGCTGAACCATGATTTGCACATGCATCTAAGAAGTTTAAGGGCAGAAGCTGTTCGAGGATTCCTGCCACTTTCTGAAATCTGCAGTCTTTGTAACAAAGCACTGCCACAAACTATGGACAGTGATTTAATTATCATCTTCAGGTCAGTAATATTCTTTATTTAATTTATTTTAATATCAGTATTATGAATTTATTCTCTTCTAGACCAGTGGCCTCCAACCTGTTTTATACCGCAGACCAGTAGTGGCAAATGTGTGTAATTTAAGTGCATTTCAATAAAGAGAGAGCAATAATAAAGAATAATTTATTAAAGAGAAGAAAAAATGTATAATCTTTTGACTCTCATGTCTGGGGATCCAACCTGACCACACCCTTGCAGACTTAGTTTCTGTGAATCAATCCCTATTGCACATTTATCACATTAATCTCAACTCACTGTAATGGAGAATATGAAAATTAGTTGAAAATTATTACAAATAAATAAAAATATACATTAATTATAAAATGTATTTACACTTATGATAAATAGTATTGAGTAGATGAATATTGAATATTTTAACAAATCTTTTTAAATTTAAAAAATATTTAATTTATGTATTATATAAATTTAAACAAGTTAATTATTTCTTTGTGGCCCAGTAGAAAATGATCCATGGACTGGTACCGGTCTGTGGCCCAGTGGTTGGGAACCTCTGTTCTATACTACTATTAAATGCATCATGTCAGTCTCATTTGAAAAGAGAAGAGAAAGCCTGAATAGTGGCAATGTTATGAATTTTGTTAAATGACAAGAATTAAGGACATTACAATAACAATGGTCATTCAACAAATTGTTTTTTGTTTTTTTTTGCTGTGTAAAATGAGTCTCTAAAGGCCCTAAGGTTTGAAATGATTAAAGGCCCTAAGGTTTGAAATGATTAAAGGCCCTAAAGTTTGGAACGATTGAAGGCCCTAAAGTTTGGAACGATTGAAGGCCCTAAAGTTTGGAACGATTGAAGGCCCTAAAGTTTGCAACGATTGAAGGCCCTAAAGTTTGGAACGATTAAAGGCCCTAAGGTTTGGAACGATTAAAGGCCCTAAGGTTTCAGGTTCAATCGCAGATTTCACTATTAATGCTAAGTTCACTATTGTATTTTAGCATATTTAGTAGGTTAACCCATTGCTTCAATTGTTGTAATGTATTTATATAAACGGATTATGTCATTAACTCACTTGTTATCATAAACTAAAATACCTCAGTTGAAAAAGCATTAAAAAAAGCATTGTTTTTAATTTAATGTTGCTTGGTTCAATTTCAAGTTTTGATGTCACCATTAAATAAAGTTTCATGTAAATGATAGTAGAGACTCATTTTTGAAACCTTCTTTCCAGGATAACCTTTAACATCATTCAAAGTGCTCAGTCCACACCCAGACAAAAAAAGAGTATTTATTATACATTGTTGCATCATTAAGTCCATAGCCTAATGAGGAAAATAGCATTTATATTACACAATAGACATTTATTTTTCAATATAATGTTCTTCCTTATCAATGCACTTAATCTAGTGAATATTAATCACAGAGATTGAACATTATACGGTGGAAATTTCAGCTCAAACTTCAGATAGTAGCTCCATGACTAATTCATCCAGTGTTTATGAGATTGCAAATAAACATTTTTGATTTAAACTAAAACTGAATAGTCATTTTTGATCTTTTTATAAAAATGCTTTTGTGTCTTTGGTAAATCCAATTGGAGGATTTAAGTAACAAGACATGCTAGACATTTTATTTGCCTCCATTTTCCAAAATTCATTCTGAAAAAAAGAAAGTATTCAGTTCTTGATTGTATCAACCACTTGTTGTGCTTTGTGGATTGAAAATAAAGTTTTTACACATTCATAAGGGACAATAAAAAGAAAATTTGTTTGGTAGATATCGTTTCTTTGCTAATAATCTACTTTGTGATGTAATTCTCGCTTTTCCTCATGGACAAATATCAAGACTGAAATTCTACTTAACACTGGCTTTTGTATGGTTTCCATTCTGAGATGATTTAGAGGTAACACATCTGTTTCAACCAAGTTCAGTATTTTATCTTCTGAACTAAATTTTTTTACTGTCGAAATTTAGTCTGAATAACACATCCACATTTATATATATGATTTTGAAAGGCCATGAGTTTTATAGCCCATCTTAAAATTCTAGAAGATGTGACTTTTGGTAATTCCTTTCTGGGGTTAAATATAAACTCTAAAGGTTTGTGATCTAACTTTAACAAAAATTTTCATCCTAACAAAAAATTTTGAACTCTTTCTGTGCTCCATACTATTGCTAATGCTTCTTTCTCAATATTTGAGTAGTTAGATTCAGCTGGCATTAATTTTCTCGACAGGTACATTATTGGATGATCAATTTTACTGTCTCTCTACTTTTTACAGGTGTTCTCGAATATACTTCTTTCATGCAGACTAAAAATGGTCTTTTCTTTTACAGTTTAAACATAATGTTCTAGGGTTGGACATTTGTTTTTGTTTCTTTCATGTTCTTTGTTGCAATATTTGTACTTAATTAGGATTTTAGTTGTGTTGTATGTTTCCACATTGTTTTTAGAATTATTAAATCCATTAATTAATTCTAATTGCTCCAAGAATTCTACACTTGCTTCTAAATTCATATCATTCACTTGTAGTCATTGTAGGATTTTATGTTTGTATGTAACATCATATATGCCTTCAGTAATTCTTAGAAGGATCAATTCATCTTCTATAAACATTTCTATTGACCCTAGTTTTTCAAATTTGCAACATCTTGACACTTCTTTAAATTTCTGATGCTTTCTTGTCTTTCAGTTTCTTTACCTTAACCAACACTGCTAAACATCTAATCCACATTTCTACATGCTCTGGTTCATCTAACATGACTAGGAATCCTATCAGCGATGTCATATTGTTATGTCATATGTTATCTACTCTCTAGAATAGACGTTAAGTCAACTGATGGTAACTCAATTGGCATTCACTGTGGCATACTGCTTTTATAGTAGTACCTTATTTAATTACAATACTACACACACTTTATTTTCCTGTTTCTAAAAGAGAAAAGTCTTCAGCCATAAAAAACAAATCTGTAATGAGCAGTACTGACTTGCTGCTATCAAAAATAGATTTTCATTTCACTTTCCTTCAAGAACATCAAACAAATTTGTAAATAATTTTAATGGAGAAACCATTATCTCAGCCAAGGAGTGTGTCAACAATCAAGCAAAGTTGAATAGTGCTTTACAAATGCAAATCTATCTGCTCATTTTCATAACATTTTCATAACTCTCATAACTTTCATAATAAGAGTAATTTCTAAAGAAGTGATGAATTTTTATTTATTAATCCAACAGATTATATTACTAACACATAATTTTAGTGGATACCAATATTTGAGTAGATGCTCTATTTATAAATTAATTTTCATTTACTGGCCTAAATGTTTGAGAAATCTTATTAAAGAAAAATATGTTTTCTCTGGCAAGATTCGAATAAGGTGCTATTCAACTTTGTTTGATCCTCAACACACTCTGTGACTAAGGTGGTCTAAAGCAAACTGGATCTAACTATGCACTTTAGAATCTTGCCGGAGAATGTATAAATATAATAAATTTCTTTCTTTATCACAGAAATTGCTTTGGTTGCAGCTAATCTACTTGGGCTGTTGTGACTTATTCCAAGAAATCTTGAACTTTCTCTCTTTTCATTGTTTGATGAAGGTGTGGCCATAGCTATCATACGGGTTGTCTTCGAGGGATTGGCTCACTACACATCATTGATGGGGAAGAACTTTGGAGCTGCCACTTATGTAACAGTTCCAAAAGAGGTCGTACTCAGAGCACCAGATTCCACAAAGCATCGAGTATTTGCAATTCTTCTGCTCAGCAAATGCCTGGCCTAGAAACTTCCAGAGCCAAAGAGGTAAGTTACAAAGATATCAAAGTTTTAAAAATTGAAAATTGAAAACACATATCATGAATTCTCTAACCCACCAGGTTTGCAGTAGCACTACATATATTACAGCATTAGCACCAGTAGAGTGTTTAGGGCAAGATAACCTGATGCGACCCATCTACCTTTTAGATTGGTTTGGAATTCAGAGTTGCCAACTCAAGGATAGAGAGCCCAGTTTGCTCCATTATTAAACCATAAATGGGGTGGGAGGGTTATCTTAAACTTGATTTATGCCTATACAGGCTACACCATCATTGCCCATTTTTGCATCAGTTCAAATCCTTGTAGCCAAGGAAAGTTGTAATAAACTCTATTCTTGATGTTTCTCATGAATATCTCTGCATCTGATTAATACTGTAACAATAAACTTCTGCTTATTTACACTATAACTCCTTGCTGCCACTTATGTGTCATCCACAACAACTTGAACTTGACTCACCAAATTGAGCTTGTCCTGGGTAAGACATTAAACTACATCCGCGTCCTGGTTAAGATGATAAACCACGTCCAGCAGCAAGGCCTCTGATCAGGAGATTTTGAGGAGCGTAGAACCATCTCTTAAGTGCTGGTGTTCCTAGGTTCACCCTGACCCAGGGTGATAGCACCTGTTAGGGTCCCAGCTATGGGCAAATAGTTAGCTATTACCAGCAATACTTTTTGAAAAAAATTATTACCAGCAATACAATTTTGAAGGAAAAATATTACAAGAAACAGATTTTTGACAAAACAAAATATTACCAGCAATAGAAAATTTTGTCAGCATTAAATAACCCATTGTGGTTGATATGCCGTATAACAAAATAAACCAAACCAATCTAAACCAAAGAATACATATTCTATTCATACAAATCTATCCTAAAAATTTTGACGGCATTAAATAACCCGTTGAGGTTGATATGCTGTAAAACAAAATAAACCAAACCAAACCAAATTGAGCATCACTTAATTACTAATCATTTATACATCTTGGCCTTCAGCCATACAGAAATGATACAGTAAATTTAGTTTTCATTCAAATTTCTAACAAAGCATTTTTGGCTCACTTTTAATAAAAAAAAACAAAATATTTTTATTTCAAAAACTTAAAAAAAAACTTTTTTTTTTTGTTTTTACAATAAAGATTTAAAACTATTAAAGATTGATGATGATGACACATTTTTATCAAACACTTTTCAAATATTTCTTAATTACCTTAATCAACTTGTTAATTAAGTAAGAAGCATAGCTGTTTTTGTGTTTCATTGAGTTCCTACTTATTCTTTTATTTAAGGAATATATTGACCCCCAACATGCGCAAGCATTTGAAAATCTGCGGAAATCTATGAAAACACCCTCAAGGGTAAGCCACTGAATCATTTGTAACTTTTTGTTTGTTTCTGTTTTCTGCTTAAAAATAAAAATTTGTTTTCACATTAATAAAATCAATGAAGAAAGAGCAAACTAAATTGGTGAATATCTTGTGGCATTTCCAACTCCATTTTTTAATTATTGTTTGCTTAACCAACCTAATGTGGTGTACATGGATTTGGAAACATTCTAAAGTTTGTGTATTTTATATGGGAATCATTGAAGCCGTTGTCATATTTGTTTGTCATGAATGCACTTATAAGTTTTTGACTATTGATCTCTTTTTTTTTAAATATCAACTTCACGTACCCATGATGCATTGAATCTTGGAATTTACCAATTCTAAACAATTATAAGTTAAATTTAATTAACAAACTTTTTAACAACTTCAGCACTAATACTTTAGTTTTCCATGTTTCAATCAAGAATAGAAATTGTATATTCCCAGAAACCATATAACATTACTGAAAACAGGTATTAGTAAGAATAGTTTGTAAAAGAAAAAAATGAAGATAAAGCATGCATTTCAAAAAGGGAATGTTAATATTCTTTTCGTGCTGGATGTGTTAAAAATGTAAAAAAGATTGAGATGTCCAAGCAAAAGATAAGCAATGCCAAAATTTCTCTGAAATAGGTGACAGCAGTTGAAGACTGAAGTATTTTTGTAGAGAAAAATAAATGATGATGAGGGGGGGGTCAAAAAGTGCAGTGCGACACTTGCCGGCAGGCCAGCTCTTTTTCTTCTTCTTTGGTCGCCTCAAGGAAATGGATCGCATGGCTTCCTTTCTTGCCTGTTACACTGGGCAGTTGTGAAACAGACACCAACTCAGCCGTCTGTCTGTCAATCCATACATCCAACTCTAACACACGCAGTCCACTGAATGACTTTTCTCCCCATGCTGCTGGCACCATGCTTTTTATGCTATTCCAAGACAGCCAAAATTTGCATGTGTGCAAATATCGTCTCATCTTGGGTGAGATATGCAAGCATAAATTGTGTCTTCAATAGTGGCCATATGTTTTTTTGCCATCACTTTGCAGGCAAGACACGTTTGCACTCGTTTCAAATTCTGAGGTAAGTCATGTCTTTCGTTAAAATTTTGGTTGTGACATTCTAAAAATAATAATGACTGGATAGAAGTCCCTTGAAATAATCTCCAGATTTATTTAGTTTGCCTATAAAACTTTGCCACAATCCATTGAGTAAAACATTGTGAGTTGTCTTATTCCACCTCCTCTTTTGTTGTTTTCCTTATTGTGAAAAAACTGTTGATATTCATTGTTTATTTTGATTTCACAGTTGGCCATTCTCACTGAACTATCCAAGACAAGTAGTTCGCAGACATCTATGAGACGTGGCACAAGCATTCTTCAAAATGAAAACTTCAATCTTCGACTGGCACCTCCGAGATCAGAGATCTTTTCCTGAAACTCAACAAAATCCATTTCTCAATGCTCAACAACTGTGATAACCATGGTGACTAAGAGAACTTGTCTTTCGATTTCCTGCCAGCCTTCCTGCTCGACCGAATCGAGCCACAGACATGAACCCCAAACTTATCAGAGCTTTTGGATAATTCTACTAGAATCTAACCTTCTTTCTTGCAGGAAAAAATATGTTGACATCTCTTTTTTTTTTTCTTTTTTTTTTTCCATCTACAATGTATTATTGAATGACTAGCAGTGAGTCCTGCCTCTGTATAGATTTGCTTTTTGAACAATTAAATATAGAAGTTGGTGTCACGCTCACTCAGTAAATCTGTCAGAGAAGACTGCTGATGGGGTCAGTGGCATACAATTTCTGTGTCAAGAAATATAAAACAAACATCTCTTGTATGTTGTAAGAAAGTAATTTTAAAGAGATTTTAATCAAGGAGATTTATATCTAAGCCAACATATTTGCAACGATTGCTTTTAATGGTGGCTTGTCTTGTGATGAATGGTTATTTGAGACAAAAATGGAAGCTGTTAATTTATGGTTTATGAACAAAATCTACAGGAACAGTTTATTGTAACATATTTGTTTTAGCTCTGAGCCTATCTTGTAAAGCTGCAGAGTAGGTTTGTGAAATATTAAATTGTAAGAAACTTTATATTGTTTTTGTTTTTTATATATATTTATATTCTATAATCTCTTTTCTTGAGCTGTTGCTGCTGATTCTTGTTTCTTTTCTTGAGTTGCTGCTGCTGATTCTTGTTTCTTTTCTTGAGTTGCTGCTGCTGATTCTTGTTTCTTTTCTTGAGCTGCTGCTGCTTGTTTCTTGAGGTGCTAAGGCTTATTCTTCTTTCATTTCTTAAATGGCTGCTGCTAATTTTTGTTTCTTTCCTTGAGCTGCTGCTGATTCTTGCTTGTTTCTTTGAGTTGCTGCCTGTCCTCTGAATTGCTGTTTTTTGTGTATATATATATATATATATAATATATATATATATATATACTCTTAAATGCCTGATAGATGGAGGGTGGAGTGGGGGCTATTTTTTTTTTTTTTTTTGTGGGTAAATTTTCCAACCCCACTAAGACCAAAACATTTTAACTATTTCAAATGATTTTCCAATCCTGCTTTTATTAAGATCCCTCCCTCATTTATTGCATATTGAGGAAATTTAAAACCCTCACCCCTCATTGTGTTAAATACTTAAAAGTATCTATAAATTTATACTTGGCAGACATCAGTGATTGAGTTACACAGTAGAATTTGCATAACAAAAGTAGGTATGTTTAAACACAAAAGAGCACTTGATAAAAAATACATAAAATTTCATATATTTTATATAATGGCATACACGCACACACTGCAGATCTTTTGCATCTTTTCCTATAAGACCTTGACATAATAATATTTCCTTCCATACTTGATCAACCATGCCTGATTTCATTGTTTCACCTCTGGCTATGGCTTTTTGATTCTCCTCCATATAGAGTGACTCATTTCACCTTTACATGCTCTACCACAATTGCAAGAGGTTGAGTACATGCAATTCTTGGTCATATACTCTCTAGTGTTAGCCTTCACTTGGCAGATATTTTTCTGTAGAGTAGAACTGCTTCTGAATATTGTCCTGATGATGGAAGGAAAGGAGTAGACATCAGTCTCTGTGGAATGAAGTGAAAATACTGGACCAGGAAGGACAATGGAGAATTAGATGACTGAAAGAATCAGCACATATTCTAGGTTATGAGGATCTCCTTAGTAGGCCTAGCATTGAAATAAATGTAATATGAGAGCTGCTTATAAAGAATGAAAGGCTAATGACAAATTTTCAACAGCAGTTAAAACATGTCTTCAGCAGCTGTGGCAACCTTAGGTTTAATGCTTTAAGGCTCTAAGTTTACTCCAACAAATTCACTATAGAGTACTAATATCGATATAAAAATGGAGGGCACTATGACCAAAACTTGATTAAAACAACAAAGATGAGGACAAGAGTCCAAATATAAATAGTGTAAATAAAAAAAATTTACTTTGAATTGTGAACTTTGAAAAGTCAAAGGTTTAAAGCTTGAAAGTTGAAGGGAATTAGAAAAGGTTGACCTACATTTTTAAAATATTCAGGGTTTCAAATCCAGCATTCTTGAATATGAGATAAACTTTTGCAAGTTTAGAATAGACATTCGTAGTAAAGATAATGCCCATAGGTTTTTAAAGGTTCTTCTTTTTCTTCAGCAAAAACAGTACAGGATTTTTTTATTAGAAAGTAATATAATTAAAAATAATGATATATGGTTTATTGCTCTTTTTCTTGAATGGAAAATATAAAAATTTTTTAAAAAGTATAGATAAATATAAATAAATATTATAATAGTCTATGTTTTTCTTTTAAGAGAAGTGTGTTTATTCTATATTTAAAACCATGGCCGTAATGAAATTGGAGAGGTACAATTTATAGGGTTTGATTACCAAACAAGGGGTGTGTATTATGTGTGAGTAGAAGCATTTTCCCACACTTTCAGTCCAATTTTAGGGGTGTGTATTAGGGATGAAGGCATATTATACATGGGGAATTATGGTACACTTTGGATTTATTGATCAATCAAGAGGGTAACTTCCACTCACGTAAATTTAAAAGTTGAGACTCATCTAGATATATAAAAAGACGTGTTCCTTTCAAATTTCACAGAGTTTTGAGCCGTTTGTTTTTTATGCAGCTTATTCTTTATTTGAGATAAAAGAGGTGATGTATTCTCTTCTCGCACTCTCAATCATAGTAATTGGGAGGCACATTGGAGTAATGGATAGCGGCTCAGATTGAGGAATCTGAGAGACGAGTTTGAATTTTAGCCGATTCCATTACATTCATTTACATGCTAATACCCTTGGGAAAGGTATGAATCCTCTTCTTTTCTTCCCAGCTATGGGTAAATAGCAGGACAGATTGGGTTCTATAACCTTTGATGGCAGCTAGTCTACTGCAGAAAGAAATGGCAATCTATTGCAGGAAAAAATCTGCCTCGTCACTCATGTATTGAAAGATACATGATTGTTTAAACATGTATCATGCATGGCACGTAACTGACTGAGTAGTAGTGGCAGCAGTTTTTCAGACGGTTAATCCTTTCTCCCTGATGATAACATTTAGTCCAAGAGAGACTATTCTCTTCTGCCTTTGCCATCAAAATTTCCCCGCTTATATAGCAAACAAGTAACTCCAACTTGATCAAAACTCTTTAGGGTGGAATACCTTTTAGCCCCATTGGTTAAAAACTTGAGAATCACTATTCAATCAAACCACGCCTGTTTGCAATTTAAATTTAGTTAGCTTGACAACATCAAAGCTGAACCTTATTTTGTATGTTTAAATTGTCTGGCTTCATTTTCAAAGAAACTGTGTAACATTCTTAATTAATTTCTCATACAATTCAATATTATCTGTCAAATAATTTTTATACATTTCAACATTTTTTAAAGTTTTTCATACAACTTTAATATCAATTTTATTAAAGTAATTTCTATATTAATTTTTACATAATTCCAACGTTTTAATTATGTATTTTCATACAATTTTAATAGATTTTATTAAAAATAAGTTTAATACTTCTTCCTACCTTAACCAGTCAAGGTTGAAGAATCTTGAATTGATTTTTCTAAAGCTTATGCATTTTGTTTACGATTAGTTGAAGGTAAGGTTTTAATTTAGTTTTTTATAAAATTAATTTTAGTTCAGTCTGGTACAAGGCCAAAGGAGCAGTTCATATAGTGAGAATCAAGCTCAGTGTAGAAGCAAACTGGTTTGCCAGATAGGTTGGTGAAGTTTGGCACAGGGTAATAATCGTGGAGCACTTTAAGTGAGAATCAAACCTACAATAGCTTGTGAGACATGAATCTCTGAAACAATAGAAAGTAAGAAACATTTAATTTTGTCCTTTAACAATTCCAACCAACCTTGCACAGCATTCAATGTTCTTAATTCTAACATGAAAATGGTGTCTGTCAAAATGGCTACTTATTGAAAGCATACATTAATCATTTTTGCTTGAATCTTTTCCACTTCTATTGAAATCTTGACTGTCTTAGACATGACTTTTCCTGAAAGTTATCTTTGGAATCTTCATGTTATTTGCTTCTTTTTTAAGGATCCAGGCTGTTGCCAACTTTGCATAAGAATCAATGTGGTAATGTTGTCGTCATTAATTATTGATTTATTTATCAAAGTGGAAGCATTATTATCAATAAATATCAAATGCTAATGCTACAGTGGGCTATGATAAGTTTTTAGCCACTTGATTACAGCAATTTTTTTTTGTCTCTTCTTTTTTTTTTTTCAGATAATACCATCTTGTATCAAGCTCCTCTCATCTATGAACAATAGTTGACTTACATCTTGCAATGAAATTTCATGGAAGTAAGGAAATTAGTGAATTTCAACAAGGACAAATAGGATGGCAAGTCAAATAGAGTAATTGCTAGTTTTTTCCAGGTTAATCATCAAATGGTTAATAATATTAAGAAATTTAATGAAGAATGCCATTGTCATGTGGAACAACGTTCATGAAGACCAAGCATCATGTCTGAGTGAACGAAAAGGTCACTGAATAGGGAGATCATCAGAAATCATTGTCAGAGCATCAAAGATGTTGCCAACAGCATGGAAATGTCACCATATGCGGTGAGAAAGACTCTGACAGAGCGAGGCTATCAAACAAGAGTTGCAAAAAAGAAGCCCTTGATTTCAGAGATTAAAAGGAACCATCGTATGGACTGGGCGAGAGAATTTGAGAGCAAAGATTATGAATTTTGGCAGTCTGTAATTTGGATAGATGAAAGTAAATTCTGCCAATATTCTAATTCAAGACTGGTTTATGTTTGGAGAAATCAGAATGAGACTTGGAACATTGTAGGCAACCGTCAAACATGCAGGGATTGGAGTAATGGTGTGGGGCGCTGTCTGGTTTGGAGGGAAATCTGAGCTGATTCTTGTTGACGAGCGGTT